AAAACGAAGGAAGGCAATGAAAAGTTACGGGTAGGAAGAGACAGAAATATAAATGACTGAAAAACAGAACTCAGAAACGCAGGGTGTTGATTATCTCCTGTTCACATTAGAGCCCACACAGACCATTAGATGTGAGCCCAGCTTGAATCAATTTGGAAATTATCTATTCAAGAAAATCTTGAGTGGCAAGCACACAGCACTCAGCCTTTTACCAACACAATACTGGTTGTTTTCATGTCATCTTGATGGCAGAGAGTGGGGAGGTGAAGGCATGCGAGGGTGCTGTGTCTTGTTAAGACGGATGGACAGGTGGGAAGAGTGGCAGAAATGAGGTCAGCAAATATTATAAAAGGGTGTGGTGTTGTTTTGGAAACAATGCAGGAGAGAGGGAGGGAGGGAGGGAGATCTGGAACGAGGGAGGGATGGAGGAGGAGTGGAGTGAGGCTGGCACTAATGACGGGTGCGCCCAGGGCCACACAAGTACAGCTGTCTCCCCTCCCAACTTCAGCAGTGTCAGATCAGCATAATAAAACCCAGTGTGTTAGTATGTGCTCGCAGGAACAGCTGGGTGGCCTGGCAAAAAGGGAAAAAAAGGGAACAAGGGAGAGGAGAATTGTGCATCACCAGATCCTATCATCTCTGCCTTGAGCTTGTGGAGTTTCGTGAACAAATCCCTGCGATGCTCAGGGAGACTTTGGTTTAGAAAGGAGCTTGTGACGGTGGACACTTAAAACCTCTGGCGGCCTCTGCTTGAACAAATCACTTTGCTTTCATCGAGTTTCCAGAGGCTGACGTCAGAACGTGTCCAGAGTGCACTGAGTCACACACAAGCAGGCTCTGCTCACCACCTTCTCTTTGTGTTTGTGCCCTTGGTGGCCTTGTGAAAATGATGTACATACACATATTGAATGATGTCAGAAGTATTTCTCCAACCTCACCTCACACCCAGAGTCCCTAATCGCTGATATCATACACCCAGGTCGGACAGGGCTTAACCCTGAACACACAAACAGATAAAGTCAGCTCAGAGACGGTCTATACTGGACTTGATCTTTACATATTATTTGCACTTTTATTGGACGGACCTACATGTAGGAGGATATCTGCCTGTCTGACTCACTCCTTGTCTGTCTGACCACCCCCTCCTTCTAGCCTGCCAGCACTCTCTTTGTGTCTCTCACTGTCTCTTTCTCCTCCTCTCTCGCCTGTGTTTATCTTAATCATTGCTGAGGTGATGTGGGCCAGGCAGAGCCAGTGGATAATGTGATTAGAAGGGGCTCAGGCGCAAAGTCTCTTCTCTGATCGTTCTGGTCACCTGGGACTATAGTCACATTTGTCGGGGGATCTCCAGGTGGAGAATGGCCTCAATAAGACCTTCTTGTTACTTACAGTGTTTGAGCCTCACCTCACCCCTTTTAGTCTTGTTTTTAGGCATTATGTGTGTACCAGCCAGGCCTGAGATGTCTGGGAGCACGGCCACGCAGCATAGAAACCAGAGGGAATAGAGGGTTTGGACAGCATGTGCATGTGTGTGTACATACATATATATTTGCAGTGTGTTTTTCAGGCCTCCAGAGGCTACACAGATGAATGAAGCATTGGATCAGGTAAGCCGGGCGATACTCTCCAGCATGTGCTGCAGTTGGCCCCAGGGGATTTTGAGTAGTGTGTCTGCCAGGCCGCTGGGGGAGGAGGTGAGGAGAGGAATAGTGGCTCTCGTCAAGAAAAAGATGAAGAAGGTTTAGACATGACAGGCGTGTTATTAATCACAAGATTCTCCAGGCAGTGTTCATGGATCTACCTGCTCTCGATGGAAGGAACCAAAGAAACGGACTGGACCAGTCATGGGAATAGGAAGTGTGTGTGTGTGTGTGTGTGTGTGTGTGTTTAGTTCGGTGTTTCTTCTGTGGCTTCATTATTGCCCAATTGCCTATTCCGTCTGCCGTTCCTGGCTCTGGCCATTTACCATAAGCCCCTCTGGCAGCTACATCCATGACAGGTACAGGGAGAGAAAAGCACTCTGTAGGAAGCAAATCTGTCACTGTGCTAACTAAAACATGTCAGTGTGGTGGTGCTGTGTGTCTAGGTGTACACTTTTGCATGCCTGTGCAGTGTGGATAGCTGATTGGAATCCAGGGCTGCTATAGTGAAGAGTTTATTTAATAGCTTTAGAGAAGGAAGAGAAAGAGAGGAGCTTTGAAAGAGCTGGAGCAGCCGGTGTATCTGCAAAGAAGGAGGGGTGAGGGGGAAAGATGGGGAGAGAAATCAAGGCACAGCTAAACTAAGAGACGTGGTGAAATGTGTGTGCATGTGTGTGTGTTCCTGGCCTCAGGGGAGCCAACTCCTCTCTCTGGACTAGACTGAGCCCACCTGAGTCTCTTTCCCACCCCTCCAGCTGTTCTCCCTCTCCACCTTCAGACCATCACCCTTATCTCCATCCTCTAAATTCAGCAACTCCTCATCTCTGTCTGCAACTTTAAGCTTGGTGCCGCTCAGATGAGTCCATTTACTGTACAGTGCAGATGTATTTCTGCAGTTGTATAATGCTTGTCTTTTTGCCTTCGAACCACATTATTGATTCGAATTGCACATAATCCTGCTGCAAAGTAAAAGTTGAGCCGTTGAATAGATATTGACCTGTAATGCTTTGTACTGATGGCTGTAGCCCAGTAACTCCAGCTTTTGGGCTGCGCCACAAGCAGAGCTGTATGAATTCCCATATAAGGCAGGAGGACCCTTCCTAACCTTCTCCCTTCTCCCTCCTCCTCCTCCACTCTCCCTCTTCTGCCCCTTCGCTCCTTCATTGCAACCAGCTCATACTGTCAGCTCACGCTTTCCTTTCGGACCGTGGTCTAATGCCCTTAAGACACACACACATAGGCAAATATCTTATAGAGAGCTCTCTGAGAACAATAGTTGTGTGTCAAACACCAGTGGTTCTTTCAGTTTGAGTACCAATACTTGTTATTTTCAGGCTGTCATTCACTGAAAAATACCTGTTTGGACATCTGCAATGCTGTATCTTCTGTAAACTCCACAAAACAGTAAATATTAAAGCTTCATATTGAGCCTCACAATTCCAATGGGAGAGACTAGGAGAGCGGGAAGCAGAGTGGGAGGTAAAGATGGATTGAAAGATGCAGATATAAAGACGGAGGAAAAAAAAAAACACAAACAGAGCTGATAAGACCTTCGGCAGAGGAAGTGTCGTTCTCAGCCGATCCCCAGTGGACTCCCAGCATCCCACTCTTCCCCTGCTGCAGGATGTAACCTCGTGTGGGAATACGTAAGGAATGTGGCCCCTTTTGTTTAGTGTGCGATAGGCTCCTGGTTGGCGGCATTTGTGTGTCTTATGTGTGACAAGCTCCAGGCTTGGCAGAGGGTGATCAGAGCAACACTCAACAGTCCTTTCTGGGTAAGACCCTCCTAGGAAAACAATGACTGGTCTTATGGCTGCTATCTTTCAAAGCCCCTCCTTGGCTGATGGAGCTGTTGCTGGGCTCTCACTGTGGTTCACATTCATAGACTAAATATTGAACAAAGGGCTAAGAAGGCAACTATATCAGTGGTTCCCAACCATTTTTGTCTGATGCACCACTAAAGTCAGATTAACTCACCTGTCATGAATACCACCTTGCATGTTCGAAGTGTTTATCTGAATAGTTTTTTTAAAGGTCCTGTGTGTAGGATTTGGCAGTGAATTTTCAGACTGCAACCAAACGAGTACCACTCGCCTTCCAAGTGTGGATGAGAAGTATGGTGGCTGCGAAATAGCAAAAGAAGAGAAAGGCCCATTCTAGAGTCGGTATGGTTTGTCCAGTCTGGGCTATCGTAGAAACATGGCGGTTCAACATAGTGAACTCTGTAGAAGAGGACCCTCTCCCTCTGTAAATAAACTGGCTGAAGTAACAAAACACAACTGTTTTAATGTTCAAGTGATTATACACAAATACAAAACAAAAATACCATATAATGTAATTGAACATTATAAATTCTATTAGTGTTTCAATAATCTTTACCTGAACTGTTTTTGTTTAGTTTGCATTAATACTACATGGCACGACATTTCAACCAGTTTCTGCTACTTCTTTAGTTTGCTAGTTTAACCATAGCAAACTAAAAGTAATAAAGCGTACTATTTTAACAGTTCAATCACTTCTAGCTACCTATTTTAAGTATTCATTACCGTTTGCTCACTATTTAAAATTTCCCCAGTAGCCTACTTTTAGCTACTTACTACTTTAACCATTTATTTATTAGGCCTACTTTTAGCTTTTTCACTATTTATCCATTACTTTTCACGTTAGCTATATGTTTTAACAGTTTATCCATTACTTTTAGCTATCTATTCAAGTATCCATCTGTTACATAAACAGTTAACAAACAGCCTACTTTTAGCTGTTTACCCATTACTTTTTCATTACATTGAACTTTTTCACTATTTATCCATGACTTTTAGCTGACTGTTTAGACTTGCTAACTCACTGGATAGCTCATTTTCACACATAGTTGCAACACATAGTAGTCAGTTTCCCCTGGTTGATCACTGATCCTCCTCAAAGTGGTTTCATCAAACAAACTTAGCAGTGTGCAAAATTGATATCTTAATTTAATTTTAATAAACGACATGTGAAGAATATTATTTAATTCACTACATTCTAGCTAATTCATAAATGTACACTAGGTTGAATGCTTCACATATATTGTAAAGGGTACAGTCTCACAGAGGATTTTTTTTTTTCCCCCCCACTGGAGACCTGTGGTTCTCTTTGCCCAAGGCACTAACAGAAGTACAACTCTTGAAAGGCCTTTAAATAGACTCTAAAACTGTCAAAGTCTACCTTGGCCTTTTACGCAATAATACGTCTACACACACAGACCATTTCAGCTTGAGGCTACGTCCTGCACTTGAAGTGCTACCTTGTAGAGCAGTAAAGGAACATGATTTCTTCATGAGCGCTTACTGAGCAGGAAAGACATTCCGACATGAGTAGACAGAAAACAAGGCAAGGTGAAGTTTATTGAAGAATTCATGACAGTTTCTTTGCTTTTGTGTAGCCCTCATGTTGGCAGAAAAACAACCCATCTATAATTAAGTGTTTTTCCTTAAAACACAGTGATACAAGCACTATTTAGTAGTCAGGACAGAGAGCACCTGATGTAAAATATGGACGTGTCACTGACCACGAGGATGTGCTTAACATTAGATATTCACAAAATCTCATATCTCCGATTAATGGAGAATAAAGGCCATCATTTACTTTTGGCACAAAGGAATACGTTTAGAATGATGAGTAAACAAGTCTGCCAATGGTTTTTTTAAGTGTGTCAAGTTTTTACTGCCAGTATTGGGTATCATTTCAAGCTTTTGTTTTAGTACAAATCTGAAGAATGCTGAAAAAGTGTAGTGACCATAAAGTTATCACATTCAACATACAGTATATCACAGCATTTTGGATGACTTCATTCAATTTGCATTCACTTATTTTTGAAAAGCAACCACATCTTTGGTTCAACAGTCAATTTATATGATGCACAAATACTGCAGACAAGCAAAGGAGGCAAAGGGAGACAAGAAAGCTGTATAGGACTGTATCCTATGTATCGTTTGACAGATTTCAAAATGAGTTGTTTGATATGTTTCACTTTCTGAACTGGAATCCTTGCCGTTCGGAGGTCACTATTTCTGTATTATTTATGAGACGTTTGGTGTAAACCTTTACAATGTCATCTCAATTAAGAGAAGATTTCACCATGACAGGGAACGTCAAGCCCGATTGATCAACCTATTCAACGTTATGTGAATTACTGTAGCTCCTTAGCAAAAGTAGCCAAGTGCTCTTGGTTTATGCAAATACACAGGATGCTGAACACAAAAATAATGCAGTGTATGCCAAAGGATATGTCAGCTTGGACTAAAGTTTGAGAATAAAAACTTTACACTGAAAGACACAAATGTGTTACCACAACTTGTCACCAAGGACAGGAAGACTGATAGACACTTTTAGTAAGTACATTTTTCATGATAGACATCACCTTGGGTTTAATGTAAGGGTGTTTTATGAAAGCGGAGTAAAGCCCAGGACTGTTTTGCTTTCAATCAGAAATGGCAATGGTGAGTCAGACACGGAGGTGGGATAAAACAAAACTGAGGAGAAAGCCAGGGACACTCTTTCAACTCATTTGAACTGTCTGCCCATACAGTCAGCCAGTTCACTGCACAATTTGTGTGTATAAGAGTGTGTGTGTACATACACTGTACATATTACCCAGTAACAGGAGAGACTCGTCCCCACTCAAAAGGAAAGTGAATGGTTTCGAAGTTCTTATTTTTGTTGCAGTTTCTCTCTTCACCTAAACACTTGAGTTTCACTGCAAACAAAAAATGACTGTGTGACCAACAGTGATGCAACTGAAGATACGTGTTGCCTTGAAATCATGAGCCAAACAACACTAGCTGCTTGTAGTCCCACATTCAAGAACTACAGGAAGAGAGGATGTTGCTAGTTTTGTCACACCTCGAGCTGACAAAAACAAAAATGTCTTGACTTTTAGAACCGAAGCATGTGCTGTACATTCAGATCACTCCTCCACCATAGGTCTGTTTTTCGGTGCCTCCTGGGGAGCGTGAACTATGCTTCAGTGTCTGAATGTGGTGCTAAAAGGAGGCGACACCGCGGTCAGTCACACAGGAAACTGAGAAGGCAGACGACCTCACATCCTGCCTGAGCTTTGGAAGAAACACTTCCTCCTTAAAAGCAGCAAGTGCAATTATTAAAGATGTCTCACGTGAAGGCAGTGGTGCTGTGCTGAGAGATGAGCAGCAAGATACTATATATGTCTGCTGAAATTTAAAGCCTAACATGGCAGACGTGCACCCAAATGTCTCTGTTGTGAAAAACAGATGATCTTTGGAGGGAAATTACATTCACAAAAAATTCAAGTGAATAAAAGGAAAAAACAAAACAATGCGAATACTCTGAGGCAGAGTTTCCATCACAGACACAAGTTCAAAAACAATAAAAATGATGGGGCATCAACTCCAGGATCATACACACTGGTAATGGCTATAAGTTGAACCTGAGGTCCAAAGGATTGTTTGCCAACAGGCACCCTCTGTTCAATGCTTTTGTGGTGCTACTGAGACTGGTAGTAAAAACATCAAGGCAGTGTTCAAAGAGATTTGCAGAGGCAGACACATTTCTTACTCGTGTCAATCTAGAAAATTCCCCTGTGATAACCAAAAAGATCTGAATAGGGAGGCATGTTTTGCATCTTGATCTCACCTTTAAACTGGCAGTGAAACAGATGAGACAGAACAGCAGCTTTGATGCACTGACGGAACAGTCTGTTTGCTAATATAACTGAAACCATCCTCCCACCACTCTATTATATGCTGACAAATATCACGTAGATATTTCCCATGCAGTCCGCATGTCTCAAGTCCAGACATCACACATTTACAAAACACTGCTACTCTTGTGCAGCTGTACAACAATAGCTGTGGGTCTCAGCAGCCTTCCACTAGAGTACTCGCCATTCGTTCACTTCAGTGTCTGCCTGTGTGTCTGCCCAGAGCAGCAAGCCCCCTGGTTGCCATCAGGGCTTCTTGGCTGCAGTTTTGGCTTTCCCGTTGGGTCCTGTTTTGATCTGGGTCATCTCCACATCTGTCAGGGCGTCAGGGGGAAGGCAAGAGCGCATGCGTTCAATGGTCTTCTGGTAAGCTGCCCTCTCCTGCTCCAGAGAGCGAATCATGTGCTTCATTTTGCTCTCCCGAGAAAGGAAGTTCTCTACACTTGTCTCCAGCGTCTGGATCTTCTGCCGTGCAGCCTGGAGGACGCAGACATTGCACCACGGTAAATACAGGGTACATTTAATGACACACATTTGGACAGGGGGGTAAACAAAAAGCACAGAGGCTATACATTGTGAGATCAATTAGAAGTCAGCACTATTGTGACTTTGTACCAGGATCATAGCACAAAAGCTCAAAATAGCAAACAAATAGAATTGCAGTCCATACAGAATCCATAATCCACATTTAATAAGTGTAACTCACTTGGCAAATGCTGTAATCAAGTGCAGTTATCCAATACCATAGGTCATAGTCCACAAAATGTTCAGATGTTAGAGCAGCTCTTTGATCCTCATTAGTATGAGAAGCATCAGGTGTGACTTCAGCAGTCCTACCTCACAAATTCACAAACTACTGATCAAAATGTTAAAGAGTATTTGGAGAGCATATAGTGTTCAGTCCCTTTGTCTTGCTTTCGTTTTCATTGTGTTTTTAAGTTGTGTTTTAGTGCCATCTATGGGTGGTAACCCTAAGACACTATCAGTTGCAACTTCTAGGTGGATCTCTAAATAAATATGACAGAGCCGTTCACCAATCCATCAAAAGTACTTTTATATTAAACTGACCAATGACTTAAATACCTCCAATTGATCAAGCATTAACATAATGAATACCATCATAAATTATTTACAGAGCATTTGCTGTTGTTTCAAATCAAAATAATATACTAATATGGATGAAAGGCAATAAATGACAAGAGTGGTCTGGTTGTCTTCCTTACCTGAAGTTTTTCCAGCAGGTCCATGTTCTGTTTCTTCAACTGTACATTCGTCTTTTCTAGTTTGTCGAGCCGGTCAGAGTCATCAGGCAACGGTCCGGCATCTAACATCTCATCCTGCAGGACATGGTACTCCACCTCGTATGCATGCAGCTGCTTGGAGATGTCCATCTCCATTACCTGGCAAACACAGTGAGACAGATGCCATCAACTGACGAGTCACTATAATATATCGATATTGTTACAAAAACCAGCAGTAAGGTCCAACAAAATTAGTTTGTATAGATAATTTAAAGTCTGTGATATTCTATTTGTTTCTTATTGTCATAAATCCCATGAAAAGACCCAACAATGAACTGATCCTACCAACAACTATTGTCTGTATATCCAAAGCCTAATAAAGTTTGTAGAGCACCATTATTGTACAAAAACTAATCACATTACACTGGGTGATATGTTTCTACATTACAATCAAAATCGGCACCTAATTTTGTCACACATACACCATCCTGCTGCTGTATATACTCAATACAGCACCATATTTTCAGCTTAAAATAGTCAAAAGGCAAGTGCTCCATTTACGCCTGTTTGTTTAATGTTTGCTTAAAACTACAGTGTCCAGCTGTTTTAGGAAATTATTAAGTATGTATTTGTGACCAACTGTGAAAGATTTACAGTAGGAACATATGGGCTGGAAGTTGAGTGACACAAACTGGCTGGGGAAATTGGAAAGTACTGAGAGACACACTAACATATTGTTACTTTTGGTATTTTCATGAGGTTTTCTGACAAAACAAAAATATACAATATTGCCAACCTTGTCCTTTAATGTTAATTTAATGTTAACATTTTCATAAACTTTTCAAGTGTTCTAATACATTTAAATAGGACTGAAAGTATGTTTCTTGTGACTGTGGCTAAACACATACTGCCATGAGTTACTGTAACAGAGAATTACTACAATACGCTGCAAATACACATTAAATAAAAATGTTAGTTTTATTTGCAATAAATCAGAAAATTATGCTTTTTTGATGTGGTTTTCATCTGCTCTCATCTCCAGATTTATTTAAACCTTTATTTAAATAGGTAGTCTCATTGAGATTATGATCCCTTTTCAAGAGACACCTATTTAAAGAATAAACATAGACACATAGGAAAAAAAAACACCATACACATACAAGTTATATTAGTTTCACATTGGGAATTTTAGATGGTACAATGGTATTCCAACTAGCAAACTAATCAATCTAATATCCAGCCAGATACCAAAGTATTTATAGCACTCAACAATTTTGAGAACCTTGAGGAGTATGGACAGGGACAAGAGGCTGCATACTCATAAGTGACATTGGGAATAAATTGAAAACAAGCTTATGTTTAGAGAGATAAGAGAGATATGAATAGTATTAAAAGCAGACTATATATTTGCATGGTCAGATTCAGAGAAGAGCATACAATGTACATTGAAATAACCTTACCATTATTTTATATTACAATAATAGAGGACCCTTGTGGGACACCTGTACCAACCTTAAGAGAAGGTTGTTCTAGTAAAACATTATGTTTAAGAGAATCAAAGGCTTTAGACAGGTTTATAAGAAGAGCAGCACCGTGTTGATGTGATGATAAAGTGCTATGGCATAATCCTGACTGCCAAGGTTGTAATATGTTTTTTGTCTATAGAAACAGCTGAGCGTTCACTAGGCACTCCACGGTTTTTGCTAAGTAGGACCATTATGTACTTTTACCCCTTTATTATGTAAGGTGCAACTTTCCAGATTTTGCAGAAGGGAAGGATCTAAATCATCTTCATCCTTCCTTTTTGGGGTTTAAACTGACCAGTTTACTAGAAACCTCACTTTGGCTTACAGGACTCAGAAAATGCATTGCTAGAATGATGGATATTTGATTAAAAAAAAACTACAGATTGCATTAAAGGCATGGAAGTATGAATTATATCAGGCTAATGTGGAGTAACTGAATTGACAGTGCCAATTAGGTTTACTGGATCTTTAACTACATGACACATTTTTCATTATCACATGGATCTGGAAGCTTACTAGGGACTGGATTAAATACTATTTCAACCTCCCATTCTATACCTTTGCAATGGTCTGCTCCATCTGTGTGTGAGTGAGGGCTGGAAGTGTAGTTTTCAGATAGTCCACAATGCTCTCAAAGCTGTCACACTCCACTATCTCCCCCTCATGGCTGCTCAGCAGACAGAGGGCCACTTTAAAGATCACCCCGGTTCCCTGGACAAATACAAAATCTGAAAGAAAAAAGCACAGGAACAGCAATAAAACACCAATGCTTTAAACACTTTCCCATCAAGCTGTAATTATTACAAGGCTATTTAAATGTCATCCTCTTTTGTAAATGGCATTGTGATGATAAGCATTTGTGTGTGAGCATACACGGGCCACTATTCTAAAAATATACCGAAGATGCGGGACACAAAGCTGAGGGGGAACTGTGAGGCGAAGAGAGTGAGGAACCACGGTGCTGCGTAGAGGCTCGGGCTGATCTCGTGCTCCTCGAAGTGATTGTACAACTCGCGGTGGTAGTCGTGTAAAAGTCTGGAGAGCTGGTACATCTGAATCTGCGATGACACAGACAGTGTGCACAGGGGCATAAACAGACACATTCAAACAGATAATACACACACACAGGTCAAAACATGCGGCGCCAGAACAAACTGGTATATCTGGATCTGCAGGAGACAATGTATCACAGGGCATTCTAAGACACACTAGCTGGCAAATGAACCTTTACCCAAGCAGGGAAGTCCAGTGTTGTTTTAGAGACTTGCTGAGACACGCATCATGGCCAAGTATTTAACAAGCAGTACAAACTCCCTAACAATGTATTACAGTGATCCTGACAAGTGCTACAGCGAAATGCACAGCCGACTGAAAAAAGAGAAGCAGAAGTTAGCTCAAGCTAAAATTAGACTGTTATCAGTCTCACAATTTCCTGGCCGTTACAAAGAAGATAAGTAATATCTTTACCTCCTCCTACTGAACCCCTGTTCAGAGAAAACAGCACAAATTCTTCCTGTCTTTGCAACCTTTGGATTTGTCTAAAGCGAACTGAACTGCAGTGTAGAGAGAACCAAAAAGGCAATTACGTGGCTAAATGGCTACCTGATGTAGATTAAACATTACCACGCCTGCTGATGCTTTCACCCCGGTGAGGTCAGCTGATGTTTAACTGAAGCTAACAGAGCAGGCATGCAGGTGTGGTTTGAAGTGGAGGTGGAGACACTTGACTACTCTTTGCTCTTGCTCACTAATAACCCTTACCAGTCCAGTGTGCCTGTAATTCAGATTCTGTTTGTTCCCTACTGTACATACAACATAACATTCAAATTTAAAGCAAGTATTAAGTGATTATAGCTCTTTTGTTATTCCAAACTGAAATGCTCCAATCATTCTGAGCCACAGTTTGTCCTAAGCCTTGGTCAGATCAGCTGGAGGTGTATGGAGGTATTGGCTTGCACTGCTGTCTATCACAGTGTCTTTTTTGATACTAACAGTGGGGGGCACCAGAGTTGAAATTCTATTCATCATGGCTTCAATGTTCTTTTTTTCTCTGCAGTTCCAAATGTTCAAGAGAACACCACTTTATTAAGCAATCTGGTAAAAGCTGTAATTTGGCTCTAATTAGATTTTTTGGAAATTGAATGTTGGTGCTAATCACGTCTGATGTTGAGCCCTAAATTAAATCTTGTAGGAATTAAATGTAGAGGCTTCTGCAGCTAAAATGTTACCACATAGTAATCACATTCCTGATATTGTAATTGTAACATTCATGTACTGACCTGCAGAGAGACCATGTCAGGTCTGTACTGTTGCCTGATGCCGAGGTCATACATGAGGTACTTCAGCATGTCAAAGGCCTGTTCTTCGCTCATGTGCAGCAGCAACACTCCAGCCACAAAGCTAATACCCTGGCAGTAGCCCACCTGTGTCGCACAAAAAAGGGAGCACACAATATGAACATATGGCCTTATAGTTATGCACTGTGGGGGAAAGGAAACAGGATTGCGGTATGTACTGTACCTCTGTATCCAGCAGAGAGTAGGCTTTCAGGAGGTTGTAGAGGGAAAGCTGCCCTGTGCCCAGCTGGGCTGAGAAGTACTGGTGGGTGGGGAAGGTCCGGCCTGAGCAGGGAGACAGTGATAATAATAATAATACATATAAACAGTTACTAAATGTGCATAGATTCTTATATAGAATCATAGAATTTTGTAATGTAATGTAATTTATTTTTTTGGTCTTAATAAATAAAACTAAGATCAACAACCAAACTACTACTCCTACGATAACTACTACTAATAATAATAATACCAATAGCTTCTAAAAGCTGTCCTAAAAACTGCTTTGACATTCAGTATCCTGAATAATTTCCCCATGCCTAAAATATAAAACAGTCAAAATCCATGACTTTTCTTTGTCCTCCATGACTGTGGGAAGCCCTTTTTACAACTGTGTGCACACCTAGATCCACCAGAATAGCATGCTGCTGTGCAGTGAGCTGCTTGAGCAGGTCATGGTAGGTGGTGTCCGGGGCCTGCTGACGCTGGGGCAGTCTGTGACGCAGCCGATGCTGATGGGAAAGGAGCAACCAGACCTCCCCACGCCTGCTCTTGGGAACACCTGCACACAAAGACGGAGACTACATGTGTTCATCCAAAACTTCACACATACACACCGGTGTATGAAGAATTATATATACACAACCCATATCAACTCTTACTTTCTTCAACATAAAAATGTACACACACGCACACAGATCTCTCACCTTGGCAGAGTGCACGATAAATCTCCTCCTTGTCTTGTGGGACTGTCGTTCTGCCTGGGGCCGTCAGTTTTTTCTCCCACAATGCCTGCGCATCTTTGGAGCACTGGCCCACTTCCTGGTAGTTCAGCTTCATCTTGCGGATGTGCAGCTCATCCCGGCTCGCTACAACACAATCAGAACAAAAAGAGATGAAAGAAAATTAGAAAAGATTCTCTTGTCGCACAAGGAAATCAAGACCAAAGGCCAACAAAAGAAGGCTGTAGTTATAAGCCCTTCTGATTTTGCTTTAATAAAACAGCAATGTAGCGGATTAAAAGACGCCAGATTTGAGAGCAAGGGTAGATATAGTCCCTCACACCTTTTGTCACCAGTTACCATGAAAAGCCTACCACGTAAACACAGGCCACAATACCCCTCATTAACACCAGACCCATCCTTATTAAGCTGGAAGCATGGAGAAGCTACATCAAGATAGTGGGGAGAGGTACCAAGGACAAAAGAAACAAAAACAGCATAAAGTATGACAGTAGCTGAACATGCACACAAAAGACGCTGAACTGAATGAATACTATAACAAACACCCGAAATCATGCAAAAAACATCTATCCGCTTTGATCCCAGGGGCTGCTTTTATATCGCTTACCTTCTATTGAAAACGGTTATTCACAGTTAGGTCCTCAGACCAGCATTGGTGTCATAGTAACAAAAAAGGGAAAGAGATGTGTTGGTATAATATAGAAATATAAACGCTACACATAGCAGGTGCATCCCAAGGGAAGAAAAACAATCTCTCCCCTTTCACTCCTTTTCTCTGAGACCAACACAGTAATGTTCTGTGCTGTTTTCTTGTGCATTATTTGAGCTAGGGCATGCATAGTAATGGCACACATCATTTACCAAGTGGGGAAGATGCCTTTTTGATAATGAAGTAGCTAATTAACTGTCCCAAAGGGTCTCTACTTCCTCCTCTCCACTCCATTCCTCCTCTTGCCTATTAACTTCCTGTTAAGAGTCAAGTGCTTGTAAGGGGGAGGAGAGGAAAGAAGGAGGGCTGAAAGTGTGCTTTGGGATGCACCCTAAATAACCTGGGCCATTAGAGGGCGATATTTCCAAATGTTATTTCAACTGTTACTGTTGTTTTTTTCCCCATACATGGACTTTAACCTACTGAGTGTTTATTTGACTATATTTGTGCATCTGCATGTGTTCATATGTGTGTGTATATAGCTGTGCTCCAGAATCTCAATCCGAGATGGCAAAATTTGACCTCTCAAAATAAACCAGACATGGCAGTGAAGGAGTAGCTAACTCTGAGCACTTCTATCCCTGTCCACACTCATAAAGCTTCAGTTAAGATTTTAAGTGTGTGGTGAGGACTGTGTGTAAAACTTTCATGACAGGTGAGAAAGGGGATAAGAGTGGAAGTTACCACTGTCCTAAATATCTTAACAACCTTCACAATAAGACCCAGTGTGAGCCGAAGAACAGCCCTGTGACAAATTATAAATACCACCAGTGTCTGCAGAGAAATACACTAAACATCAAAGAATACTGAGTGATCTAGCAGCAACAAGACTACGGACATCATGTTCTTCACATCTGTCATTCATGTGTCCATGGAAAGGATTTGTTACAGGGTGATTATCATACTTTATGTGCAAAGTAGTAACTGCAACTCACCCTCCAGTCTCTGGTTCTCCTTTTCCATGCGCAGCAGTAGGATCTGCTGGTGGATGGCAGTCTTCCAGAGGGACCGGTAGCCAGATCCAGTCCTCTTAGGCCTCTCCCCCGGCTGCAGCAGGCGCCCCAACGGATCCAGACTTGAGTCAAAGGCACGAGGAGAAAGAGGCAACAGCTCCTTGCCATCAGAGTGGTCTAAAACACAATATCCAAACACATCAATACAAAGTACATGTAGAAAATAGATTTTTAAGTCCAAATTTCTTTATGTGAACAATGAATCTAATAACTGTGTGTACTATGAAAGGGGTTGTCTGCCACGATTTGAGGACAGAGAATTATCACCAACTCTGCAGCTCTACAGAGCTTTGCTAGCCTCTTTCAGCTTATTGTTGTGGTTTTATTGCATGTTTACGGTGTAGTCAAGTCTCACCGCTCTCATCAACCTGTCAGGCTGCTGAACGCTAACTTACCAGCAGACAGACAATGTCAGCAACTAGCTGGTGAAGAAAGCCTGAAGAAAGAGCTAGATATTTCATGCCTTGTTAATGCTGTGCATCTGGGAATAATCTTCTAGCTACATTTTTAAGCTCCCTTGAGTAAGATAAGAAAGATTATGCTTAAGGTAAGAAAACTGCCCATGAGAACAGGGAGGAGGATCACTTTCACAAGCTCCTTTATCAGTGTTTATCTGACAAAGATGAAGTGAAGAAATTCCTCTTTCCTTTCATTCCTTACTGCTTTTTCCATATAGGCATGTCATTTTAAAGCTGGGAGTTTAAGAATAGTTATTTTCCACAAGAATCAAATGTTCTCCCTACCTTGTACTCATTTCCTATGCACTAGTGGATTATTCAGAGCGTATTCAATGTGCGTCATGTTGTGCCTCGCCTGAACTGCTTGAGGCATTGTATTACCAGACCTGGGTGCTGCATGGATGTAGAGGTCTTGTTCATGGGTGACGCAACCCTCAGAAAGATCTTCTGTCTCCAGGAGACCCTGCGTGGGGGCGGAGGGAGACCTCCACTCACTGAGTCACTGCTGCAGCCAGACAGTGTCCTCTTCCTGCCTTCCCCATTGCTATGAAAAAAGACAACCGTGTCACAGACACCCAATAGATGAGTCATGTATCACCTTACACCAACACTCTTTCAGCAGCTTTTACAAATGCAGACAGACACACACACACACACACACACACACACAAATCTAACCTCTCCTCTCAGAAACAACACAGGAAATATTACATACAAGTTTCTCTCTGAGCTGATGGAAAATGAAGGAATAGTCAAGGTGAACCTTAAACATATCGATGAATAACATACAGGCATTGACTGATTCCCGATGTTAATAAAGCAGAACGTGGTGTTGTAGGTCACGATTAGTACTAAAATGACAACAAACATCAGCCACTGAAACAGCCACAGCTGAGGGCCATGCATGCTTGTTCATTTTCTGAAAAAAGAAGTTGCTTTTGTTAGTGGAGAAGAAAATGTGGTTACTGAGCTGCTGCAGGTCCTGAAAAAATTTCATTGCCTCAAATTACTTATTAGGTTCACATTTTTCAAGTCATAATATGCAGGCCTTGAAATACTACACTTGGTAAGTGCTAAAACAAATCCTAAAAAAAGGTCCCCAAACAGAACCAAAATAATGAAAATAAAGAGCTTGGTCACACATGGAAAGACAGTGGGGGGCTATGAGGTTAACCTGCTATTTCACACAGTACGTGAAAAAGGGTGGATAAAAGAGGAGAGCACAACCTGGGTTCTCAAAGAAGGAAAGTTGTCTCCACTTCTTTTACACGTATAATGATGCACCATAAAATCACAGACTCCGTAGTACAACATAATTAGTACAATAGCAGCAGAATCAAAGAATATTTCTGTATTCTTTTGCAGGTTGGGTTGTTTTACTTACGTGATCAGTAAAGCTGCATTCAACTAGATGTGATTGTGTACACATGTGACTTTAACATCATAATGTAAAAGTCTGAAATAAGCCACAGTTATGGTTTTTGTTATCTAATGCAGGTTTCTGTTTTGCTGTTCACAGTCATATCAACGCCTACTGCGTTGCAGTTTATGAGCACGAGTGAAATTTCATGTTACACATTTATTTTATGACATATTGTATTTGTAGAAATTCCACTGAAATCCTGTCACCAATGACTTGATGATGATATTTTTCGGTTTGTTTGTTTGTTTGTTTTTAAGACAGCCGCTCTTGCAAGTGGAAATTCAGGGTGAATGGTACATTTTTATTTCAAGGTTTGAATACGCACATACGTATGTATATACCAGCTGTACAAGCTGTGGAGTGTGAAAATGAAGTTCAGGTTCTGAGATTTATTGATGAATCGTTTAAAGTTGAAATTGCATTTTTTCCTCCATTAAAGAAACAAGCTTTTTATGTTACTCATTGAGGATCACTTGATAGCTACAGTAGTCAATAAGCTTGGTCAGCACACAAGCATCCATCTGATCATGTGGATAGTGAAAAACAGGAAGTGACCTTTATTGAGACAAATGTCACTGAGACCATGTTTTAACCCTCTCAGCTGTTCTGCATACTTAGCATCTGCCCTTTAACAGATTAAAATGAATCGTGTGATATATTACCTCTTATTACGTTTTCCTGCCAGTAGAGTCATAAAGAAAGTACAGACAGCACTAGGACAGGAGTAAAGTTATCTCATAGTGTAACGGCTAAAGCAAATCTGGCATATTCAGATTTTAAAACCCAGCAGGTCGAAGCTTCAGCTCGACCTTCATCATCAGGTTCAACGTGTGCTGAAAAGCTTTTCTTTCTCCTTTTGCTACATCAAGTTAGAAGTGCGCAGAGGATTGGCCTGCTGTTAGAGGAGAAAAACATCCAGCAGAAATGCCATTTTAGAATGGTCCGCTCCACTGAATCTCATTCATAATGGAAATGTTAACCTTTACTTTCTGCCATCCAGACACCTGTCATGGTAGCACTGCCAGAGAGGATATAGAGGCTCTCAAGCACACCGTGGTGCGCTCTCTGTTCTTGGACATAATAAAGTTAGCTGACTGATTAGTGCAGTTGAGCAGTAACAATAACCTTTCAAAATAAGTGCATGACTAAACTGAGTCAGCATGATGCTTAGAGTTCCTAAGGCATCATGAACAGCACTGGTCAGGAAAGGCAATGGCACAAGTGTTAAAGTGCAGTTAATAAAGGCTGTAAATCCAGGTTAAACACAGTTTTGTTGTGCAAAACAGCTTAAAGTTCATGCAAAGACAACAAGAGAGGGGTGCATCAGCATCCCCTTCTACTTCTGAGCGAAACAGGAAGAGGGCGGGTCTAGCTGCAGAGATGAAAAAAAAACAGCTGGAAAGTATTTTACCAATAAAAAATTGCTATGGATAGAAAAGAGTACAAGGATATAGGGACAAAAAAGCTGGGTGTTAAAAGGTTTGGACAGCCAACACGTATGCCATCTCAGCAAAAAACAGTCCGTCCCTCCCACACATCTCATCCCCTCTGTCCCTGGCTGATGCGTTGGGGTCTAAAAGCAGGGGGGGGCTATGCCGGAGCACCCCCCTCTCACCTCTTGAGGCTCCCACTGTCTGCCAGGGAACTCAGGGAGCCCAGTGAGCCCTGGTAAATGCTTTTCAGGAAAGTGGGGGTGGAGAAGGAGGAGGGGAGGCTGAAGGAGGACTCGCTCTCCGAAACACTGCGCGTTCTCGAGACAGCCACGGGACTGGGCGAGCCAAACACGAAATGCCCACAAATAAAAAAAAACAAACACATTACACAAAAGAAAATGCTTCTGGTCAGACCACAGAAAAACAGAGGAACTCATGAGCGATCAAAACAGTGACAGGAAACTTGTGATGTTATTGTTCAAGGACAGTGGAGCAGGAGGTGGAGAGTTTCAGGAATGATCAAAGTGCTGCAAATAGATTACATTGTCTGTGTGTAAATCAAAGGTTAACTAAATATTTAGTCAGTGTTAAACTGATTAAAAGACAAGCAAAGGGTTTTGATTTTCGGAGCAAAGTTAGCGTTAGCCATATCTTCAGACAAAACACAAAAGTTCACTTCTGTAGAAAATATTCACTGCAAATCATCCACTCCTGCAATATTACTAAAGAGAAGCATATTCCGCATTGATCATTCCCCACAGGTTCCAACCAGGAACGCAGAGACTGATAACTTTAGAGTTAGGTTACCTGCTCTGCAGCAGTTCTGGGTTAACAGACTGCTGTCTGCGCAGTGGAGCCTGTTTGCCCTGGCTGGACGGCTGTCCCTCAAATGAGATGCGTTTCTTCACAGGTGGATGGCTGAAGGTGTGGGCACGCCTACGGAACTGCAAGCCGGCTTCCGGGTCATCGTCTGGAAAAGCGGGAGGGGAACCTGGAGGGGAGTGACCAGGAGATTCCTCATCCTGCTAGAGGGGACAAAATGTGAAAGGGATAAAGATGTGAGTGCATATGTAAAACTTTTGCAGTAATGTACATTTATGATATTTTATAGATTTAATTTAGCATGGTTGGGCTTATCTGACTGTGGGTGCCAGTGTGAAACAATGAGAGAATGGTGACAAGCTTAACACACAATGCAGAAAAAATCCTTATACCTGGGTTTGAGCAGGCAAGATCCTTATACCTGGGTTTGAGCAGGCAAAATTCAAAGGGTAATAATCATTCTGAAGTCAAACTGCACGTAGCTAGTAACTGTATTCCCGAGGCATAGCACCAAAACCAAATAAAACACCACCTCAATTACTTAAGTTACACGTCTACACTCACCTAGCCGATGTAACCCCACGGCAAGACTCGCTCCAGGTTCAACTTTCCACTCAACACCCTTGGATTCAGTGTTGCCTCATGCCAGGCAGTACAACTCCCACATCTATTGTATTCTAATGGTCAATGTCCTGTGACTCATAGCATCACACACTATTGGTGGGGAGGACCTCAGTGGCTCAACTGCACATGAAAACCCTCTAATCTCCTCCCATCATGCTTTTAGAGACCTCCCTCTCTAAAGATCTGACATGACAGGAGAAATTCAGAGACATTTGAGGAAGAACGTCTAATGGAACTGCTGTCACTATCTTGAAAGTCCTTGCACTGCTAATGTCACTGAAGATCACAACAGGTCTGTTGTACACATCAAAATCATGCCGTCAGCTGAGTGGCTTAATTGCAATTTGTAGATCTTAGGAAACATTGATAAGATAAAGTGACTCAGTGAATCAGACACCCGTGCAGCGCTGTGTCAGGGCTAAGAAGAGGAAGCCAGGAGAGGCATGGCTCAGCAGTCGTACAAATGGACATCCTGGCTTGAATTTCCTGCTTGCTAGGACATCGGCATCCTGAGACAATCCCCAGATGACTACTTACTCGCTTAATCACAGAGCAAACAACATTCTTCTGACCTTCAAAAATATAACAAAGAGGGGCACAGGTGAGCCTTGAAGGGGCAGATTTACCTTGTACATACAGAATATACATGTGTGTAACAATGTCACTTAAGTACGCCTTAAGGATACACAGGTTGCTTATGAAAATACAATAGCTTGCTCCTCTTACGTAGGGTTGTCTGTGTCTGCAACAGCCAGTATTTGTGGATTCAGTAAAGGTAAGAGCAAAATAGCACAGAAAAAAACTCCATCACAACCTGCTGATGTAAATAATTTTCCTAGTAAATCCAACATGACATGATTGATGCAACAGGCAGTAAGTAAGTAAGTCATATGACAGCTAAGAAAAGGGTCTATTCAATATCTCTCTGTGTTTAAGAGCAACACATCCTTAAAGGGTCATGCCACCAATTTTACACATCAAATTATTTTTACAGTTCTTGGGGAGTGCTACTGGATATGTGAAGAAAAAACTGTAAAACCTTTTGTGGCTCCAGACGGAGCTGCATGAAATTTGATAAAGTGCCTCAAGTGATGTCACTTGATGTCAGCTGTGTCTAAATAAGTTTAAAAATGTTAAGAAAAAAATATCTGAAGTTGTGGATGTAAGGTTACCAGGCTTTTGTAGTACACTACTCATGTCTGCTTGAGGCTGGCAGCTTGACTCTTTATTAGCCTCTATTGACATAACACACCTGAATGTCCAACCTAAGTGATGGCGGTTTAGTTGCATTGTGGGTATTGTTGGCACCAGGTTTGGACAAGGAAGAAGTGTGTATTGAATAAAAAAAAAAATCTGTGGTTCTGCTGTATTGATTTTGATACTTGTCTTTTTAAATATCCGACAATGTTAAAGGAGTGCAATGCTAAACCGGTGGAGTACTCTTAACTCCATCACGACGATGGGGAGTCAGAGGGACTACATTACACACTCACTCCACATTCTGCACAGCAGTGACACAGTGGAGCCAACAACCCCAAATGGTTCACTGATCGCTCTGTAAACACACTCCCTGCTGTACTGTTCCCTACTTTGGCCAATGGAGCTTCATCATGAAACTATGTGGGAGTAAGGTAGTGCAGAATCATGGCTCCATGTGAGAAGAAAACTGTTGACAGTGTCCAACTACTAAGAATGATGAAAGTTAAAGCATGCTTGTCACACTTGTACTATTCTGAGGACATTGCTGGAATATAACATGCTTTTAACAGCCACTGGGTAAAGTTCTGGGAATTCTCGTGTTCCCCCTCAGGGACACTTACCCGTTCAAAACTGCTAATGCTTCCCATGCTCCCCAAGCGGCCCCGCATCCGGCTGGCACCCTGGTGACAGAGGTGGTGATACAATATGAAGCAACCAACAAATTGAATTAAAACAAATATGCAAAAACTGTTTTCAAAAAGTGTACCAACTGTTAATGACAAAGTGTGCAGTTGGTATTGTTAAGGAAGTAAAAACATAAACGGCAAGAAATAAAAAGGGCAAATATTTCCTGACTTGATAACATTAACTGTGTCATTGTTCAGCTAAGTCTCTGAGACGATAACAGATGGCAGCAGAGGTCTCAGATTGCCTGGATCCCTCTACCAAGGAATTATTCTGCTGTCTCACTGGCAAATATGGGTCAATCCAAATCCCCTGGATGACAGTGACACAGAAACAGCAGCTGATACAAAGAGAGATCAGTGAGACACTTAAAGGTATGCAGCACGGTGGCTATATTCTGTCTGGGGCGGAGAAATAAGAGACACGGATAAAGGGAGAGAAAAAAAAATGGCAGATAAAATAAAAGCAGGAAATTAAATAAAGATGAACGCGGGGGCATGAAGATCATGTGTTATAAAAATTAACAAAAAACCCTCTCTGCTCAGACCCACCCTCGCAAAGATGTTCTCCAGAGAGCTGGTGAGGGAGGTGCGTGCTTTATTCTTGAGAATATCAAGTTTGAAGCGACTGCTGGTGGCTGCGCCGTCTCCTGCCGATGAGCTGTTTGCTGCGTTCTGTCAGATGATAACAATGGACAAATTAATCACCACAGAAACCATTAATACAATGTGACTGCAGAGACTGTCACTGTATACAAACTCTGTGCAGGCATACAGCAGCAAAGCACATGGCCAAGAATAACACTGGGCCGGTTGTTGGGTTTCTGCCACGTGAATGGTAATATTTAACATACAGTCCCCCAGGCTAAATCACGCTAAAGTAATAATCCACAACTCTGTCATACTTAAATGTTAGACTTATGGAATGTAACACTGATTCAATTGATATCCAGCTTCTTCCCAGGAACATTATGCATCCAGATGGGAAGTGATGGACCTAACATTTAAAGCTGCAATAGGTCCTGACAGTAGTACACGAGACAGATAATCTGTGAAAACAAGTCGAGTTCCTCTGGTTCGTCCTGGTGCTCTGAATGCCATTAGGAGTAGCCAACATGTGCTACTGTCAGCATGTAGTGAAAGTTTAAGAAAATATGACAAAAAGTTATTTTTATAAAAGTTGCATACTGTAGCTTTAAGACAGCAGCAAAGAGCTGAAAAACTGAGGTTTTTTCATCAACAGCAGCCATCACAAGGAACTACAGTTCTAAAACAAACATTCTATGCAACCTAAAAATCACTTACAAAAAAGTGTCACAGAAAAACCCAGTCTGAAGTTTGTTTGTTGGAATTCAAGGACTCAAACTGGCTTGTTTAGGGTTAATGCTTATGTCATCATTGATTTTTTTGGCTAGTCTTTACTGTGGCTTTCTTGTTTATTTGAACCTTTTGCTATATCAACACAAAAACCCAAAAGAAAACCTTGGGATAAGAAGTCCTCGTAGACAGAGGTCCACAGAGACACATTCAAATCTGTGCTACTCTGCATAAAATCCTTTACTTTTCAGAAAGCTTTATGGTGTAAATGGACTTTTCCCACATTTCAAGGATGTTTAAGGCCCTTGGAAACTTTTTAAGCATTCATGCTACACCACTCGATTTTGATTTAGGTGAAAATGTCCTTTCTTCAGTTCTTTAGTTAAGTTAAAACCTCATAAATCAATCTGTAACTTGGAACAGGCTCATTCTGCTCTTGTGACATAGGAATACAATTTATGCAGTATACTTTTTGGATGATTATCTGCAGGGTAAAATATTTACCTGAGGGGTCTCTCCGATGTGGAGGTGGGACTTTTGTTTGGTTTCACAGAGCTGTCTTAGATGGAGAATCACCAGCTCATTCTCCTCTTGGTCTGACCCAGGCTTCAGTCTCTGCAGACATGGATACAAAGAGATCAATCACCAAAAAAAACTTGTTATTATGCGAGTCATTTTGCAGATAATAAAGTGTGCTTTCTCTAAGCAGAGCTGAACCTTACCTGAACTCGCTCAAAAATTTCAGCCTGCTCATTATCAGTCAGCTGGGAGAGATATTTTTGGATGGCTAGCTTTGCTCTGGGTGGGTAGAGACCTGAAAACAGAAGAGGAAATAAGAATGCTCTTTTATGTTGCTTCAAGTCTAAAGAGCAGACTATGCATGAATATATTTATGAGTCAAGCCAGAGAGGGGTGCTGGAGTGTGACTGAGTTTACCTTCAATCCGCTCGCAGAGCTTGTGCAGGTCGTGCATGGGGCAGGCTTCACAGAGCTGGACCTGGGTCTTGTTGCTCTGTAAGGCTGCTGCTGTAGTGAAGGCCTGCTTCAGGGTCAGCATCACCTCATCCACCTGACACACACAGACAAACGTAGGGGCAAGACGAGCACGGACACACACACACACGCACGCAGAGGTTGGTAGAGATTAAAATAAAGGTACTGAGTTCAACTCAAGTCATTTTAATTTACATATTTTGTGTGACTCACCAGGGACTCACTGGCACACTGGAAAACATAGCACACATACTGACTGGGACCAGGCTCTGATTGGTCCCGACAGATGAATCCAAAATGGTCGCACTGCTTGATGCCCTGTTTCAAAGTGAAGACAAACAGGAAACTAGAATAAATCACAGCAAGTGAAGACAATACTTTTGGGTCTATGTATTCAGCCCAGCTATACAAATGATAAGACTGGAACCAAGAACAGCACATCTCCCTGACACTATAATGGCTCTTGGCATTCTCCATTTCCAATTTCCATTAAATTAGTCAAATGGGCACTTGGCTCCCACTAGACAGTGCATTATCTTTATGCAGCGTGTCTATTTAAAGAAATGGGACTGCATCGGGGAGTTAAAAAAAGAACATATTTTTACATAACTGATAAAGATGTCATTCGCCATCAAATTAAGGATTGGAAATAAAAAGCCGGCTGTACTGTCAAAACAGCGCAGTAATGTATTAGAGGCCTAGAAAAAATATGCACAAAATTAGCCGGAGCTAATTCTCAGGATAGGACTGCTGCAAGGACAGAGGAGAGAGGCTTTTAGTGTAAATACAGCAAGTAAAAATAAACCAACCTGACAGCAGGATGAGATATCTTTGAAGTTCTTCTCCAGCACCACTGTTTTACTGTCAGGACTTATGAGGTTTACTTCAAAACGCCCAACCTGAGAATCACCAAAGCGTATTATGGTCGGACAGATTCATGCAAGAATACATACAGATACAGTCATGAAACAACAACAATATCTGTATACTATATGTAGATCACGGATATAACTTGAGGCAAAGTGTCTCAGTGTCAAGCTCCTCGTGACAAGAGCTGTAACTATCCTGAGACCCGTTCAATGACATACGTAAACACACTCATGCACTCTTAAAATCAAGGTCAACAGGCCCACGCCAACGATTTTTCCCATAATTGACTGCTATGTGGAGTATCATATTGAGCGTTGTGCTCTAGTTTTTAAAATTAGCTTCATGAGGAAATGGGCATGGTGCGTCAGGAATGGCAGCTGGCTCACTGTGCAGCCGGCATGCGTTTCATAAAGCGCCGTCCTTACGTTTTCACGGGGGTAGCGCTGCAGTCACACATTCTCCTCAGGAGTTACAGCCTCTTTAACTGGAGCGGTAACACAGGGCCGAGCTAGTCTGTACATTATAACTGCCAGCCATGTGCACATAAAAATGATTTGCAAGAGGCTCAGAGGCTGGACTAAATGCAAAGAGGGTGACAAACAATGACAAACGGTGCAAGGCAAGCAAGCATTTGGTTTTCTGGTGTGACGGATGGAATCAAGTTCTTCTAGAGAAATTACGACTTAGCTGTAGTGAGTGGGGAAAAAGAAACATCCATCCATCTCACTGACAAAGGGAGTATATTTAGAGTTTTGCCCGTAAACCTAACATCCACTCCAATTTTGGAGTAAATCCAAAGAGTATAAAATATTGCCACAACACACACAACTGTACGTTGTATGACTGAAATTCAAATAGAATACATCCCTTGGTCCTGGCCAGGCACTTGAGTGCATACTAAGCCACAATGAGAGAACGTTGCTGTTATGATAAAGCTCCTCAGCACTGTGTTCTTCCAACGGACTGCGCATCTACAGTCTGCTGGACACAAAGATAAGAAACCTCTAATCCCCTAAACTCATCCTGAAACCAAGACATTAGCGAAAGTACAGCACGTCATTACTAACAGCATTTTTCTTCAGTAAATTTCATTCTACCTGGAAGAGCATGGTACGGTTCTTGTCTGCGTCAGACGGCTGAACATGGTTGGGTGCGCTAGAGTGTCTGCGGCGCGTGGGTGCCATGATGACGCCTTCTCCCGGCTTCTTCTGCAAACTCCCCGCCAGGCTGCTGCAACGGGTACGAAACTCCTGAGGCTCCTCAAATCCGGAATCCTCCAGGATGCACTCGGGGAACGCTCCTCGCAGGCTGCTCTGACTGGCACTGCTAGACAGACCTTTACCTAAAACACGTACAGCAAGTTTGTTTTATATAATACAATAGTAAGAATATTATTATAATAACATAATATATACTACTAGAAATACTGTTTATTTAGCATTACATGTTCTTCATGAATGATTTACTGATGAGGATGCTGACTTTTGGGTGGGACATGCAGGTTTAGCCTCAGTCTTGTAGTATGACATCATATTAACATCAATTACATATTAAAGACCCCAAGTTAGCTGGAAACAAAAATCAGGTGGAGACCTAAACATTTTTTTAAATATGAATATTCTTTCATCAGTTTGAATTTCAAGTGATAAATCTACCACTGTATTAATTGTGAACAAGAATATGTGCCGGGCAAGAACTAAAAAGCTTGACAGGCGTAGCAACAGTAACTAAGGGGTGCGGGGCTTAGCAAACCATTTATTCTCTGCTGTAAAGATCTGGCTAAAGCTACTTGCAGATTCTGCTTTGACCTTCTGTTCTTACTGTGGTTTTGCATGCACAATATTTTAATAAAACAACTAATCCTAATCCGCAATCTGCATGAGGATCCACCTCCAGTCATGTCCTCCACTCCAGGGCAATCAGGGTCTTCTATACTCTTATTCAGAACAGCAGACAGAGGGTCTCCTTCTCCCCCGATGAGGAACTCCACGGGGGCACTCTCTGTGGACCCTCGCTGACCGTTGAGCAGCCGCAGGCGCTTGCGTTCGACCTCATGCTGACGAAACTTATCGATGCAGTCATCAACGAGTGTGGGTGGAGCCTTTTTGTGCACAACTGTCACCTGCATTTTTTTTTTTTTCAAAATTGGGCACCATTAATTTAATTGCCTTGTCAAATGAAAAAACTCCAGTTCCAGGAATGTGTTTATTTCTACCTTGCCACAGTAGAGCACTTCAAACTTCTGGGAGTTGTAGAAGGCCTCGTCAGCTTCCTGTTTTGGCTTGGTGTCTTCCTTTAGGGCTGATTTGGACACTTGGCGAATGCTGCTGATCACCTCGGGGACCTGTAAGAAAGGAGAGTGGAACGGAGGGATATGATGAACAGGAAGACTTTAACAAGGAAAATCAGAACAAAAGGAAAAAGGGAAGTGAACTGGAACCAAACGGCAGTTTTTAGCTCCACCTACACATGAACAACATGAGCAACACAACTGAGACTGAAACAATAACATCAATTGCAATAACCCTCAAAAGACAGGTTTTATAATATTAAAATATACAGCCTAAATAAAATAACCTGTGCATCTTGCAGTGATTAACCCTCACATCATATCAATGCATGTGCTTTGGACATAAATGTGCAAAAACAGTTGTCAACGCAGAACAAATAAAGCTATGTTTAGCAGATTGTTGCTTCAAAGAACTTGTTTTGATTAACAAATAAGATGACCTGACTTCATGTTGCGACTTAAAATAACTCAAGGCTAAAAAAACAGACCAAGATTTGAAATAACTATGGCTAGACAGACACTCTATTAGTAAGAGAAGTAGGCGAGGAGCCAGGAAAAGCCCACACTACATAGGACAGAAGACAAAACAGCGCTGGAAGAAATCAGAGACTTGAAGGTGACATAGCCTGCTCCTATTCCACACTGCGTTAGGCACTTGCACCTTGCAGGAACGGCAAGGAAGTTTGCTTTGGCAACATGTATCCAGGAAAAAAAAAAGAAAAAACAAACATGTCAAGACAGAAAATGTAAGTCTTTCAAAGCACACTCTTAAGCAATACTTGCCAATCCATCCCCTCAGTCTTAAGACACTTTCACAATTTTGGCAGACACAACAGGACTGAAAGCCTCCGAGTTCCAGCGAGAGCGCGTAGAACCACAGCCAAGGTCAGCCAAATACCCTGTTTAAGGCAACAATGAGTGCTAAAACAAACAGTGGCTCCACACACTGCACACATCTCCTGTCGTATCTGATAAGAGTTGCATGCTGGCTGTTGAGCAAATAAATTTATTATGTAGACTAGGGAGGGACGTTATGTAACAAAAGACACCAGGCTTACTTCAGAGGTGTAACCAGAACAGGATAGAAGCAGGAGGGCAGGCAAACAGGAAAGAAATGATTGTGAATAAAATGAAACATCCTGGCAAAGTCTATCCCTGCTTTTCAGGGAGGCCGGTTTTAAGTATGAGACACAGAGATCAAATACTTGTCTGCCATATTGCTGCTGTGGTTACATGAGCTATTTTAAAGTCCCATTTTCTAAGTGCGTGCCTTCCCAAGGGCGGTGCGTGGCTACTGACTGAGATGAGAAGGAAGGCAGGTGGTGTGGGTGGTGGCTGGTTGGTCATACAAAACTATGACCTGTGTAATTGATTTTCTTAGTTAACACTTAACAGCAACCCCTGAAACGGCAGAGACCAGTGTTTACACATAAATATAACCTGAAACATGTCACCATAATATACCAAGTGTGAAAAAACAGTGGGTGAAATCAAACTGGCTACCTTTGTGGGAGGAAAAAGCAGTTCAGCATTGGTAAAAGCAGTGCTGCCACTACTAGGTCAAGGTAATTCAGAGGCCTTGGCGGCTGAGAATCACAGCTGCACTGCCTGGTCTGCCACATAATCAGGCCTGTGTCCTGCTTCGTCACAGAGGAAAAAATGACAGCGCCGACTTAACATTTAAAGAACTGCTGGATTATACATGAGTAAGATAACGCCACAGCACCAGTTGATCTGATTAATTATTTGTAGTCAACCCAATACAGAGTCAGTATACTCATTCCTTGGGTGGAGACAAGCACAGACAGGCAGAAAGCTGCTCGGGATAGAGGAAAAACTTGTGTTTTCCACTGGAAATATCCTCCCACTCCTAAAAGGTTCTTCAAGCTGTCTTTTTACATCTAACCTTCACCCATCATTGCCTGGCTTTACCAAACAATATCAGTGACACTGCTTGTGATCCAAAGCCTGCCTACATGAACACCAGCAGCTTTAGAGCTTAGGAGAAAACAAACACGAGGATTGTACCCTCTGAGCTGGTAGAGTCCCGAGCACTCTCAGTGTGTGGCTCATGTAATGTCAAACCTCCCTACAATAGTGCCCTAATAAGATCTGATCAAACAGTAGCTGGCAAATAGTTCAGTTGCCCTTATCGGCACCATTAAGCCAAACTACCGGAAAACAGTGAGGGGCCCAACACGCTCACCTGCAGCATCTGCAATCAGGCCTAATTGGACACAGGTTATCACTGTGTCAATACAAGATAAGGATGGAAACAGAGACAGAAGTATGGAAGAGAATTTCCCATGTCAGAGCAGAGGCAATGCAAGATTACATGTTTCAAGTTCAAAGTAATCAATGTAAGTTCTTGGAAAGTTACTGAACTTCATTAATTTAATTTCAACTGTTGAAAGAACAAAAAAGAACAAAAATGTAATCAGAAACTGCCTTATGAAACATAGGCAACTGAAAAACATCTGTTGCTCATTAATACAACCTAAGGTGTAAACCTGGATGAATACTGTTGCTTTACTAAACATATCTGTCTTTGTGTGTCTAAGGCTCTGCAAGGATTGGTTCTACAGGCTTACTGTTGTCACGTGTTTGTAGCTGCACCTCACTACAGCTGTGACGTCCTCCCAGTGCTTTTCCATCTGCCTAAACAAGGTTCACATCCCAACTCACAACAAAGCAAGACAAAGGCTCCTATGTCACCTTAACACAGGGCAACAAGCTCACATCCTGACTCAATCTGTCAAGATGGCAGTGAAATAAAGTGGCTTTTGCTTTCCTGTTCATCATTCTGTACACTGTTTTGCATTAAATAATATTGAATTTATGAGCGGAATTTGCTCCCAATGCATTGTTAACAGAGCAGATTTTTATCATCTAATGACAACAAGATAAGAATCAATGTTCTTTAGTTTCTCATTTTGCAAGAATTGTGATCACGTTGACAGTCACCTCACCTGTCTTGGCTAACCAAAGATAGCACAAGTGCCTCAACAAGCCTATTAACACCTCTAAATAGTAGAGAATGGAAAACATCATGTCTGTTTTTGTTTGTCATGATACTCCATAATACAGATGGAAAAAAAAATATGTTTCTGTTATGAAATAAGACCTAGCGTACAGTTGGACATAACTTATTTTTCATCCCAATTTGGTTTTATGACAGTCTGTAGTTTCTAAATGCTGGTTTAGACTTTTAAAGTGCAGTCAGGAATGTCACTCTTGCCCTGACTTGGCTCACGGGTGTGTCCCACTGTCACCACATGTCACTGAAAGATGAACAGCGTCCATGAGACAGCAGAAGGTCACCCAGTGAGAGATCCCACTGTGGTCCAGTTCCAAGTCAGAGCAGAGGTGGAAAACCTGTGTGAAGCCTGTGGTTTCACACTGTGCAGGCTCAGACTGTAACAGCACAATGGAGCCGAGCTGGGTCGGTGCTAAATTGGTGCATGCTGCCACAACACTAGTGAGATTAGTAAATGAGTATCCAAGACTCTGAGCCAAGTACGATGTTACAATTAAACTCTAAATGACAGTGTTTGTTTAACTTGGCGTTTGATATTATTCTGGCTAAATATTACATACAGCCTGTTGTCATGAATACACCAATCAAGAGTCCAGGGATGACTGAGTGAGCCTTAAATGCTGAACCCTCATATGCATTATGGCAGGACTGAAGCTGTATTTCAAGTCGAGGAAGTCAAACTTGATTTTAAGCACTCGACCTTTTAAACTAAAGGAACACATGTAATGAGACATTCCCTGTCTTTGTACAGACTATGCTTTTAAGCATGTCTTCTTGTTAAATGTTTTTTTCACACATACAAACTCTAGTAAAGTGTAGGCGAGTGAAGCTTCTCTGTTCTTCAAGACATAATTTTACCCATTCACATCCTATTGGTAGCTGCCAGGGGTCTTTCCTCAGGCTTTACACAATGTACCCTTATCATGTCTACAGCTAAGAATAGACTTGAAAAAAACATGCCTGCCACTCTAAAACAAAGCAAAGAGTTGTCATTCAAACTCAGTTGGGACTAAAAGAAAACCACAGTCGCACAATAAGAATAGCAGTGGTGGCAAATAATCATTAACAATGACTGCAACATGGTGTTGTACATGGCAGCAATGTACTGATACAATAACCCATACATTCCACATGGTCCACTGTGCACATGCTGCTAGCTCGCTGGCTGCCAAAACAGTTTTTGTTGCATAATAATGCTGTATGAGGTATGTTCAAGATGCCCCTCTGACTGCTGCAAACATTTGGATCCCAACAGGGAGGCCAGACACCTCGAAAGTGTGCCTGCCTCGAACTTGTTGCCTCCCCTACTCTCAGCTTTCACCAGCAGACAAACAGCCTGCCCAGGCCCTGCACATACCACAGGAAACACGATACGACACAGGCATATTTCAGATCAATGCAAAAACGTGAGCATAACTGGATATCTGTTTGTGAACATTATTTGTGAGGGTTTCCTCGTTCAGTGGGGAAACAAGAATAACATGAACAAGTGTAAGACTTCAGCTTGTCCTAGAGCAGATAAAGAATCATGTTGCCGCAACCTCAAACCACACGATTTACATATAAACACACAAAAAGACACTTATAACACTAATTCACTACCTCTACTTACTAACTCTCACCAACACGCAAGCAAACACACAGACACACGAGTGCCACTAGGGTGGGCTCTGGAGCGCAGTGCCTTACACATACAGTATGACTGTATGAAAAACATGACTGCACATTGATTTTCAAACTCCCACCTTCCTGATTTTGGACCACATTTCAGATTATTACTCAAGAGTGGCATGCTGATCAGCATGTAAATTTGCTGACTCGAGACTGTGCCTGTTGAGTTGTTGTCACACTACAGGCACCAGAGAGATGTCTGATCCCCTGAAGAGGAAAAAGGACAGAGATGGATTAACTTTGCCAAAAAATCCAGGGTGCTCTGTTTATCATTCCCACTGACTGGTGGCCTAAATACTTAATACCAAAGCAAACATGTTTGTGCCACTGACTAATCTACTGTGTGTGAGAGATTAAATGACATAGTTGTCACCTCAAGGAGATTTCAATTCAGGCTTTGCAGGACATTCCTTTGTCTTGTGTGTACATTTGAAGCTAGATTCAGTCCATCATAACATGTAAACAGGTGGGCCTCACTGTAAGCCCTGACACTGTAGTATATAGTTAAAGGTCCTCAGGACTTTTGAACTTGAATAAAAGCATTGCAGAGAGATGTTGGTATTGTTTAAACTGGACTGTAGAAAGGTCACTAAAAACTATAACAGTAATCAGTAATATTGGATTACTGATCCTGCATGGTTCCTCACAATGCTATTAGGTGCATTTCTCTCTTTCTCCAGCTATATTTGCAGTTGGGTCATGTAAAGGTATGTTTTGACACTCGGACAGGCCTACCTGGTTGGGGTCGCAGGCCTTGAAGACGTGACAGGACATCTCGGACTCGGGATTGTCGGGCTGGCCCCGCAGGAGATAGGCGAAATAGGTGAGGTCATTGCTGTTGTGGATGAAGCGAGAGACGAGCTGTGCTTTGTGCTCGAATATAAAGACTGAGGAGTTGTTGCTGCTGGAGGGGACACATCGGACGAAAGGGGGGTTGAGGACCAGCTGAACTTCTCTCGGCTGCACCATGGGGCCGCAGTCGCCCCTCTCGCCCCTCCTGCGGATCTCAGCCACCAGCCACGGCAGCATGGGTAGGGTGGTCCGCCTGTCCAGCGAGGACCAGCCGATGTACGTCAAGGCGAACCTCCTGTCCGACTTCGGAGGACTGCTCTCCCTCTCATCCTCCTGAGTCTCCATGTCGACCCAGCGGACTTTCGGCCGAAGCTCCTTGACAGCGATGTGGAATAGAGATTACTATTAAAAAATTATGCCGATGTAGCTACCATTCCCTGCAATCCGAGGCCAGGCGCAGTTGTGGTTACTTTGCAACAGTTTCCATGTCCACATCCATAGTGAAAGTTGTTTCCTCCAACGAAGCGATTACATGCACATGTGCTCGCCCTGCCGATCAGCTGCAACACTTAATGACATCCAGATCTCTGCAAAAAAAATAATACACTCTCCGACGGACAGTTTCCCGTCAAGGATTTCAAGTAAAATCACTTATATGGTCATGTATTGGTGGCTTTCTTGCTTGCTCTGTTCCTCCACGGTTTGCATGGGCAGTGAGTCAAACGCAAACAGTCGTGCACTGTACTGTCCCAACCAAGCTTGCTTGCTAAAACGTGGCTTTGGATGGCTCCTGTGTAAACACAAGTCGCCCTGAGAAATCTGATTTTCTTTGACGCGCTGTACGTTGCTCCAGAGCGCACAACCAGGGCGGCGCATTAACACAGTCCCAGCCCTGATATCCTGTTACAGCTGGCGCGGTCGCATGTTTGTTTCTCTTCGGTCTTGTAAAATACATAGGCTGCACACATTGATGCTTGTTTATCGCCTTTTAGTGTCAGTCTCTCCCGTCTGTGATCCTTTCTTCCACAGCGCCTTGGAGGCGGAGCGGCTGTGCGCGTCGACGACCCGCCCAACCATCCCATGTGCTGGAGGAGTGGGCAGGGCACAGCCGCCGTGAGAAACGTGACAGGGGCGAAGCTCCACCTTTCTCCTCAAAAGTACATAATAACTGGAAAGCCTCTTCCATGGTAGTGCGGAAAATGCTTGCAGACCAAATGGCACTAGTGATGCGGGCCCATAGTTCTGTTGTTTGCAATCCCATCTACCAACAACTGCTTTCCCCAGGTAAAAAGTGCAAAAACTGTACTTTGGCAGCACAATCAAACATATGCAATACTTCAGCAAAGGCAGCTCACAACTAACTGTTTACAAGCAGGCTGTGCTGATTCATAGTGCTGGATGGATGTCATCACATCTGATATGCTTTCTGCTCCAGAGGAGTTCCCATCTACCAAATGCCATAATTCAAGCACTCCGCCTATCCTAAAAATAGTGCCTGTGCCATATATAATCTCATCACTGAGGCAGTAACCTCTAGAGCTCTGCAGCCTACCAAAGCCCACACTACTGGTGAGGATGTGGTGTGTACACATCTTAAGTTTTAGATTGTGCCACCAAATAGACACACACAAGGCCCCAGACCTCCATTTGATGAAATCATATGCAAATTTTCTTCTGTTGACATTGTATTCAATTGCCTGTCTACAATGCTGGCAGTGAAAATGGAAATTATTTAAATCTAAGGTTAAAATATGCAATTGTACACAATCTGCATCCTAGATAATTGGAACAGCGATAAGTTTGCTGCAGACCACTATATGACCACTTCCCAATATTTTTTCATTGATATTTTTTCATCATTGAGTAAACTGACGACCCCTTATTTAGTCACATATTTTATGGATATTTGTATAATATTCAATGCATAATGCAACTGATAAACTGTACAAATGAACCCAAATAGTGAACACAATATTTGCAGGAGGTTTGTGTATAACGAGCGAAGTCGATTATTTCCTGTGAATATTGCATCAGAGATTAGTTTTCCAGATATTTTCAGAACTTTTTATACAAATCTCTCTGTATTATGTGTTCTGACTGTTGAGCAGAGAGTGAAGGCTCTGTGAACACAGCTTATGTTCAGGTCCTCACTCCACCCTTATCCTGTGAGGTTTTATAGGTTTAGATCTTAAATAATTATTTATAATAATTTATGTGTTTACTGTTCTGTGATTGTTTTTGGTCTGGGACAAACAGATGCAAATTAGCCATGAGCTAACTCTGGTGCAATTAGTTTTAATTGTGCAATGTCCCTGCAAAAATAAACACTGACACTAATTTACAGCCGTCAGTTAATTTAGTGTATAATTGCATTTACTTTGCTTTGCTCTGAGCTGAGGTTGGGGTCAAATAACCATGCAATGAAGGTTTACTTTTAATAATTATTTATTGCATCACTGTTGTATGGCCTCCAAGTGTGGAGAGAACAAAGTAGAAAAAAGGCAAAGACCTCCTCAGAGGTACACAGTAGGCATTTTAGCATCACCAAGGAAAACAAACATCAACAGTAAGTCTTCATAATTTGGATATTAACAAAAAAGCATGAGGACTGTAAAGACGAAAATGAATGAAGAAAATGAAGAAGAAATGTACTGCAAAGTTTCAATGCAATTCTAGTCACTAACTTAAACTATAGAGTATAATACATGATGTTGTATAGAGAGTTAATCACAATCTCGTACCCTTGATAAAAACACAACAACATAAGCAATAGGCTGTGTTCACTGTGGCAATGTTTGTTCATTCTGTAAAGTCTAAAAGTGCAAAACCAGAGGCAAACAGAAGTTTAGTGCAAACTATGATTAATCTAAGCCATATCAATGTCAGACATTTTGTAACAAATGAAGCATTATTTGAATATTAGTAAGGGTTTTGCAGTATTAGCAGTGTAGCTTCAAACTCTGATGCCAGTATGTTAGGTACACCGAGCTAAAACCAATGCAATCTAACAGTTCTGCAATAAATTCCTAAAACCATCATGATGGTGCTGTTGAGTTGTATTGTGTTACACTGACAGGTGTTTTTATTATTTAGTCCGCCCCACTTACGTCAGTAAGTGTAAGCTAAATAACAGAAACACCTCTCTGCAATACAGTGCAACGGCACCACACACTACATCCTCTGAAATGATCAGACAGTTGAATTAAAACAACAAAACTAAACTTTGTAACCATCATGAAGGTTTTGGGATTTATTGCAGGACTGTAACCAGGCTGCATTCGTTTTAGCTAGATGTACTTAATAACCTGGCAACAGGGTATACAGTACATAAAATCATATTCATATCGATACGTTGATGGGAGGAAGTACAATGTTCAAAGTGAAGACACGTTTTTTTAAACTGTTAAACTATTATACATCTGGATATGCAATCTGTGAAAAAGTGGAAGTGCAAAGCAAAGCCAACAATTGACATTTGCAGTAATTTGTATCCACAGTTTCAGTCAGACAGCAGACAAAAAGCTGTGTAAGAATCTTCTTCCGTTGGTTACATGTAAACTGGGGTGTAATTGCGACAAGCACTTGTGCTTGCAACCATCATACAGTCTCCATAACAGCTGCCATCTCCTTAAACTGCTTGTGAAAGTTCTACAGAGGACAGAAAAAAAGAATCTCAGAATCAAACCAATAATAAAATACACCAACAACACTACATTCGCATCAACAAATACAGACCTGGAACTGTGGAATGGTCATCTCAAAAGACCTCTGACTAATCTGTCCAGAGGGCTCAACAAACTTCAGCAGTAGAGACACATATGGGGAGTTGAGAGATCGGCATGTGTCGGAGCTCACTGCCATGCCAAGCTTCCACTGCATGTCCACCATCTACAAAGATACAGCAAAACCACACGGTGAGTCTTATTAGCCTTGAAAATATAGACAAGATTCTGTGTTTAAATATTAAAAAAATAAATAAGACTGCTTTAATGCATTCAATTTGGTTGTACCTGGCTGATGCTGAGCATGGCCTGGACCTCCTGCTGAGCATGGACTAATACACCATGTTCACTCCACAACTTGTGCAACACCTGAAGGGAAGCTTTGGACCACTTGTTACTGCCTTCTTCCAGCTTTGACACAAGGTCATCACCAGAGATGTTGCTCTTCCCAGCTGACCTGGTGATACAAATGTTAACTATCACACCTTACACAACAACGTGTTTCTTTATGTATAATTAAAGACTTCTGTCAGGTCCATAACCCGGGATTAAAGCAGTGACAGCTCCATTACACAACTGGAGCCTATGCTATGGGTTTGGAATCGACATGCATATACATTAAACTGGACAAACATATCAACATGCAGGCCTCAATTAACTGCATAAGGAATATCCATGGGCTACACAGAAGTAGACACACCCACCAGTCATCAAACTTTAACAAGCTGCATGCATAATTAAGAAGAAGGACAAAAAATACCTGAATGTTAACAAGAGAAATCTGACAATGTTCTGTAGAGTTTCATGCTCAAGTCTGACTCCAGCTCTCTGAAATCTCTGGCCAGAAAAGAAAAACAAAACAAGTAATGAAAGAGGAACTTGGGATGATGGGTTACTATAAGTTAAATAATATTTTGAAGGAAATATTGACTCACATCAGAAATTTCAGCTGAATCTACTCCTTTCGTCTGCCCTTGAAGATATGTCAGAATGTGCTGACACTGTGGAGATTATAAGATTAGTTATCAGAACTACAATATAATCTCTATGGCAACCACACCACATCCTGTGCAACTTGTGCAGAGTATGGCTGCTAACAGCGCAACAATTAACACCAATACATTGTATTTAACATCTAGTTGTTAATCCCACTGAGGTTTGCTCCACAACAACTTCACAGTGTCGCAATTCTTAGAGGATGTGTGAAAATGCATGTTTGTTTAAACTGTAATTTAAGAAATGAATTCTGTGCCTGTGATAATAAAACAAATACTACAGGCCAACAATAACAACAGCATAGGTGCAACTTGTGCAATGCTTCACTTCTAAGCACTTAACCCACTCACTTAAATATTAATCAAGAAATATGCTGTATCCCTAGTTACCTTCTTGTAGGAATGTAACTTGTTTTTAGCCTTCATGGTGTTTATGTACAAGTAGAGATAACACATACTCACTGCTTCAGCCAACAGATCTGGAGAAAGCCTACAAATGTTGTCCACAACTTTGCTGACACCTGAAGCAGAGAAATGATTCATTCATCACGTTTCCCATATTTTCCTCCAAAGCCCACAACAGACCATGTCATGTGAGTCTGACTATGATAATTATAGCACCTCCTTGCTCAGTAGAAATCTTTTTAATTTCCCTTTTTCTCAGAACTTTATTCAATATATAACACATATATAGGACAGGGAGAGAAGATGCTGGGGGGGGGGGGGTAATAAGCAGGGCAAATAAAAAAAGAATTAAGAAAAAGAGTGTATAAATTAAAGATAAAATAATACAATAAGAAAAGGGTGACAAAACAAATGTTGAGGGTACAACATAATATACACATGTGCATGTATGTATATAAGTTTAATTAGCTCACACTGTCAGAGAAAATACTTGGTTGCATATTGTGGAGCTGGTTTTTTTAATCAAAGTAGGGTTCAACTTTTGTACATTTAGTTAGAAGTTAACCAAAAAAATAATTAAGCTGATGATACAGCAGTGTTTGGACTTAATTACATCACATATATGAAAAACCAAAATCAGCCCATATCCGAAACACAAAACAATTTATGAATAGATATTTACAAGGTAAGCCAATGAACGGAAAGAGATCTGGTAGAAATCTCCTGTGACATCCAGAATCCGTTTGCCACACGCATTTATATTCATAAAATGGAAGCAGTGATTCAGTGATCTGGACCAGGCTAGATCCAGAAGCTGTGAAACATCCATATACTGTCGATGGAAACAACATTCTTGCTGTTACCTACTGTGGGTGACCTGACATACAACATGCGTGTGCTCTGACAACTTTACAATGAACTATAACATAAAACAAGCTATTTCAGCTACCCTATAGATTAGGTCGTTTGTCACAGTGTGTTCCTCCCGTCCAACACTGTTTCCCTCCTGTTGAAATGATATGACTGGGTCGAGATATAACCTCGGTGAGTTAAAGGGAAGCACATATCAACAGGGAAACAAGTCTTCGACACACCTCCTGCTAGCTACCGTGCTAAGCTAACGCTGTTGATTGGATACTGTATCCGCAGAGCCACCGTGAAAAGCCCATCTGTGTCTGTAGTCAAACTACAATCTAACAGTCAGTGAAAACACTGTAACGTTACATGAAGTTCAAACCCACCATGTGATTCCTCTGCTGCTGGCATCTTCTCTGTTAACAGGCTGCGGATCAGACCGCCGGAGCACTGCTGCCAACGCTGCCACTTTCTACTTTGTCAAGTTTAAACACCGCTTCAGCAACTAATAATTGTATTATTAGTAAAGTTCGTTTACTAAAAATACCCGTTTAGAGACAAATTGAGCGACTTCTTGCACAGACTATTCCTCTTCTTGACAAACAATCGCTGAAAGTCTTGTTTGTATTTATTTGCGCAACCATGGTAAACGCTGCATACCGCCACCTACTGTACCGGAGTGTCACTGCTTCTTTACGGGTTTATGGCAGTCTTGGCGTTGCATTACTGCCTCTTTCTGGATTTGGTCTTTGTAGACGTCCATTTGTTTTAAAGTCGTCTAGTCTTGCTGGAGCAGACCTATCGCCACTATTGACAGTAGCCTATATGATTAGTGTGAATTAAGGGTGATTGGGACATAAGGTTGAATTGGACAATATAACTATACGTGGTTTATTTTCTCCCCTGATCAGTAAAAATATGTATTTTTTTTCTTCTTCTTTTTTTTGCTGAGCCTAAGCTGTGAAACCACATAATCAAAATTGCATGCACTCATTGATCACTTAGGCAATCATCAATCAGTAAGTTGATCCTGAAATACATCATGTGAGGAAAATGCCTTGAGCTTTAGCTTTAGTTTCCATCCATAAACATGGATATGGTGTACTATTGCAACAAAATCAATACAAAGTGTGTTAATATCGTATTTCTATTTTCGTAATTAGGTTTATTTTTTTCACACTGCAAGCCTTAGCGCTCAATTCAGATTCATTGTTCGGATCAGATTGTATTTGTTTGGCTGTTCACACTACTTTTTAATTGGGTCCAAATCAGAACAAGTCACAGTAAATTATCAATGTCAATATCAATGTTCACACTGAGGTCACATTGCAAAAAAAGACCTGCATTTGTAATTATTTTTTATTATTTTTTAAATTAAAATGAACAGATTCAGTGTGGTTTGTTCTGTTAACACTGTCATGAAAAAAACAGATCTGATTAATGTATGAAAAAGAATCAGATTTGGGCCACTTGTGCCTGCAGTGTGAACATAGCCTAATATAACTGAATGCCTGAACTGCCTCTTTCCGGATTTGGTCTTCTTCAACATTCTTTTCTTTTATAGTCGTATAGTCTCACACAGCCAGCCCTATCCAGATGGGGGGAATCATCTAATTAGTCCAATTGCTCACACCAAACCAAATAGCCATTTTCTGCCCTTCACACTGAAATATTCTCTTTACACTGGCATCTTGAATTTCCCTCGGGATAAATAAAGTATCTATCTATCTACTCACCTTATTTTCCATAAGCCTCATTGTGTGAGCTGGTTCTTGTCTTTATATATTTTCTGCATGTTGCTTGGAAATGCCATACTGTCTCATTTTAATTACGCTGATGGCAAAGACAAATGGATGTTAGAGCTTTAAGCCTTTATTGATCTCCAGTGGGGAGAGAGTAAATGTGTTTGCACTATATGTTTGAGACATTGCACAAACCTCATGACAGTCTTTAGAAAATATTATTTTCTGCAGTCATACAGTCATGATTTTGAATTTAAATGAACATTTCCAGCATTTCATGAGCCTGCATTCATTAATGTGGATCTTAACACATTATGCATGTGTTAATATGTTTTTTGCTCCTGTTTGGGCATCGTGTGTGTGCTGACAGCGTGTTATCTTCTGTCCACAATGGAATTCGCTGTCAGAAGAGGAGCAAGCCAAATATTATGAAGAGGCAAACAAAGAGAGACTGCTCCACTCACAGCAACACCCGGACTGGTCGCAGCTACAATTATGTATGTAGACTCTGCTCACATACAACTCACATGTTTACATTACTGTACTAAAGCTGATGAAACACTGAAAAGAGTCTTGTTTTTGCCAGCTGATATCAGTCTTATGTGTTTTTGTAAAGGGCAAAAAGAGAGTGACGAAGAGCAAGGTTCACACCAGCATAGAAGGTAAGACATCATTTCTGTGGATCTCTGCGTGTTTTCATGAGAAATGTGTTTAAACATCAATGACATGTGACCACACGGGACCATGTTTGCAGACAGGTGTGATGGAGCCCTCTACCTCACACACAGTCCCGATGCAGCTGCCTCATGTACAGACTGCAGTGGGTAACATCTGTCACCTGCAACAGATGTATGAGAGCTAGTGGCCGGACTCTACAACAATAGCGTCCGCAGTTCTGGTCTCTCCCGCTGCACCAAGTGGAACATAGACAACAGAGACCACACATGATGGAGCAGCTTGAGCCGGATGGGGCACCTCAGCGGTCCTGTACTGTACTGTAGATCTTGATTAAATAAATGTGTAACCAGAACAACAACACAAACCAACCTTCGCTTCTATCAGCTCCATGAACCCTTGAGTTTGTGTCTAAGTGAAAATCTAAATCCCATAAATCCTACATTTTTAATGAGGTAATTGAATGCATTTGTAAAGAGTATTTTTATATGTCATAAAACATGTCTGCAGAGCATCTTTAATCATTTTTATAGGAAAGGATAGACTTTATTGATCCCATGCTGGGGAACTTCACTCGATCCAAATACAACACAACAGATAAGAAATAAATAAAAATATATAGATATAATGAAAATAGAACAAATAGAATAATAGTTATATGTACACTATATACTGATTTGTATATACAGATGTGATATATTGCACAGGTCACAGCAGGAGGTAGTGGCATGGTGTAAAAATAAATAATTGCACAAAAATATATACAGCGGTATAGAAAACTATAGACAGGGCTGAATATACTGTACAGGTCTAATATTAATAATGTACATGTAAAAAAATGTGTTGGCAGATGTTACAGAGACAAACAGTGCTATATTATGTTGTTGCTGAGTTCAAAAGTCTGACAGCTGTTGGAATGAAGGACCTGAGGTAACGCTCCTTCTTGCACTTGTTACTGAAGGAGCTGCTCAGGGACCCCACAGTCTCATGCAGGGGATGAGAGGTGTTGTGCATGATTGACGTCAGCTTGGCTAACATCCTCCTCTCACTCACCTCCTCTATGGAGTCTAGAGGGCAGTCCAGGACAGAACTAGCCCTCCTGACCAGTTTGTTCAGTGTCTTTCTGCCCCTCTGTGTGCTTCCAGCTCCCCAACAGACTACTGCATAAAGGATTGCAGATGCCACCACAGTGTCGTAGAATGATTTTAAGAGTGTCCTGCACACATCAAAGGACCTCAGTCTCCTCAGCAGATAAAAACAACATTGGCCCTTCTTGAACATCTGTGTTGTTGGACCAGTCCAGTTTATTGAGGTGAACACCCAGATATTTGTAAGTTCCCAGTTCTTACTTCCTACTAATAAAATAAAAATGCATGTAAAAAAAATAAAATAAAATAAAATAAATCTACATTGTCAGCCATACTTATACCTCAGTATGTCTTTGAGGTTATTTTTTGGGGGGAAGCCTCCTAAGAAGAGCAACAGCGCCCCCAGGTGATATGTTAGGGGTACAAACATAGAACCTAACCGTTTCATATAAGGCAAGTATGTATTTTCCTTTTTCTTATTGTTATTATTGCAAGATGAAAAACCAACTACAAACACGACGACCACTGACAGAGTGAAATCTGCACTGGGTCAGCCGCTGTGACTCTGTCTCTCTGAAACCCGCCCATGACCCTGGACTGTTCCACTGTTGGACTGAAGGGGTGGGTTTTACATTCAAAAAGCCTTAATTTTACAGATAAAGAGCCATGACACAACTATTCAGGGTATAAAAATACTCTAGTTTTATAAACAATATATGTAACGTGTCTTCCCATGTCGTAACGTACTGTGTGTGGAGTATGTATGGTTTATGAAGAAGCATGTACCCCTACGCATTACCTAAATGTCAAGGTGCACTTTACAGACGCGGAAGTGATTTCCAGCTGTCAAACAGATTTTGTTCAATCAGTTTCAGCTCTCGGTTGAAAGGAAAACAACAACGGACGTTCCTTCAAAATGGATTGTCCACGCTGGTTGCCTCTGGAGTCGAATCCAGAAGTACGTTTTGGTGATCCTTTTCAAACTATACTGTTTTATCGAAGTCATTCATTCACAAGCATGTGAGGGCGAGCTAACATGCAGCTAGCAGAGAGAACAAAAGGTGAAGCCGGTGTGGCTGCTTTGCTAAACCCAACAGCAGTTTGAATAACATGTTTATTTGTCTCTTTTCATTTTAGGTCATGACAAAGGTGAGTATTTCTTCTCATTTATTTTGGCACCAGATGGGCCTGAATAAGCAGAGGCAAAGCGACGTACAGAGGTACAAGGCCTACCCAGCTGCGTTGCTACAGCCAGTGTAACGTTATCATTAAAGAAGACAAGACATAATGTAATGTTAGGCTCTCTCATAAACAACATGGAAGGAAACAGGCCGTGATGAATTTTGACATAAGCATTAGCAGAGTTATTGCTAGTAGCTTTCATTGTATGTCTAAGACCTTATGTTTTAAAGTTGTCTTGCCTTATTTATTTGCTTAGTCACATTTCATGCAGCTGCCCATGAGCTCTTCTGTAACACCTCTGGAAAGATTTATAACTTTAAGAAGCAAAGACTTTACTAATGTACTCTCAGATTAATAACCAGACTAATTGCTGTTCACTTTTAATAATGTAAAGACGGTTTCAGACAGAGGAAGTTCAACTGGGGGGGTTAGGTAGAAGGAGCTGGCTATTACACACAACTTTACTTTGAGTTAAACTTGTTTGGTTAGCTTTATGTATTTGTATGCATACATATTTACTCTCAGCTTTTGTGTAGTTCGTTAATTGTTTGGGTATGAAGCCAACCTGGCAATTTGGAGATGTATACGGACTGGATCCAGAGCTTCTCAGCATGGTACCAAGACCAGTGTGTGCAGTGCTCCTTCTGTTCCCAGTGACGGAGAAGGTACTTTTTTTCCCCAACATGTTTTGTCTAAGCTGTATTAACCCTAATGTCCATGAACTCACGTCCATGCCATAACAAAAAAATGTTCTTTTCTCTTCTACTTCTGTCCAGTATGAGACATTCAAACAAGAAGAGGAAGAGAAACTCAAGGGTCAGCCACAGGAGCTCTCTCCTGGCGTCTACTTCATTAAGCAAACTATTGGAAATGCCTGTGGAACAATAGGATTAATTCATGCAGTGGCAAACAACCAGGCACACCTGGAATTTGGTATGTACTTATAATGCCCACGTCATATGCAATTATAGAGGAATGAAAGATTCCCGCGTTTACTGCTTGAGAGTGACAACTCAACATGGTTATATGATTGTAGAGTTAACTGTGTGAGAATCACGAGAGCAGGAAAACATGACAAATATCACAACACCTTACAATACATAATCTCCTGTTATGGTATCAGTGTCATGTGTGCCAACCACCCCTAAATCCAAACTTATTTTTGCTTGTAGACAGTTTTCTATAGATGTTACTGCATGTTGTCTTTTCTCTTCAGAGACTGATTCTGCTCTTAAGAAGTTCCTCGAACAAACCTCTAAAATGACCCCAGAGGAAAGGGCCACATTCCTGGAAAAGGATGAGGTAAGAAAACGCTGAAAAGAACATCTTTGCTTAAGGATGTGGTGATGAAGAGGTCAGAGAATAATACTTTAGTATTTAGTATTTGGGGATTTAGTCAACTTTTTACAGTCATTCTGGAGACAGATAGTTGATTGTTGAGTCTCATTCCCAGGTCGTCAAATACTGAGGCTTTGGCAACCCAAAGGATCTGTTAAAAAACAAACAAAAAACTATTGTACTGGGGAACGCTGTTTGTACTGCAAATTATTAGCTTCTTTTCCAACTTCCTGTTTCAGAGTATTCGTGTCACACATGAATCCAGTGCACAGGAGGGACAGACTGAGGTTTGTATTGAGTTTTAGGTGATCTGTGGTGTCGAGGATGCTTCTGACAAAGATAACACCACCGTTTTTTTGGTGAACTTTAATACACAATCTAAAACCGTGTGTCTAACTCAATCGAACTTAATGTTTATTTCTTGTCTGTTTATAGGCCCCAAGTTTAGATGAGAAAGTGAATCTGCATTTTATAGCCTTTGTGAATGTTGGAGGACAGTTATATGAACTGGGTGAGTAAACCACTGCTGACGTATTTGTCACATTATTCATGGTAATTCCTTTATTACACATTTAGCAGTAATTTGAAGCACACTGTCTTGTTTTTCTGTAAATCTAGATGGCCGTAAGCCTTTTCCTATTGTCCACGGAAAAACTTCAGAAGATACTTTCCTCGAGGTAAGACGTCACAAAATAAAACAGACATATTGTCATAAAAATATCTCCCCAAGCTGGGTTGGAGTTTATCGTTTTCCTGTTCGATTGCACTGCAGGATGCTGTAGAGGTTTGTAAGATCTTCATGGCTCGTGACCCTCAGGAGGTTCGTTTCACCATCATTGCCCTCTCCAAAGACTCATACTGAGGAAAAGTCCCCTGTGACCCCAGAAAACAAAGGAAACATGACTGCCAAACATTCTCAAGTGCTGACATAATTGGAAAATTAGATATATATTTTATTTTTTTTTCAAAATACTTCAGCAAGTAATGTGGTGAAATTAATAAAATGTCAGGGATATCATACTAAAGTAATGGTCCATTTGTGGTCATACATCACTTGCTACGAGTTGGATGAAATTCTGAGAGATTTAAAGTCCTGTTGTGCAACTAAAAGTATTCCTTGTTAAGATCAAAATCTTACAGTTCCGCACTGCTGAAACATCTCGGTAACTACACTGCACTAAAGTTTGTTTACATGGCATGTTTGGCTTTCAATGAAGAAAGAAATGTAACAAATTTTTCAAGTCACTGAGGGGAAATTAACCTCTTTTTTTACTCTGGGTTCAATATTACATACTGTATGTAGTGATTTGTTTTTGATCATATGTCTAACAACATGGTCAGAACACGCTAAAGAAACCTGTTTTCCAAGGCTTTCATTTCAGTCATAGCTTTGAAAGAAACAGAGGCGTAATGCCGTTGTATGCAGTTATGTTACCAAAAGCTTATCAATAAAAAACAGTCTCCTGTAAGTGAGGCCAAGTGAAAAATGCAGACTGTACTTCAGTGTGGAAGGTGCCTACATTTTTGTAATAAGAATCAAAGATTCTGTCAAATAAAAGGCAAATTTATTAAACATTTCTTTTGTGGATCTTTTCTTTAACACAAACATCTTACATCTGTTTACCTTTGTGTAAATCAGACCTTGTCAGGTTTATTGTCAGATGTATTCAACTTAATCAGACTCACTGAGAGTTAATCAAATCTTTCCCCCCTTTTTGTTTCACGGGACAATGTTTCCTTGCTAAGCTCTGATTAAGGGATACTATGACAGAGATGTGTACTAAAAAGACCCAAACTTAATATAACTTAACTTGATTCGTCTAACACAGACTACTTAAGCCTTATATTTGCTTCAGATAAAGTTTGAAATATGTTTTTACACAATCTAAACCCCTCTCTGTAATGATTCTGTACATAGACATAGACTTGTTTGCTCTTTACTGTATATGTGTCAAGCTTCTCAGAATCAACACAGTGGAAAACAAATATTCTCATGGTGAGATGCTCTTATTAAGCCTGTAAAGGATGTCCCTCAATACGGGAGCTGCAATATTCTCCCAAACTTTTTGTCTGCAGTCAGATCCCCCTACTTGTTGGTATAATGAATCCAGTGAGGGAGAGGTAACTGACTCATCCTACTGTTTCTTAATCACTGTGGTAAACCTCTTTTAAGGTGATCCAACTTTGATGTATTAAAATCCTCATTAATCCATATTTCACTGACTGAGAAAGTAAAATTTGTCACACTGTAGTAACTGTGTAACCGTGTGATTTAAGCTGCAGAGTGACCCAAAGGGTTTTTAAGCCTGTTAGAACCACAGACCATGAATCGAAAGTATACTCCAACACAAACAGTCCTACGTTCAAAAATGTATTTGATCATTATCATTAAAGTATCAAAAGTAATGGTACACATTATGCAGAATGCCCGTTTCATTCTTTTAAATTAGTACAGTATACAGTATATTACATCTGTGGATTATTACCATTGATCTATTAACATGTAAACAGCGTTTTAATGTTGCTGGTCAAGGTCGGGCTAATTTTTAAAACTCTATATACCGTTTGGTATTTTAATCTATAACAATGCATTATATTTTGTAAGATGATATAGGTTTTATTTACCTCTGCAAAGTAACTAATTGTCAAATAAATGTAGAAGAGTAATGAAATGAAGAAAATGAAATGTAGTGGAGTAGAACATAGAATACACTCAAGTACAAGTATCTCAAAGTTGTGCTATATTTGCCTTCCAGTACTTGTCTTACAATAAATGGACCAACTGATTGAGTCAGATTTTGCAGCAGGTCCCTGCAGTGCACCTGAGCCGCCACTGCGTGTCGTTGCAGGAGAGACATTGGTTTTAAAAGGAGACCCAAACTCCTTCAAGAGACTCAAAACTTTTTGACATTTTATCAGTGTGGTGCTCAGCAGTCCACGGACTTCAAATTGTTAAGATTTGGTCCTGAGGAATAGCAAAGCGAGAACATTCTGCTGCCTGTTGTGATTCTGTGTAGCATTATATACCTGGGCTACTGCAGTGCACTGTACGGACAGCAGATTGGAAAAAAACAACCTGGGATCGAAATAATCCCCTAGAGGCTTTGAAAAACAGCGAACTGGAGTGTTCACCTGGAAGAAGCAGCTCAGGGGGACCCGTGGGTGGTCCTCGGACCGCACTTTGGAAACCCTCCAAACCACAGCCTCCCAACTCACGCAGTTTAAACTTGATGAAAAGAGAATCCCTCCTGTCTGTGCCTCGACCAGGTCCACTTTGAAGACTCGTTGGATCGCTGCATAGGTGGAGCAGACCGAACAGTGCGTGGAAATACTGTAAGGAAACCAACCCACAGGTGTGTCGGATGAAAGAACAGGTAAGCGTCGGCAGCAAGGTGATGCAAAGGGAATGCGTTACTGTTACACCTTGCATTCATTCACTGATGGGCTGGTGGAAATGAACAATAGGAGGCATATTTCATGAGTGATGAATGTGATTACAAGTTCTTCTTGACTGCTTGACGAGTTTATTTTCCCCCCAGAGCGTTCATTGTGTGTGTGTGTGTGTTTGNNCTGCCACTGGACTTTTTAAATTCGGGTCACTAGGAACCGATTTGGCCCGCCGGTGCAGCTCGGATAATAAGTTTGTGTGATGGAGTGGCGTGAACAGTCCGCCGTCAGCAGCGACGAAGCCTACTTGGAGGCGCAGAGGTGGATTGAGGTGAGTTAAAATAAATAAATAAACACATTTAAAAACTATCTCAGCGCCTTTCTCTACAGTTACTGACAGGACTTCATCATTTGAAATCATAGATAGGCTGGAAAAAAGTTGGCAACTACTTCTGATCACCATGTGGAACATCAGCAAAGTGGTGTTATGTGTGGATTTCTTCACGTTCATATATGATAGAAAATGGCTACTTTGGATTTATGTAAGAAAGTTATGAGCTTATTAGGTGTAAAGCTGAGCTTCCAGTACATCCCTCATTTAGATGTATGTTGTTTGTGTTTATGGCTGAAAAGCAGATCAGCTCCCTGACCCTCAAGGTTTAGATAATAGTAACCTGGACCAGCAGATGCATGAAGGCATGTGTCCTCACTGACCTCATATGTTTCAGTTAGCTGGTAAGATGCAATCAGTCTTTAAACCATCCCAGGCATTATAGCTATGCCCTGTATCTTATCTTCTCTCTCTCTCTCTCTTCAGAATACAGGTTCTTCTTTATTGTTGTTCGCTCGCTGCCTCCTTTGTCAGCTCTTGCCTCATACGTTTCCCAGGGCTTTGACGTGTCAGTTGAAACCATGTAGTGGGAAAATCAGCAGAGCAATTAAGAAAAACTTGTATGATCCAAGCTGTTGTATGTAGTGTAAGCACAGATCAGCCCAGATTCATAAATCAACAGGGTTTGGGGTTTCCACATAGTTTATGGCACTTGATATGAAATGTAATACTCTTACACAGAATATTGAAATTGCTCTTTCAGCAAATCCAAAACTAAAAGAGCAGTCACACGCTACGGAAAATGCAATGTTTATGGTAATGTCTGTATGTGGAATATGAGGAACAGAGGTTTCAACAAGTGATTCATTTTCTGAGGGGAAAAAATTGTCATCTTAAACCCCCCAAAAAACCTATCCAACAGCACTTTCAAAAACAGTCCCTTTTTATTTCCAAAATGTCAAATTATCTAAAGTTTCCATCCAACCTCCAGCTAGACTCTCATTCTTTCTTCTCTCTTTACAAGTGGGTAAAAATGATGTTTCCTCATCTCGCAAATTCTGGTCCCAGCAGGGTGGCGTGGAGCTGCTGTGCGGCTGTAACTAAACAAATATTGTTCTAATTTCATGAGGGGTGAATCTGAATGCTTGTGATGTGACATCAGTGTCTCTCACACTTGCACACTGGCCCATTGTAGTGGCTCAGCTCGTGGACTGTGGTGGGGGCATGATCTCAGGCAGGGGCAGGAGGATTAGGGCGACCGAGCAGGAAGCTGAACAAGTTGAATAGGTAAAGGTGTAGTCCACAAGACTGGTGTGTTAACAGGATAGGTATGAGGGGTTTGGCGTAGGCGAAGATACAATAGCAATCAAAGTTCTGGCACAGGGCAGACACTTCCCTTCAAAGAGAAAGTTTTGTGGCTATTGGAATGATTAACAAGCTGCTTGGGTTCACAGCACTTTAAACAGAGGCATGTGTGCATGGTGAGGTTGGTGGTATTGTTAAAAAGTAGACTAAATGGTCTGGAGCCTGTCACATGGACGCATTCCTGCATTAGCTGCCATGGCTGTGAACATAGCCCCCTCAGAGCTGGCCAGCTGTCAGCACAGGGCGCTGCGTCCTACAACCACAGGGTCTAGCAGAATAATAGAGGTCCTTGTTAATTCAATAGAGAGGCTGTAAGTGTGACTGTTATGACAATCAAGAACAAGCATCAGTGTTTATGCAACCTACAGGTCAGAAGAGCATGCATATGGCCGTCTGTTGTGAATAATCACTGAGTTAGTTTGCAGTTAATAATCTGTGCTTTCTGCGTGGTTATTCCATTTTGATGGTTTGGGTTTTAGCAAAGGTTGTTATATTAATAAAGCACAATCATACAGTGTCAGACACATGATGCCACTTTTTGTCAGTCACCTCTTTTGTTTAGGTTGTGATGGACAACCAGTTGTTTTCTCAAAGAGCCTCCACTCAGGAAGGTGTTACCCAGAATACTTAGAATACCTCTTTAAACAGGTTTTAGGCAGAGCTTCACTACAGCCATTGATCTGCTTTAAGGTCGTATAACAACACAGGCTGTAATCTGTATAAGATTTCAGCTCTAGTTTTGATTTGACTCCCCCTGCGTTTGTGTGTGTCTGGTTGAAAGGGACAGTATTGTGTTTCTCACACGCTCGGGAACGAAGCGGCCAATAAAAGGTAACTTAATCCTGAGGATTATTTGAAGGTTTGTTACTTATCGAGTTGTTGTCGTGTAACACTGAAGCAACTCCAAGAATCCTTTAAGTTTTGGTGTAGTATGTTGGGGGAAACAAGGTAACACATTACCAGATCTTTGGTGATATCATACATTTAGGGTTGCAATTATTTTGTATTGTTTTTTACCCTAAAAATGCCATAACCTCTTTCCTAGAATTTTTTTTTTGTTTGTTTTTCTGCATCTATTCAGTAACTTATGGTGCTACAGCCGACACTCATGAATTGCCTTCTGTGACCTTTGTCGCTGTGTTGTTTTTCATACCAGGAGCTGTGCAACTGGATCAGTCATTGGTCACCTCGCTGCGACGGCGTTCTGGGTTATTGACTGATTTGATAGAGAGCAATTAGAAAACTAGGACGCTGATGTACGCATACTAACGTGAAGCACAAGAAGCCATTCACTTGCGTTTACATGTTGATGTAGTTCTATTATTCTGATATGTTGATGGTGTCCACACTAATGGTTTCCACAGTGGTATATTTTTCTCGAGTCGGATCCATGAAATCTTTTGGATAATGTCCCAGTCGCCCTCTGATGACCCATGCTGTTGTCCTCTGCAGAAGGAAAAAAGAATTTTAGGAACAATTAGTGGTGGGGGGGCTGCATCCACACAAACCTTGAATACTGATTTGCCTCAGTGCGTCCCATGAATAAACAATAGCTGTGGTCACGGACCCAGAGACTCCTCGATTCCTATTATTATTTGTGTCGTACCAAGACACCATTCTTGGTTCGCTGCAATAATAAGAGTTTATTTCACACGCTGCACACTTCAAGAGCCCGTAATGAACTCTGAGCACTACACTTCTGCCTTTTATTGTGTGGGGGGGAAAATCGTTGTGAGTTCTTCAACACGTTCAGCAGCACATTCTTGAGGGGAGCGAGGGTGGGTTTGCAGGAAGGCAAGCTGTTTTTGAAATCTCTGCCGCTGCCTTAAATCACCCTGTTAAATCAGAGTAGCGGTATGTTGTTGCAGATTAGAGTTATTTTCCCACATGGCAGGTTCAACAGGAGAGAGAGAGGGCACAGCAGGCTGGATCTAAGGGGAGTTCATACCTCTGAAAATGACGATGGAGAAGAGAAAACTAGCTTCGTGCCAGCTTCAGCGCCAGGGCCTCCACACATGGACTAGGAGATAATATCTTAATCATCCCATTCACTCTGTTTGCCTGATGTAACTTTGATAAGATAGTGTGTAATCTTGGGCGTCCGGTTAGCTCAGTGGGTAGAGCTGGTGATCCATGTACCGAGTCCTTGCTGCAGCGGCCCAGGGTTCGAATCCTGCGTGTCATCCCCTCTCTCTGCCCCCCTTTCCTGTCTGTCTTCAGTTGTCACTATCATAAAGGCAATAAAAGCCAAAAAAATATACTTAAAAAAAAAAAAAAAAGATAGTGTGTAATCTTGGCAAAGGAGGGACATCAAAGTAGCAAACACCTTAAGTATGCACCAGGGAATCCAAATCATTGTGTTGTTGCTCTCCACCTCTGTTGTTTGTTTGTACATGAATCCCAACTGGCCCCACATACATAGAACAGTAGGGGTCAGGATTGCATATGCCAACTGCAGTGCCTGACTGATTATACACCGCACTGTAATGTTTGTTTGCTCTGTGTGTGTGTTCTTGTTTTATGTCCTCAGTGTCTGGTTATGATTGTATTTTTGTCAATGAAGGAGGAGTAGGCCAATATCTGCTTATATTTAGTAAACAAAACCAGCATTTCCCAACAATAGCCTGATCACATTGTGCAAACACTTTGTCACAGAGTGCACACAACTACTGTGTCTTATTTATCTGTTAGAGTATGATCTAATTCTTTGGGAATGATGGGCATTTGAGGCATTGGCTGTCTCTGGTTACCCAGGGTGTGGCCTGAGGTGTAACCTGGCTTTGAAAATAATAATAGTGTCAGCCAGTCAGTCTAATTGCTCCAGTTTCTCCTGCCCTCCTCAAAATGATGGCCTGTACTTAACTTTGTCAGTAATTGTCCCAGCTTTTGTCCCTTTCCCTTGAAAGGAAAAGGGACCAAAGCCTCGAATCAAGCCACATCTGAACAATTTGGTTTGTGAGACTTGTTCGACTTGTTTTGCTCTGTGCGTGAGTGTGTGCACTTTGGTTAATGCCAGCTGTCTTACGTACTCATGTGATGATGATATGAATAAAGTGGACAAAATAAAAGAAACACCTATCCTGTCAGTAGGATGCAATACAATTCAACAGCACAGTAAACGGTAGCCTCCTAAATAGTCATACAGCCATGAATACCACATTGTTTCGAGTATGATCATCGAATAAAATAAAATAATACACATCCTCCCACAGCGAGCTAACTCCGCAGTGAAATATGATCATGGCGGCTGCCAGTGTAGTCGTAAGCTCAGCCAATGAGATTAGCTCGTTTGTTTGTTTGACTGTTAGAGGATAATTTAGCAGGATAGCTCCAAAACTGGTTTCAGTGAAATATGTTGGAAGGTTAGGCCATGGGCCAAAAAAGAAGTGATTAGTGTTGGGTAAGGATCCAGATCCAGGATGTTTAGAAAAAATGTCAAGACATTTTTGCGTATTTTTGCTATCTACCTATACATTTCCATAATTATGTGTTTTGATGCACATCCAGATGCAGATAAAAAAAGGAGATTAAAATAACCAGTGAAGAGGGTTGTGCAGTATTGGTAGACACTAATTGTTTTCTAATGTAACGTAAGTGTTTGTGTTGTGCTCAGTTGCTCAGGTACTGATTAGTTGTTGATTCCAACAAAACAGAACAGGAAGCTGTGTTAAGGAGTGGCCGTCAGCATGGAACAAAGCTGCACGTGAAAATATAAAAAAAATTATAACATTATTGTCTTTTAGAGGAGATACATATTGTGTATTCAAAAGGCTGCAATTTACAAAAAAAATAAAATACAGAAGAATGTTGTGTTTAAAATCAAGGAAGTTGTTTGTTTATGTGTGTACTGTATATGTGCTGTTTAAGGCTGCATGTCATGCACATTTGCCTGCATAATGACTGTGGTGTTCCTGCAGTGGTGGTTTGAGATCATGGGAAAGGCATGAGGCTTTAACACAGCGCTCCAGATGCTCCCATAGCCTTGCGGCTTGGGCAGCCTGGCTCCAATACAGTTTTAACACAGCTCTTCTGTTTACCAGTGGCTTTGAGCATTAAAGTGAGTAGAGCGGAGCCACTCCAGAGCTCCTGAGCGATACCTGAAGAACTGTGCTCAACTCTGTCCCAGAGACACTGCAGGACCTCAGGAGGAAATACCTCTGACTTCCTCTGCTACTGTTCTCAACATCCTACCTTTCTTCTCCAACCCTCCCCACCCAAACACACACACACACACCCACCTCCTCTCCTCACCCAACCCCTCTCGCTAGTTTGCTCACTGTTTTTGTATCCCTTTTTCTTTCCAGGCAGTAACCAAGAAAAAATTTGGGAGCAACGACTTCCGATCAGCACTGGAGAATGGCGTTCTGTTGTGTGAGTAAGTACTCTGCTTTTCCCAGGCACCTCTCTTAAGCCACTCATTCATATGGAATCTCTCTGCTCTCCTCCGGATCTGCACTCCAACGTAAGTGTTACTGATATTTCCCAGGCAGACCCCCTGCCGGGCCGCTGTTTGTTTGTCTGCCACATAAAGTGAGCCAGTGTTTTCGAGACAGCACAATAGAGGCTGCATTATGTAGTTATTTTCCAGTGTCAGATCTGCCCTCTGTTGTTGTTTTTTTTGAGAATATGAAGTGTGATCTATTTCAGGAGGAGTCGTGTTGCCTGCTTTACAGATGTTACAGATCTGTGCATGGGCAGAGGGCCATCCTTACTTTAATGAGAGCTGTGAGAAGCCGTGTAGTGAATGGAAAGCCTCCAGCTGAAACCACATGGGAGAGCCAGTGCACCCTGCTTTCTCATTAACCCAGGGTGCATCAAGAGTTGTGATGAGTTAGAGGAACCAATTTATCTGCACAGAATTGGCTTTTGCATTGATTCACCAACTGCTCTTCTTAGAGTTGTGGAGTTGTGGCTTTTTTGTGTGTGTGTGTGTGTGTGTGTGTGAGAGAGAGAGAGGGTTAGCATCATGTCCCTTTATACATGTTTATGTGGGCAGCCTTGGTGGATGGACACAGTGATGTGATTTGCACGAATCAGCAGGAAGCTGTAATTACCAGCAGCCCATGCACAATCTTCCAAACCTCTATTGGCGTCAGTTCAAAGAAGAAGCCCTTCGTTCTGCTGATTTGAGCCTGACTCCACTGTTTGCTCACTCTCAGAGAACAGCAGAGACCCTTTCATTCAGAGAGCTGTCCGTGTTTTCTCAGCATGAGGAAGAGGAAGACAGATTAAATCGCTTTCACCTAGAAGCGTCCATTACCATTGTGTCGTGGTTATCACAACTGCTTGGAAAGGAATGTTTAGTGTGGGTCGCACACATGGTTATATCCTATTTGGCTTACAGTGTGTGTTATCTGATGAAATCATCACAGCTTTCTATTGTTTCGCTGCTAAATGACTAACCCAAATGCCTTTTGCATTCTTTCGGTGCATCTATTGTCAACCTATGCAAAGTGTTATACCGCCTGCCCCTCCTCAACCCTTCCACCCCGGTCTGTCCGCTGAAGATACACTCTGCAAAACATTCACCTTAACAATTCATGTAGTCTCGTGGAGTTTTCAAGATATTTTTCTTTCTTTAAAAAAAGGTGAGATTAATTTTTTTCAAGCAAAAATGCCAAACAGTTGACTGTTCCAGCTTCTCAAATGGGAGACTGTATTGCAGTTTCTTGTCTTACATTATAGAAACTGGAGTATCTTTAGGTTTTGGACTGTTCATTAGACCAAATGAGACATTTGATGAAGATGCCTTGAGCTCTAGAGAATTCTGACATCTTTCACTTTTTTGTGGTGTTCTATGTTTTATAGACCAAATAATAAATCAATCTTCTGTACTTATGAATTTCAAGACTTTGTTTGACAAGTTTCTTTGACAAGTTTTTTTACACTGAGGTATTACATCTTTTATCTTTTAGAAAATCTAAATCATGATATTTCATATTTTGTGTGTGTGTGTGCATTATCTTGGACTTCGATAACTCATTTTCATCTGTCAAAAACCATCACTGCCTTTCTGATATGTGGTGATTCCAGGTTTGTTTGGGGTTGTTTTGGTAGAAGAGGGCATGTTTTAGGAGCAGACGACCTGGTTTGTTTACATCAGGGTGCAGCACTGGCCATTTACTAAACTGAAGCCAGGTGGCCACCATTAAACAAAGTCGTAAACACACAACGGCGAGACTTTGCAACACTTTTTGTTCATTCCGTGCTAGTTAGACCAGTCTAGCCAATGACCGAGTGCTTTCACTTACCCCCTGCCTTTCCCTGATGTTCTCTCTCTCTCTCTCTTTATTTTGTACACAGTCTGATCAACAAGATCAAGCCTGGTATTATCAAGAGGGTTAACAGGCTGCCCACACCTATAGCCGGACTGGTAAGTCTTCTCTTTGTGTTCAGTTTAAATGTGAGACGTAAACATGTTGCGTGTACAGTTTTGTCTTTTGCTATTGCTGTGTGTTTCATGTTGGAGTAATGTCTGCCGTAGAGAGTTTAAGATGTGGGAGGAAGCAGTGCGAGGAGCAGCAGCAGTTGAGCTGACTGGTGACAGGTCTGAGCCACGGCTGCCAATGAGAGAGAGGTGTTTGCCTCAGTGACTTGTCGCTCCCCATATCCATCCACGCTAATAAGTTCAGTGAACGTGGAGCTGCTTGAAAGGCCACCGGCCGCATTTGAGTGCACCCTAAATATGATGTCTGCCATGCTTGAGGCTGTGCTCAATCAAAATCCTTCAAGACAAAAAAGTCTTTGTGCTCATCTGATAATTAGGTTTTTGATTGAGTGACGGGAGATCAGATGGGGGCAGAATTAGTTTTTATGTAATCAGTAATAAGTGTGTCTAAATATTTTCACCTTTTTAGGCCATGGCAGTGTCTTCAAATTTAACCAGACTGTGGCCAAGGCCTTTTGGGCCACAGTGGCCCAGTTGAAATAAATGTTTTGGGAGTGTCTGCACACAAGTGCTCGGGAAGTAGAGAGTTGAAAACCCTACCTTAGACCCATCCCTCACAAAGCTCTCTCTTGTGGGAGTAATTGAGTCCAGCTGTCTGGAGGAATTATAGAGAACCCCAACCGTAACCCAGGCAGTCTGTCGGTGGGCTCAGTAACACTCAACATGTTTGGCAAGACAATGACAAGTTTGCGGTAGAAGAAACAGACTGGCACTCAGGCTGGATGTAAACAGTAAACATAGTATTTGCAGCCCAAAACACTGTACCATCATGTGTGTGTTATAACATAAATCAAATTCCCTGCCAGTTTGTTTTGGACTGTTGGTTAATGTAACTGGCTGGGCACCTGCTGAGGTAATGAGGTAAAGTATCTCCTCCATCAGTAGCACGGGTGTGGTATTTCCGAGACTTGGACACAAACCTGAAACCACCTGATCATAAATTCTCCAGCAAATGCGAAAAGCTCCTGGTTGGCCCGCGGCTATCAGTTACCGCCAACCACATGGAGAAAAGCGGAGAGCTCTCCAAACAAACATTACTCACTCTCACTCTGCTGTGAGAATAACTTTGACTATTACTAAAGTAGTCAAGTAGTTTTGTTAAGATTGCTCCATCACGTATCTGCTCTTTAAGAGTTTGAAATTAGAATTCAGCTGTTTTCTCTGAAATTGTGAAATAATTTAAGCATTAAATGTATATGTTAGGTCACGTCTCCTCACAATGGTGATTATTGCATGGTTCCATTTCCCCTGAATAGATAGTTAGAAAAGAAGAAACTGGAAAAATGCTGCTTTTCTAGTATGTTTAAATTCCAAAATGACATGTGGAAGAAAAATACAGTGAACAAGAACAAGAGGAATGCTTTTAGTGCTGCCTTTTTTTGTAATGTAGATACAGTATAACTTTAATCACTGCTGAATAAAAGGCTCCTTGCAAACACACCTCATTAACACTTAAATATGAACATTTTCTACCATAATGGTCTTAGCCGTCGTTATAGTTTTGTTATCTGAAAGATTTTAGCACTAAAATCGATACCAGGCTTCAGCTCTGGCAGAATAAACAGCCCAGGGAGGGAAGAGGGGGAAAAAAACGGAAATCTCTGGTTTTGTGGAATATTTAGCAACATTGGCTCCAGACCCGAGCCTATTCTTTGGCTTCACTTGTGTCCAAGGGAATGTTTCTCATGTCAGCACACTTCTCTGCCTGTTGCTGAGCACTCAGTAAGCTGTGGGTTTGGGTCATGGCACCCTAGTTCAGGCCTGGTTCTGCTTTTACCAGTGGTTGTGCGGTGGGGCAGCCAGCTTCTTGAGCGGGGGCCATGGATTTGAGGCCCACTGAGCTGAATCCAGAAGGACAAAGTTAAAGATGACTGCATCGGCCTCTGCCCACCGTAAATACACTGTAATTGACATGGTGCTGGATGTTCCTGCATACACCAACTCCTTGGTGAGTTGAGGTAGCAGTGGGAGGAGATAAACAGACAGTTTGAATGGCCCTGAGGGTGTCTTTACTCATCTAAATGTGTGTGTAATCATCTGTGCAATGACAGGCATTTGACCATGTTTTGTTACTGTGTTTGTGTTGTATGGATTCATGTTATGACTGGATCTGACTGTTGGGACAGGAAGGTCTTTTATTCTGTTTCAGGAAAGGCAACATTTCAAGTATTCCATCGCCTCTCCGTTTATTGTCTCAGGAGTTGAAAATGTGTAGCCTGATATTTTAACCATAGCTTTGCTCGATGTTCGAAGCACTGCCAAGGGTCAGTCGAGGGTAACTGTAGCGTATGCCTATCTTAGACAAAGAATGCAGTGGAAGAACCAAAATTTGACCAGCGAGGACGAATATCCTTTTATTCCAAAGCAGACACCTTATGAGTCAAACCTTTCCGTTTCTTGGTGTGAAGTGCTTGAATTGGGGTCTTCAAGTCTGCATGAGGGGATTAGAGGCTGCTGGATAGTTACAGCATATTTAACCGGATTATGTGCAGCCACAAGTCAGCATAACATTCCTTCAACATCATTATCTCTGCATGTTCTGGGACTAATTCTTAGAGGAGCTTTTAGTGTGTTCATAATGTTCTTTGACGTTAAATGACATTCATACCTCAGTGATATTAATTATCCTTTCATATAGGCCTTGGTTACATTGGCTTAAGGTGACGGGAAGATCAGGGCCTAAAGTGGAAGATCTTTTGTGGGATTTTTAAGCTATATTGCAGCAGTAAAGCTCAGTTGTTTTCATGGGTTGAATTCTTTCAGAATAGAAGATTCACATCTAGAGCTAGACTGCTTATCTGGGCCGATATATCAGCAGAGCATATCAGTGTATATGTTGGTAAGTAACAAGAAATTACTGTACAGAAATAGCAACTGAGGTTGTTAACTATAGTATAAAAAGTTCTGCTCAGTATATGTAGGATAGTGTAAAAAAAATATGACTATCGGCCAATATATTCTTATCAAATTTTATGTAGACTACATGTCCATGCTATCTTGCAGTGCTGTAGTACTTCAGAACGGACTTGAGACGTGTTTTTTTTATTGTCTCAGGCTTGTCTTGGACTTGTTGGTATTTATTTGGCAGTATTTGGCTGCCAAAACTTATCTCACTGGCAATGGCAAAAGCATTGTTTTGTTTCCGTCTTGGTATTGACTCTCACTCAGACTGGGTCTTGACTTTGACTCGACTAGTCCTCGTCTTGAACTCGACAAAGGTTGTCTTTACTACAGTAATGCTGGATTGTCAGCTGATAAACCGAGGCTTATCCCGAGGCAAGTCGGGGTAAGCAAGATGTCATGTATACCGATGTATGTACTAACTGTACATACTGTACGCATTGGTTAACACAGTCATAAACTTAGTGTCACTGAAAAATGTACATGTGAACTTTCTTACATTGTCAAATGATGAGAGAGAATTATAAGATAAAGCTTACCATTCAAAACCCATGTAATGATCTCAGTTACTCAATCCTATTCTGTACCAATCTGGAAAATTACATTATCACGTCTATTAAGAAGACAAAGAAGAAGAAGAGAAAATCTCTTTTGTGTTATAATGAATGAAGAGTGGCCCCAGTGCCTGTAGACAAAGCACTGTAGGGGGGCATGATCCTTGGCCTGTAGGGGCCCACAGTGACCTGTAGGGTCTGGCAAAGTGCCGTTAAGGGACAAGCAAAGTTGTTAGCAAGGGATTCCCGCCCAGAGAGGTCAGCTCTCTCCAACCATTTGCTAATAAGCATGTTTTCCATTTAAATATAGAACTAGCTACCCCTTAATTATTCTAACCCATGTTGAAGCCATGTGTCATTACATGAAACCCTCTTAAGCACTGCTGTCCCAATGGGAAGTGCAGACTTACAAACAAGACACCTGGGATTACAACTGGAAAAGTCATAACCCCGGAAAGGAATGGTGTTTTTGTGGTTGAGGATTTGTTTGAAATGTATGAGATGTGTGTGTATTTATAGAGCAGAATGTCATTTTGCTATCTTGAATTACACTCACGCATATGTGCAAATCATAAGCACACATATTAACTTTATGCAATGTGAAATGATTGACATAGGGGAGGAGGAACCATTCTTCCACTCCCATGTCCTCTTGCTTCAGGACAAATATTTGTCAGTTTCTGTCACTCGACCTCATGTTTCATAGCAACCGAATGTCTCCAAAATACTCCACCGCCCCACAGATTTCACAGGTATTCACGAGGAACGGGCTTGGCAGGGAGGGGAGGGGACAGTTTTAGGGTGTGAGGAGAAGTAGACCGCAGCAGGCATTGTGTTCCCGCGTGTGTCACTTTTGCACTCGCATGACCGGTTGGGTGGGACTTGTGCACAGCTCTGATGTCATCCTTCCTGGTTTTGGTTTTGCTACTACCCTAACCCAGCCCACAGGTAGCTTTGCTGCTGTCAGTCAGCTGCTGTCACGCAGCCTCTACCCCCTCCATGTGTGTTTGTGTGTTCTGCTCTGGGTTGCTTCTTATTTGCTACATACACGCTCCTCCCCGTCCGTCTCTGTTCTCGGGTGATATGAACTTTGGAAGCAATGAGTTGTAGACTGTGTCCCTGCCAGAGAATTCTTGAGTGATTATTCTGTGCCTCTGAAGGTGGACAACCCTCATCCCTGCTTTGTTCTTTGTCCAGGACAACCTAAACGTCTTCCTCAAGGCCTGCGGGAAGCTTGGACTAAAGGAAGCACAGCTCTTTCACCCCGGAGACCTTCAGGACTTATCCACAAGAGTTACAGTCAAGTAAGTTCTGATTTGTGAGCTTTGTGAAATACTGGTACTACTGTGACATTTAGATACCCGTCCTTTCCATTCACAGAATTGAGGTCCTCTTGTAAGCTGTGACTAATGTTAGTGACTCTTCTTTGATTAAAATCAATTCTCAGATTGTTTTTATGCTTAACATACACAGAAAATATGAACATTGAATATAACTTTGACACTATACAGTATCTCTGAGCACATGTCTTCTCGTGAGGAATGATTCAAGCTGCAGTTCATAAAAGGTCAATGTTATTTTCAGTGTGCATGTATTTTTGTGTTAGTAGTAAGCGCTTGTTTGCTTTATGTGTTTCTTTAAAATATGTTGGAGGGAAAAATGGATGAAACCACACAGGCAAGAAGAACAAAGAACATGCTTTCCAGCATGTCTGATTAATTTCCCTTTGGTGCAGGTCCAGCAAACCATGACCTCAGTAACAAAACATTAGCAATGAAAGTTCTTGTTTATGGTCAGGAACAGGTTTTACATCTTACACTGATAGTATCTGATAGTGTGTAGAGCCCATTGCCACAGTGTTTGTTATTTTTTGCTTTTAGAAAGTTGCTCTTGTGTCAGTTGCATGCTAGACAGAGATGTATGTGGTATGTTGAACAACCTGTTCAGTTTTTACACAGGTGTGCCTTAAGGAGGGAGCGAGGTAACGCAGTCCATCCACTTTGACACACTCTCTGTGGCGATACAGCACTGCTGTGCAAGCACAAAGAAAAGTGCTTTAGCAGCAGTCCCCGCAGGTTGTTGAACTTGAAGTGGATAGGCCCTCAGTAGCAAATACATCACTTTAGATGGCAAAATAATGCCAGGGTGATGTCAAGTTGTGAGCTTTTTCAAAATTCTGCATACCAGCGGCACTCCTGTTCTTTCTGTTGTCTCGTTAGTTACGCTCAGTTTGGTTGTTCTTTCATGGATGAGATGTTGCCACAACCTCCAGGAAAATTTTTCCCATGATCCACCCAAGACTCTGTCAGTCATTCGTCATTAGCATTGACAATGGTGTCGAAACCACAGTCATCACAAACACACGTAGGAAGGCAGATGTACTGTACATACTCAGGAATATGAACACTAAATAAACAAATCTGCCTGCCTTTTATCAAGACACACCCTCTCCCCACAGCAGAGGATAGGCGGCCCTACGATGAGTCAATATCATTCAAAAAATGTCTGATTCAGTGTCATAAATCAAGAGATAACTCTTTTATGGATCCTGTGCTCAGTGCATTATCAGACATTTACCCCCTTGCATAACCTTTTCCCATGAGTTTGGCGGTTAGTTGGTTGGTTAGTTTCAAAATGATGTTCAGAATGTGGAAAAACCCACATGTATGCAGTGAAAGCTGACTTGTAACTTAAACAGACTTTTTACCCACTGAACTTTATTAGAGAAAACATATGGCATGTTTAAGATTGCATATAAAGCATTTTGAAATACAGTTTTTTTTTTCTCCGGAAAAAATCCCAGTCCCGCTGTTCTGTTGGAACTGAGTGCGCTGTGGCATAGGTCTAACCATGTCTGCTGCGTGCGGGGGTTTGGTCGGGGGGGGGGGGGGGGTCACTATCCTATTTTTAGTACCTAGGGGTCACTTTGACAAACAGATTGGAATGGTATCAGGACTCAGAAGAAGAGCTTTTAATAGTGTGTTGTCTCCTCCCACTACATTCCCCCCCTGCATGTGGTCGTGGTTTTGTCACTGTATCTGGGAATGTGTTCATTCAGAGGAAAAGATTGTAAATATTGCTTCCCTCAAATGCGCTCAGCAGTTAGAGATTCTCAGTTTCTGGATGAACCTGCAGCTGCTCCGACTGAGTCCGTACTGATGAATTGTGACTGTCTTCTTCAAACTGATTTCTTACAGTCACTGTGGTTCTTAAATGTAACATATTTTCATTGGGTGTTCTTTTGGCTTTATATAAGATGAAAAATGTGGAGGTATTTGTGTTTGTGGGCACAATTATGTGGTTCCCCAACTGCAGTATTTTTAACTCACACACAGAGAGAGATGGCACACAAACAGTAACCCGAATATATAATCCCAATGAAGGCTGCAGACAAGCAAACGATGGTTTTATTTTACTGCTGCTTATCAGAGCCTAGGCAAATGAGCCACAGAGAGAGAGAAAGTTGTCTCTATCAGCTGTCTTTTCTCCTGGTGTGTGTCCAACCTCCACTCCCTTTAACCCAGTCTGACAGGTGCTTTGCTCAGCTTCCTTGTTCTCTGTTTCAGCAGCAGTGAGGTTGTTATCCTGTTGGCGCAGTAGGTTTCTTTTCACCTCCTGTTTTTCTCAGCAAAGTCTTCAGCTATTACATATGATTTTTGTTGTGTTAATTAAGTGTTTCTTATTGTCTTTTAACTTTTATGCATTTTAATGTTTTAGTTTATTTTTATTTTACTTGTATGATTTTTGTTACATTTTATAGAGAAAGGTATAACTTTTGTGTAGTAGAGCTGCAGCGATTAGTCGTTCCGCATTCAATTGTCATCTATTCTGATTTAAGCTTCTCAATTGTGAGGTCATTTTCCTCTATTTTATTCTACTTTTACTGTTGCTTCAGGATAAGCAAGGCATTTATACAAGTCACCTTTGACTTTTGAAATTGCGATGAGCAATCAAATGTCATTTGATTGACAGTACAAAGGTCAGATTAATGGGTAAAAATTATCATTGGTTGCCACCCTAATCTGCTCTAACTTGTATGAAAGGTGCTACACACCCAAAGCTATTAATATTTAAAAAACAAATTCGACACTAGTGCAATGAAAAAAATACCTCTTGTTAACTTGATAGTTTGTGTTTGAAATATATTTATTAGCAGGGCCAATGTCCTTCCTTTGGCATTAAGCTGGAGTCACATATTGGCAGAAATAGCACAGTTTAATTCATACTTGTCTGTGTTGTCACGACAGCCATAAAAGGTTATTGGGTATCTATCTGACCTTTGAGCTTTGCAGTTCTTGTAGTATCCACCTTAACTCCACCTAGAGTGCATGTTGCTCTCTTTCCTTATGTTGTGAAACAGGTCTTTCTGATAAAGGCGTTTATCAGTTACAAACACATTCAGTATCAAAATTGTCAAATACCATAACAAACTGTTGAAATAGATATACACGGGACATAAGATAAGATGGCACAGTGTGTTGCTGAGTGATAGATTCTGGAGGATTTTCTCACATCTTCCACGTGTTGTTGATTGTAACAAAGTGCAAAATATACTCCAAACAGCCGGAGCTGTAATACTGACCAGACCAAATCAGATTTATCATTAGAGGCTATGATTCTCTGGCTACTTTAGACCAACTTCGTCAGTTTCTAACAGCTGCCCAGGAAATGAGAGAATTTCTGCAGATGAATCATGGCATCCGAAAGAGCTCTATTTAACTTCAGCCACTTCCTTTATACCCTTAGCTGCCATATGGAAATTCAGTAGCATCAAGGGAAGGTTGGACTGGGGCCACACCTCTGAGTTGACATAAAAGGATAGGACGTGAAGGTTTTTCCCTAATGATCCTAAATGTCTGCTGATTACTTTACACTTGACCATTATGAATGTTTTAACAAGTGTAATTTCTCACAGAGCTACTTAAACAGGACATAAAAGGTGGAAGGTGGAAAAGGGTGAATGTGACCAAGAATGTGCAGTCATTATACTATAACGGTACACGCTGTGCTATTTTACTGTAGTTGCTGAGGGACTTTTATGCTTATTCAGCTTATTTCAGTGTGTAAGACACATGAATCTCAGATTTACTCTCCTCATACCCATTGTATATCATAGTAAGTATCAGAGGAATTACAGCATGTGGAATCTTATATACTGTAGATGTTTTCAAACTCAGATGCCTTGGAGAACAAGCTATGAGCAGTGTTGTAGACAGTGTAGACAAGTATATTTACTCAAGTAGCTACATACTTTATACTGCACTGCATCTAAGAGGGAAGTATTGTACTTTTTACTATCCTACATTTTTTTGATAGCTATAGTTACTAGTTGTGAATAACATTGTGTATTAAAAATTATTTGAAATAACTTGAAATTATTTACCTAAATTCAATACATTAAAAAAAAGCATATATACTATTATATATTTATTTTATTTTATTATTATTATTTTTTAATATTACAATGTATTAAATGACAATGTGAAAAGATGAGTGGTCACTCGTAGTGATAAACCTACAAAGAGTCTGCAGTTCCCCTCAGCTTTACAGAGCTTTATAGTGTGCTTCAGCTCATTGTTCAGCTGTCCAGCCATAACTTTACCATTTGTGTTTACTCTTGTTGCTCTCATAGCATTGTTTTTGTGGTTTCAGCAAAAGAAAGTTCTAAAGACCCACCATACATTATTTGCTCGGCACCAAAGTGCAGACAGACACAGTTAGTTATGAGCTGCTGAACATAGTGGAGCATTTAGCAACTAAAGAGTCAGATATTTTCCTCAGGAGTTAAAACAAAGAGGAAGAGAGTAAATATTGGAGTTGCATTCGAATGGCCAGAAACACGACTCCAAAGGAATGATAATGTTGCTCTGCAATTGCTGGATGTGTAAATAAACAACCGTTGGCTAAGTTCTCCATATCAACTTAAAAGGTGATGATATGTCAGTGGTGCGTTCACAAGTTGTTTCTGCTGCCCCCAAGTGGCCAAAAAAAATCTGTTATTGGAGGTTTGAAGTATATTTTGTTGATAGTACTTCTGTACTTTTAGTTGAGTACATTTGAAAGCTGCAGTAGGTAACTAAAAATAAATTAAAAACAAATTTGTCACATTTGCTGAAATTTTAAATGTATGGTCCACCGTGCCTGGTTGAAAACAACCAGTCAGAGCCATCAGAGATATAAAGACGCAATGGGTTGGAGGCTTGAAGATAGTTAATTGTTAAGTCTCATTCCAAGGGGCCCAAGGCATCTGTATTTGACACCCTGATCTCAACAATTAACTGTCTTTTTTGGCTCTGATTGGTTGCTTTCGTTCAGGCCCTGTGGATTCTTGCAAATGCCATTAGTAGTGCTAAAACAAGCCAGGGGGACTTTATTTTTTTCACAGATTATTTGTCTCATGTACTACTGTCAGGATGTAATGAACGTTTACGCAAATACGACAATATCATAATTTTTATAAAAAATTACATACTGCAGCTTTAAGAGCAGGACTTTTACTTGTAATGGAGTACTTTTACAGTGTAGTATTACTACCTAAAGTAAAGGCTACAAGTCCAGCTTTTGCTCTCTGACCTCCAATAACTGACAGAACAAATCCCCCGCTGAGAGGGGTCCAAAGTCTCGCTCGTTGCCGCCGTTTGATTAAGCAAATTATTGACAAGGGCTGACTGCTCTTCAAACCTAAAAAAAGGAAACTTCAGAAGATCGGCAGGTACATCAAAACTCATTGTCACAGGAATGTCAGTGACCCTTTCTGAACAATAGATAAAGAGGAGTGGCTATGTTGTATGATTATGTGATTTGGATTATGCAATAGCATCCCTGGCTCTAGATCAAACCAAATGTTTGAACTACCTGAAGGAATGTGTTGTTTCCCAGACAAATTGTACTGACTACACAGCTTGTTATCAGAATTTATTTAACACCAACATATGTTGGATCTCAAGGCACGTATTTACAGTTGTTTATATAGTTTAAAGCTCACTGCGACAAGTTTAAATGTTCCTCTGAAGTGCACAGTGCTAAGGAGGCAAACAAAGTGCCCTGTGTGTTAGTATTTCGGGTGTGGTTCACTGAGCTGGCACTTCACTTTGCTCTGGTTTCATAGTTTAATATATGGCACTGCCGTCACTTCTTTCTGCAGTGTTGTGTGAACTGTGGGCAGATTGTGAAACCAAACGAGTGATGATGGTGAAAGGCCAATAAAGTTTCTACACCATGGACACGGTCCTGGCTGTAAAAGGCCAACACAAGGGTTATATTTGTGCTCTGTAGCTGACTCGGAGAGTGAAATGCCAGCCTCACCCTGTTCACAGAGGCAGCAGTGTCTGTGATAAGTACAACACAATGATGCCCGACACTGTCTCACCCACAGCTGATTACTCTATTCAGACTCTCCTTGTGTCTACATTTTTCAGGACTCTTAATGCATGTTTCTGGGTGTGTCTTTAAATCTGAAGTATTTATTAGAATGAAAGGACATAGATGAAGGATGTTACATGTTGAATGCTGCAGAGCAAGTGATCTTCATTGCACAGGTATGCTTCTAATCACACATGCACACCCATTAATTTAAGGCTTTTGGATGTTGTTGTCTCAGAGAAGCAGAGCTCGCTGGATCTTGTTAGAGGCTCCTGTGGTCTCGGTCCACGTACAGCTTGCACCTGTAGATTTTTGTCCTGCCAGAGATCTAAAAAGCATTTTTTTGGTTGCCGCACAGGGAAGCGATCAACCGGATTGGATAGATTGCTTACTTTGGTTCATGTTAAGAAGTTATTTGTCTAACATTTGAATAGTGGCTTATGTTTCTTCGGTTGTATATATTTCTTTTTGTCTGTGGTTTGTATTGGCAGAACACACTCTCCTTCAAGTCAAATTAAATTAACTTTATGTTTTGACAAAATAGTGTCACATAGTTCTGTAGCAATCTGACAAGATACAACTCAATTAGATATAAAATATTAACAATTAGAAACCTGTCTTTTTGTGGTTTTGATTAGTCTAATAATGAATGTATCAAGAACTTACGTAACTGATGTTGATTGATTGTGTAGCTGTTTTCTCCACTTGTGTTGAATTGAATTGATTGATGATTGTTTAACATACAGTAAGTGGCTAAGTTGCACAAGTATTGTCTTTACATTTCCATTGGAAGTTAAAAGCAGACCCTTTGACCTCAGCAAGAGAGTGGTGATGGCAGATGTTGAGACATATGGCTGAAATGACTGGCTGGTGGAAGTAATGAGAGCATCTTGTCAATTTGTAAAGCTTGAGGGTTTCCTGTCAGAGTTCTGTACTGTATAACATGTACATTGTCTGGACCCTGAACTGTCCCTTTTTATTTCTTAAACTCTTTTACCTGTAACATAAGAAACAAACTTAAGACACTAACAAAAGATCTTCACAAGACAAAGAACACTACATTTTATTCTGATGCCCTCTGTTTGACAGGGTATGTATTAAATTTCTAGCTAAATTCAAGTGGAATTTGGTGTTCAGAATATTGCCTTCGTTGCTTGCATGTGCGAAAGACAAACAAACACAGATGGCTTCCTTCTCCTTCAGCATAGCAATGCGTTTATTTTAACTGATAATTCTACTTCACAGAAGTTATTCCTGGCCGGTACTCTCTGTGCAGAACTTGTGTATGACGTTCCGTCGATGATTGTGCTCAGTCATATGAATACTCAGCTGATTCTGAGACTACAGCAAACTCCTGAGGCTCGGGAGGCCTGGAAATAGCCCTTATGTATTTTTTCCTCTGTTCAGCAATCACCACTAGCCATAAATGAGCATTACGAGAAGCGGTGTGGTTCTAGTTTTGGTATACAGCTCCTTTTTCCTGGACCTGGCTACCACTGCTATAATCTTAGACTTTGTAACCATGTTCCAAGCCACACAAGAGAGGGCATTTTTTTCGGCCGACTTTTTTATTGGGCCTATAAATCTGTAATACGCCAAATGGATAAACGTCAATTTCAGTTTTCACCGTTGGCAAATTCACATGCTAGAGGCCCCTGGTGTGAGATGACTAATACTGGCGAGAAGGTTGATCTGCTTTTAATCCAGTTAAATGTTGTCAGTGGTGGAAGTACTCAGATCCTTTACTTGTGTAAAAGTACCAATACAGCAAAGTAAAAATACTCCTTTACAAGTAAATGTATTGCATTCAAAATTTTACTAAAGTGAACGTACAGAAGCATTATCAGCAAAATATACTTAAAGTGGCAATAATTCATATTGTTGTGAATGTGAACAGGCTCACTCACAGTGATGAACCTGAATCTGCCGTTCCTCTTGGCTTTATAGCAAGTTTCAGCTCATTCTTTTGCTGTTCAGTCCACAAGTATACTGTTTGGTTCACTCTCACTGCTCTCGGAGTGTCTTTTTCGCCAACAGCAGGTAGCTTTTTTCAGTGAAAAAGCTCTAAAAACCCACTGTACACTACCTGCTCAGGACCAAACGGCAGACAGACAAAGTTACCGACTAGCTGGTTAAACCTAGTGGAGCATTCAGCAGCTCAAGAGTCAGATATTCCTCCTCCAGAGTTGGAACAGCCTAAAAACAGAGCAAAAAAAGAGTGAATATTGGACATTTGTCAGTTGGCCAGAAAGACTCCAGATAAATGATAATGTTGCTGCTGGATGTAACAATCATCTGTTTGCCAACAAATTTGGTTGTGTGTTGTGTTCACAACTTGTTTCTACTGCTTCCAAGTGTCCAAATGAATCTTTATTTCACGTTTAAAGTATCAAAAGTAAGTCATTCCACCATTAAAATAGCCCCTTTAAATGTGTTATGACATTAATAGACTGGTTAGGCTAGTTTTAACTGCTTTATACAGTGCAGTAGTTTAGTCCAGTGGCTCTGTGGGTCACAAGATAAAGCTGGTTGGTCACGAGATGATTAACGTGGTAGGAAAGAAAAAAAAAGCAAGAATATCTCTGCCACACACATTTTTAATTCATTGAACTTTTCTATAATCTTAGCTTTGTCTGTGCAATATTAAATAATACCTCTTTACCCATTTGGGCCTCTAACCATACTGAAAACTTAACTCAAAACCATCTGAGAAGTTTAGAGGGTACAACTCATAGACTGCTAACAACTCGCAGACATCCATAACGTGACAGTTCATTGTGTTTTATCATATAATGTTTTTATTGTAAAATCCTAATGTGGCAAGTAACCATAGCTGTCTGATAAATGGTATTTCTATCTGAAATACAGTGAAGTAGAAATATAAAGAACTGTAAATTCTCAAGTTAAGCACCTCAGAATTGTACTTACATGTGTGTTAGATTTTGTTTCCTTGCTCTGAAACTGAACCTGTTTGATTCATCTCAGGTGCCATACATGCACTTACATTATCAGCAGGTTCAGTGGTTACATTGCATGCTGGGGAAGGGGCTGTAAGAAATCCAAGGGCTTTTGGTATCGAAGCATGTCTGACTATTGTGTTAGCACATGATAGCAGGAATGTGTAGCATGCACAGGGGGATGTGAAGCGGACTGTATATCTTCCTCTGTCACCGTTATGGTTACTGTAGCCATTTATCACTGTTTATTGACCTCTCTAAATAGACACTACAGTTAACTTAGGTGGCAGGTACACAGTGTACATAAGGAAAAGGTAATATTAGGCTTGCAGGTTGAAACTGTGAGCTTTGTGTGGTTTCACAGGAGCGAGAATGAGCTGACATTTTCCTGGGAAAGTGATTTACTGACTGCCGGGTCAACTGTCAAACCCCATATGACTGAAATTTTGCATGACTTGGGTAGCAAGCTTAGGGCTTTGTTGCACCAACAGTAAAGCCTTGATTGGTATTCAGATGTTAAATTAGCGGTTAGTTTTTATCATTATTTAAAATCAGAAACCCCTTTCCGTTTACTAAGTTGTTGTTTTTTTTTTACAGTTGCTTGATTTTGTGATTAGTGGAAAAATAGACACACACACACATAACCTTTTATTGGTTGCAATGATTTTTCTGAAATGTGTTTGTTTTTTCTCTCAGCCTTTGTGTTGTTGTGTGAGAGTGAGTGAAGGGCTGGCAGTAGTCGGGATTGTGCTCTCACTTTCTAGCTCTTTCACTGCCCAGCACAGACCTGACAAGCATGCCCTCTGTTCTTTTATTGTCATTTTCTCTCACACACACACCTCTCTGTTTTCTGCTCTCACAGGCATCAAGAGACCAACAGGAGGCTGAAAAATGTGAGTGGAAACATATAAGCAATTTTTTTTTCTGTGGAACTTGATTAGTTGGCCTGTTATTCAGCTATAATAAAATGTAAAACATAATTTAGCCTCAGTGACAATCCTGTTCAGGTGTCAGTGGAGAACAGCATCCCTTAAAGGGGAACTACTGCCTAAGGGAGCTACGCAAATCTGATAAATTGCCTTAAGTGATGTAATTTGAGTCGACAGTGGTTGGTCTGAAGACAGGAAGTTTGAAAAAAGAAACAAATTCGGTGGTGGGGGTAAACATGCAACACAAAATTATTATTAAGACAAAATTGTAGGTATATTACAAGGTTTTGGCTGCAAGTAACCATAAATCATTAAAGTAAGAGATGTAAGTGTGCAAATCTCTCTTTTTTTAGGGAATGTTTGTCCCATAGATGTTATATTAACCTATACACTCCAACTACGACAATAATAATGTACTAACTGTGACATAAAACCAAAGAGCTGACGTCAATTTCAGCTGCATCATGTATAATAGGGGATCAGTGTTGTTGATGTAGCAATGATTGTTTGCTTTAGTGCAGCACATTTACCTGTGCAGCCTATTAATGCCCACACAAACAGCAACAGAGTATTCTGGATGAGCCTGGAAACCAGAGCGTGGCACCGGGAGATATCACTTTGTGTCAGAGTAGGGCTACAACTATCATAACAACCTCCTGATTTAGCACTGCACAGAACATTCGTCAGTTAGAGTAAATGTATAGCTATGATCTGATGTACTCTGTATATAATTCATTTCTGCATGTACGCATGTTTGGTTTGTGTAATAAGCTATTTTATTAATTTTATTATTCTCTCCAGGTGTTGATCACCATTTACTGGCTGGGTAGAAGAGCTCAGTGTGACCGCTTCTATGATGGACCTTACCTGAATTTTAAGGCATTCGAGGGATTATTGGGCACAGCACTATACAAGGTAAAACTCTCTAAGTGGGTAAGTATCCCATTGGGCTATCTGAGCTGTCTTATCTGCTTTAATTTTCTTGTGGAAACCAGAAATAGCATGAATGAAATCCTGTTTAACAGCCACTGCCCAGTGCATTTCTGTAACCTCCCTGGTATGTCGACTATGTTCGAAAGAATGACTGTTAAAGGCCAAGGGGCCCTCAGATTGCTGGCCACTAAAACCAAACCTACGTTAAGTCATAAATGACCTGATCCCTTGACTTGAGCTATTTTAATCTTGTTTACAACACGGCACAGTTCACGTGTTAGTTGGCGTGTCGAAATAGCTGCTTCTTTTCTTGAAGAAGTCCGTTTCCTCCCCTCTGCTCACCCCGCTAGTGTTGAATTTGGCACTTTGCTTTCACATAGATTTATAGGTGGTGGTGGTGTTCAGAGAGTCTATAATTCAACTGACTACAGGGATTTCCAGTAATAGCAGTTGGTTACCACGCGTCTTGTACGTTTAGCTATGATAATCCAAGTTCAGTGGCGCAGGGTTAGGCTGGGTTTAGATTGTGGACTTTGTTTTGTCTTGTATTGTCTGGTAGGATTTGGTGGATTACAGATCTGAAAATAATTTTCTTTTTAAAGTGGCTGACAAGCTGTTTCTTGTCTGTAGCCATGCTGGTTAAAGTGGCTCCTGGGGTTTACTTGTGTGTTTATGTGCAATAACATTGTCTTCAAGCTGTAAACACAGTCATCAAGGGTACGTGGAACATGGCAGTGTTTGTTGTGACAGAGATGGAAGTGAATAGAAAACAATGAGGTAATTCCAGTTAAATTGCAGCATGCATAGCCCCTTATAGACAGTATAGGAGTATATATTTACAGTAACTGAGTCTGCGGCAATGAGAGGCCAGACAGTACAGACTTCACACTCAACCTGGGAGATCTCTCATGTACCACACACACAGTGAAGCTCAGTGTTGTAATTGTCGCTCTATTATCTGACTGTGTGTGTGTGTTTGTGTGTGTATGAAAGGCTCTGCAGGAAACGTCCAGTCAGAAAGGCAGCAACGTCAGGGACAGCGGTTTTGGAGATAGCTGGTACTCAGAGCGAGAGGAACTCTACCATCAGAGAGGAGGAGGAGGAGGAGGAGGAGGAGGCGGAGGCGGACACAAGAGAGACGACTCCCTGGACAGCTTGGACTCTTTGGGCTCTCGACCCCACAGCATCTCATCTGACACCACTCTTAAAGGCAGCAGCGAGGGTAGGACACGACTCATTTATATCTATACATAAACACAATATGAATGTGTGCCTACATGTCTGCATTTCTGACACAACCTTTGGCATTGAAGGAGACAGAGCATGTTTTCTTCTATTTTTGTGATTGTTTTTTTTGTGCCATTCGAGATGGCAGGGTTCAAACTTTCTCAAATTTCACCTCTGCATGAATATTTATGATCAAGTTCATCTTCCTGGAACTTCAAATATTTGTGAACGGGGAAGATATGCTACATCAGAGCCAGAAAGTTGCCTCCCATTTATGAAAACAAATGCCTGTTGCCATCTAGTGGTACTCTTTTGAAAGTGAATATTTTCAGTGAGTCCCCAAGGAAGGAGATATTTTATATCAATGCTGAGGCCCGTCTGTGATATTGTTTCATGTCACAAGCATGCTTTGAGAGAGGGAAGTGCTGGTCGGTGATCTCAGAGTGGTTGTCCCCCCTGTAAGAGAGGGCAGTGAGACATTCCACAGCCATCCACACCGGCTTGTAAATGAGGAGGCCTCCCTTCTCCACCCTCTGTTACTCCTCCAAAGTCACACCAGAGTAGGCAACACACTCCCCTTACTCTTCTCATCTCTTTTGCCCCTTTCTACTTCATTACCCTCATCAGACCTCTGCCTTCTCCTCTCTTTAATTTTTTCTCCTACGTTCTTCATTTCCCATAATCTGTGTAACACCTGTTTGTCCTCCCTCCTCTCCTGTGCTGCCTGTGCTCCAGGTTGTAGCAGTGACACTGAGGCAGACTCTGTCTTCAGGATGGCTGATAACAAGGACACTCTCAGTTACCGCCGGTCGGTATCCATCACACCCAAGGCCAGCACCCAGTTTAACCAGTTCCTGCCCACTAAAGACAAGGCCTCAGGCTACGTCCCTGCTCCACTAAGGAAGAAGCGGGCTGAACGCAATGAGGACAGTCGGCGCAGCTGGGCCAACCCCACATACGCAGAGGATGAAGGCACACTCACCAGGTACTGTTATAATACACAGCAGTGAACACTTTGATCTGTTTGAAGGTGTTGAATCTCATCTCAGCTAATTAATAAGGAGTAATTAATCCTTTTAGTTCTTCCTTAAAAGCAGTGTAACACAAAGTGATACAGAAGTGTTGTGTTCATACTCAAATCCTTACTTTGTGCTTCAAATGCCTAAAGCTTACCTTGTTTCCCATTACCTCTCCCATCACTATCCGTGTTTGTGGTACTGTTGTGTTGTCTGCGAATGGTCGATGGTGGTGTGTACTGGTGTTGTGTTTCATTTTGCTGTGCTGTGGAATGACCTCAGTGAAACAAGGCTTTCTTCTGACTGCTACGGCACCAGTGGAGCCTCCCAGAGTGCCGTGCCTGTGGATCCTTTACAGTGGGCCTATGAATATGAAAGTGGCAGCGACTCGGACACAGATAGACCAGACCCTGACCTTGTTCTGGATGACCTGGCCAGCAGACGCTTCCACAGCCCCTCCCCAGCCCCTCCCACCAACTTCGCCGTGCCCACCAGTCCCCTGGCAGCAGGAAGGGGGTCTGTGGGTAGAGGGGGGCCCTGGCCTAAGGTCACTATGACTCCCAATCTTGCCCCTCAGCAGAATGTGACCTTCCTCAGGTCAGAGAACATGAAGCAACAGTGTGACTTTGGTGTGCCTGCCTGATCTGAACAAACTAGATCGCTTCTATTACCCTCAGTTTGCATGGTTAATGTAACCATGAGCAACATCTTTGGTCGTAGTATGCTGCCTCTAACATGTCTTCAGTTTGTTGGTTTCTGTTTGAGTTGTTTTGAGATTTTAGCTGCAGCACGTCCTTATTTGCTCTTTCTGAATTGTATGAGCTTGGAGGAGTGATTTGAGTTGGCAACATAACTCCTCAAATCAATTTTTGCCTCCTTTTACAGTTTGAGCTTGCATTGGTTTGCTAATCCTTGCGTCATCTCATTTGGGGTTGTTGTGCTCGAGGAACATGCTCCTCTTTGCGTGACTGGCGTGCTGTACTGCTGCTGTTAAATTCTTTTGACACGTGTGATTGGCTGTCTCTCTTGAGCAGCAGCGGAATCAACAGTGGGGAATTGCTGCCCCCCCAGCACAGCTCTGTGAGGGTGGACCATCAGCGGGTCGTTTCCACTGACAGCCTGTTCAGGGAAATATATGGTGACTCTGAGGACGAGGATGATGAGGAGGGCTATGCTGACCCCGTCCACGATGATCTCTACGCACGCAAGATGGGCATCAAACCACAGCCTGCTGGCAATGAGTCTCATGACAAGTTCTTACCAAAGTTCTGGACCCCCGAAGAAGACGTTCACATACAGAAGATCAAAATGGGCTCTCAGAGGAGACCCTGGTACAAAAAGATGCAAGGCTTCAGGTGTGTGTGGGCATTAAAATCCAGCATAATATGGATTTCTCTCATGTATACACACACTTTAAATCACTATTTTACTAGTAGCAACGTTATAGATAAAATTTATTCTCTACTTCTTGCGCAATTTCTTCTTACTTTTCTACCAGACACATTGGATTTTTTCCTTAAATCATCATTGCATGCCATTCAGAGATTAAAAATTTGGTGTTCTGTTATTCACTGCATTTTCTGTATAGATTCCTCCTACTCACTTTTCTTTCTCCTTCCCTACCACTGCCTCCTATCTTTTCCCTTCTCTCTGCCTCTGTCCCTTGTCCTTGGTCCAACCTGCTGTCCTCGGCTGTAGCCGTAAGAAGTCAGGCTCTTCGTCAGATGATTCAGACTGTGACATCAGTCCTTGGCTCTCCTCCGCCCCCTCTCCCTCCAGCACTTCTCCCTCTCACTCCCACACACATGATGCCTCGGCTCACACCACCCTTGTTGTGGGGAAAAGGTCGATACAGCTGCATGATTGTGACAATGAAGGAATGTTTTAGAACCTCCAGATTTTATAGGAGAAATATAATTGGCTCCGATTGGAGCTGAGTTTCTAATGAGCTGCTTTCTAATATACTAATGACAGAATATAGTGTCAAGCTACTGAAGGTTGCCCTAACACTCTTTATAAAGCAGTTTGCCTGCACTGACCTTAGTAGAATATAGGCTGTGTGTCAGCATTATCTTATTTTTATTACAGCATATTCTAGTGACTTTACTTTATTTACAGGAACTAGCATCATAGTTTTATTACATGACAGAGTGATTGTAAAATCCTGATTTGATCAACATCTGTTTGAATCAAATATCACCACTAAGGCTGCTTCATATATCTCTTCCTCCTTTTCTTGCTCTTTGATCCAGTTCACATGCATGCACTCATCACCTCTCTGTCCTTTTCTCTCCTTTTACCCACCCTGCAGTCCTCATATCCAAGCACACACTCCCCCACAGCTCCCCAAGATACAGCCCCCTCTGTTAGAAACCCCCCCTCTGGTGTTCGCGCCAGTGGACCCCACCTCGGGTCCCAAACTGGTCAAATGTGAGAGGTGGCCCCTCCTGGGGCGCCAAGACCCCCGGGAGCCCCCAGATCCCTTTGATTATGAGAGCATTTTCCCTGACTTGGAGAATGATGACATGTTTGCCAGGCGAACCCTGGCCTTCCAGTCCAACACAGACTTGGCCATGATGAAAACTCAGCTGTCCCCCCACCGTCGTCTCTACACGTCTGAGCCGCAGCTCAACATCATCACCCAGCGACACGTCCATGGAGGCACACAGGATGAGGATTTCCCCGATATCGAGCAGGACGATGTGGTTTATCGTAAGGAAAAAACCCAGCAGGCTCAGCAACAACGGCCGCTCTCAGGAGCTCCTGACAACTACACCCCAATGCCAATCCCAGAGCCGTGGGCTCTGCCTCCTGATCTCAAGGCCAGACTCCTGTGCCCCCCATGTCCTCTTACCCAGGAGGCAGCAGCAAACAAACAGAATCAGGTTGAGAAGGACATGCGTCCTAAAACAGATGACATGCTCGTCCGGAAACTTGGAGTTTGTTCTGAGAAGAGCCCGAGCTCACCGAGCGGCCCGTTAGCCAATCAACTGAGGCCCTCAGTACCGTCTTCCTGTAGTGAAGGTGACCTGCGGAAATGGCAGGCTATCAGGGAAGCCAGTCGGCTAAAATATAAAAAAAGGCTTATGGTGGAGAGGCTGGCTGCTCTGAAGTCGTGAGAGCAGATTTCTTTAACAGTGCCTGTTTTTTTCTCCTCACTTTGTAGACTTTTTCTTCAATCTTGTTGTGTTTTTACTGTTTCTGGGAAAACTCATAAGTGCCATTTCAGTCTTGAAATATTTTCTGTCTGATGGTGAAGTGGTTTTGACTGCTTGTTGATGCAACTTGTAGATGGGTGTTCTATCCAATTAAGTTCTTCTTTATGAAAACTTATAGGAGCTTTCAGCAGTCATGAGTATTTTTACATAAACTGATGAACTAATGAGAAAGCAACAACAGACCTTTTCCTTGTTTTAAATGTTTGTTGTTACCTTTTCCAGTGAGACAAAAATGTAATGAAAGGCCCTATGAAAGCATTATCATATGACTATTGATTATGGTCTTCTGCATGATGGCAAAATAGTTTATTTGACCTTAGAAACACATGGTATGTAAATGCTGAGTGGATGGCCAGACTGTAAATTGAATCTACTGCTGCTGTGTTTTTGAAGTGTGATTTCTTTGAACAAATCTCCAACATCATTAACCGAAATAGTTGGTACACCATGAGCACTGTTAAACAGACCCAAAACTCTGTATTTTATTTTTGGTTTTGTTTCCCTATCAGACCGAGTTTGCCTGTGAACGGAAAAAATATTTAAACTCAATAAAGAAAATAAGAGACTTCATGATGTTGTGATGGAATGCATTCAACTGGCCGTTTGTTGACCTCACCTAACACCTACAGTGACATGGATCTGAACAGAGTAGTGTTGTTTTCCTCAGCAGAGGGAACTTCGCACTGACATGTAAAGCTCAAAGTGCAGCAACATGAAAGTGTGGAAAGGTTCAAGCCTGAGTAATATCCAAACATAACATCCTGAACACATTGACAGCACCAAGCAGGGACATTAAATGTAGTTTTGTCTGTTGAGACGACATGAAAGGCCAAAGAAATTCCCCACAGCGCTGAAAGAAGACGTGACTTATGGACTCCATAGTAACCTGAACACAAATCTCTACTGCAGTGTTTGCACATGAACAGATGCACACAATCACAACCACAAAGCAACCATTTAACCTGAGTCAAGGCCATCTGGATTTACTTCACATCCATATGTAAAGCCATGTTTCCAGTGACATCATGCTAGAGTCTCCAGAAAGGCAGCATTGTTTAGAGTAAGACGCATGTATGCACATCTCACCAGCCAAATGTCAGGGAAAGGAAAAGTGATAATGTGCTATAAGCCTATTTTATACGCACATTAAACTCTAATCTCTTCACTGTATAAAATAAAAAGTGAGTCAGTGAGTCATGTTTTAGCTGGGTTTACGTACATATGAACCCATCACCAGGGGATCTGGTCTGAGAGTCACTAATTGGCCTTAAGCTCAGACCCCTCTCAGACAAAGACCCTACTGCAAAAATGTGACTTTGTTGTCTGTGGTTCTTTCTGGTTTCCTAGACAGCGCCAAATGCGACAGAGTATCGACGGGTGAGTTGATACGGGCTCCCAGGAATGTGGCACGTTTGCATTTGCTATGGCCTCTTACAGTCGCACCTCGCTGCCCCTTGCTTTTGTGCTGCTGTTCTCACCCTCTAGCTGCTAAATGCTGACACACAACACAGAGTATTGTATGGCAGAGGGCCAAGTTCATGGTGCTGGGAGGGAGGGAGGGAGGGGTGTTGTTGCTCAAAGCTCTATTGACAAAGCAACAAAGTGAAAAGATGCATACAATAGCAATATGCTGGGTCATTTACCTGAACTGAAGCTTGTCCCAGTGAGAGTTATGACTGAGCACTTGCCTTGTCACCCTGATAGCAGTATGACAGGTGTGTAACTCTTACCAGGTAAGTGAAAACAAAGAGTGCATTTTTTCTAAAGGCTGCGAGCTTTGAGTGACTTTGCTCTTTTGCATGATGGGAAGGGCTGTGATACATGTTACTAACCTCCTGAGCTTACATCACTCCACAGCAGTCTCTGTGGTTGACCCGTGTGCTGTGTTTAAACTAACACTTGGTTACAGGTCAAAGGTCTAATGCCATTTATTTATAGCATCAGCAACAAATATTGGAAGGTACAATTTTGAGGTTTGAATTTTAGATTATGTTTTTTTTTATACTGCTGATATGACACTGTGGTAAGAGATGGTGCATGCATAATTGGAGTGGAATACATATATTAATATTTAAACTTTTGCTAACTTTTTTGTCTGTGTAAAGTTTCTGCCAGGATATGTAAACCAAACATCCCCTCCCTTCCTGCCGATTCCCTGGGACATTTAAAAGAAAACCTTTTTCTTCATTCTTTCCACAGGAGTAAATCAACAAGCGACATCCAAGTTGACCCCGCCATCATCCGGCAGGTTCGCTACGAAGAGCTGCAGAAGTATCGTGAGCAGATAAAGGACAGCGATGATCAGTGGCAGGACGTGAGTACAACTGGTATTAGTACAGCACACTAACGCTCAAGGATATCTATTTCTTCCCCACGAGTCTTGTTATGCGATCTTAAGACAAGCTGTCTCTGGCAAGTAGATGGCAGAAGGAAGTTTTGTTCCCAACACAGACATGAGAGGTGAGCACATGATCTAGGGGATCTGTGCGGCAGTCAGGAGAGCAGGTGTTGTGGTGCAGTCTGGGGCCGCAGGGTGGAAAGAGAGCTGTTTAGATAGAAGCCAGAGACAGAGGAAGACACTGATTGGTGCAGCACTGCCCTCTGGCTATGGACTGTCCTCATTTCCAAATCAGAGTGTCTATGACAGGAAACACCACATACTGCTAATACTAATAATATAATTAATGTGAAATGGTGTTATGATGTAATATAGAAAGATGATGTAAGACAGAGACCCTAGAATGAAAATAAGTAGGCTTTATCCAGATAAAATTGACTTTGGGGTGCAAGTTGTTCCTGGAAAATCATTTTCGAAGGGCAGTGGTGCTCCAATTTTAAACACCAGCGATCCATTACTTCCTCATTCTTAGGCAAAAAATGTAAGAATATAATAAGAATAATAAAAAGTTATCCACATGTATATGACTGGCTGTCACAGTGGTCTGTCTGTGAGCTGTCTGATTGGTGTCATGGCAAAATAATGGAGTCTTAAAGCAGCATTTAGGTCACGCAGTCCCCAATACACAGGGGAGGTGAGCCGGGAGGAGCCTAAAGCACACAAATAGAACACCTTCAAATGTAGCCCTTTCTTTTTTTGTGTCTTTTTCTCTCCTTCTCAACTTCACTCCCTTCAGCTGTACAGTTTGGCATGCAACACAACTAGTCTGTTTTAGATCTGAGCTGAATTGTAACAAAATGGTGCATGAGGTGATCTGGGCTTACTTTTGCTGCAGGACCTGAGCAAATGGAAGAACCGACGCAGGAGTGTCAACTCTGATATAGTGAAGAAGAAAGAGGAAAGAGAGAAGATAGAGCAGATCACATACGGCAGCGACAGAAGGTCCAAGACCTTCAAGGAGATGCAAGAGGAGAGGTAAGGGAAAACACACCTGATCCGGTACTTTTGAAGGATTATGCCATGTGGTATTGTTAGATTTAATGCTAGAGAATTTCATCAGATTCTGGCTTTTACCAAAAAGCAATGCGCACTGAATTTGTTCCTCTGTTACACTTTTTTTTAACCCTCGAAGGACGATCCTTTGCTAAGGTAATAAAACAGATGGTGTGTATGAGAAGTTTTGCCACATTAAACAAAGACTGCAGGATTATTTGTGCAGGAGTGAATGAAGAGACTCTCTGTAATTGTGCCTTCAGTCAGTGTGAAAGTGTAATCTAATCATGGCTTACCACCTGCCCCCTCCGCTCTCTACCCTCCTCTTTTCAACCTGTGCTCTTCTTTCCTCCGTCACTTGTCCCTTTCATCTGCCTAAATCGCTTGCTTTCCATACTCATCTTTATTTTTTACCCATCACTGTCCACTTTTTTTCCCTCTTTACTTCTTTATCCCATCCCGCTTCTCCTCCTCTGTTTTGCCCACAGAGAAAATAAAGGAACAAACAGTGTTGGCGGTCGTCTCAAATCTCTCTCCTACCTGGACGACGAGGAGGACGTATTTGAGAAACCTGTCATTTCCCCCCGTACCCGAACCCTTCCTCCCAGGAGCTACACTATTGACACTCCTTACTACTCCTCTCAAACCCCTGAGCCATCTCTGAAAGAGGACAAACCCCCCGTTGCTTCCCCAGCTACTGACACGGCCGATTCCCCTCCCACCTCACAGGAAGCTGACAGGGACAGTCCTGCAGGCAGCGACGCCACGACCATCATCACTCCCACCAGCCGCAGCTCTTTCCACAGATCCCAGTCTCCTGTAGCTGCACCTCCGATAAAGAGGAATCCAGTCTCAGAACACACCAGCACAGTCAAGACAGAGGAGACCACAACCATTGTCTCCTCTTCTAGCTCCATGCAAAAGGTGCCCGAGCCAAGGCGCCCATTGTCGGGCACACAGGCTGAGGCCCCTTCCTCTGGTTCTCTTTACAAACAACAACCACAGCTCAGCTCAATGGAACAGAAGCCTCCCGGGGTGTCTCGGGTTTCTGCCTCCCTCCCCAGGAGCTACCAGAGATCGGATAGCGCACGTCTAACCTCAGTTGTCACACCAAGGCCCTTCGGGACCCAGACGTCCCGCCTCACCTCACTTCCCCGAGCCTTTACAGTGAGTATTAGATAATTCTACAACTAAATATAAACTACCAGTGCAGCACAAGGTGCTTGAGGACATCTAGAGGGCAGGAGGAGACAGTGTTTGTTTGGCAGTGAGGAATTTTTGCCTCATTAGTCAGGTACAGTTTTGTTTCTTTTGAGTACATTGGTGTTACCCAAGAGTCCGATCTGATTACTGTGTGAATAATGGATGAAGCTAGTGTTTTTATAATGCTAACTCAACTACCAGGGCTACTATTTTCAGCCTTCCTCACATTCATTACTGTTACAGTAAATGTAGGAAAATATATTACGTTTAATTGGATCAGTTAGTGAAGATTGTGAACTCTTGAAACAGTTTCATACTCACTTAAAGAGTTTTCAACACATTCGCAAACTGATCCCTCCTCCATTTTAAGGTCTGCAGATTAAAGTTGATTTTGTAACCAGCAGCCCTATTCATTTTACATTATATTATTTGAAAGACTCAAACTTTGCATTCTTTGACAATCTGCATTCCTCCCCGGACAGATGGACGACTCTCACAAGCGTCTCAATGGCGATGTCAATGATTCCAAGAAGTTGTCCGTGCCGAGCCGCTATCACCAGTTCATGACCTCTGAGGATGAGGCTCGCTCTCAGTCCAGCTCGGCCCACAGTAGTGAAGACGAGAAGGAGGAGGAGGAAAAAGGGGAAACCCTATCGAAGAGCGTCACCTCTACTCAGAGTGTTTCACCTGTCCTTCCTCAGGTCAAGAGTGAAGCCACAGTCAGCCCTGCTCCAGCCAAAGAAACCAGCCAGGTACTCAAGTTACCTACTGTTGACAAAACAGATCAGCTTGTATATTGAATGAAAAAGAATTCATTTGTGTTACTCACATTTTATTTAATACTGACACCATGAACAGTCACTGAATGTATTTTTAGCTTTGTAGTAGTGAACCCACATGCGCCATTCAATCTAATTTTTGCTTCAACCTCTTTTCTTATGTGAAAGCTGCTTAAAAACAATAGAGTGCTGCAGTGCAGAAATGAAAGAATAGCAACAGGTTGGCATTTAATCAACAGCCATAAATGATTAATAAAAGCAGGCCTGCGTACATAGACACACAACCTGATCTCCAGAGTAATGGAAAGTTAGGACCACATTCCAGCACTTAGAGCTGTTTTGTATGTATGTGAATAGTTGTTGTTCGTCTCTACTCACCTGTGTTGGTGTTTGGTTGCCAGGAGAACTACTGTGATATGCGGATCAGCCTGAACCAGAAGCCCAACAGCAGCCGAGACTTTGGCTTCCAGGCAGCCTGGGACTCAACTGGAGCTCGTGTCACATCCATCCAGCCAGGTAACAACAGTTGAGAGAAATACCTTCAAACAAAGGGATTTGGATTGTAGAGCTTTTTTCACCTTCCAATATAATGTCTGCTGCCACAGCCAAACTGGCAACCTTAAACAGCCTACCCAGTGGTTAAACCCAGCAGTCACATCTCACATCTCACTAAATCTGGCTGATGTATTCACAGTGGTAATATTGGAAACCAATGCTCAGGCTGTGTTACATTTTACAACCAGGCACGGCTGGTTAGTTGTCAGTAGGGTTTCGAGTCCAATGCGGTGACGGTGCCAGACCTATGTAGGGCAACATCTATCTGGGTCATATCTGCTGGGCCTGAGCCTCACTTTCTATTCAGATCTTCCCACCTTCCCAGTATCTCATATAATTCAGTATAACGTTTCAGTAATACTTATAACATCCCCCCCACATCAGTACATGAACTCTAGCTTTGTCACACCAGCTTCAACCTAGAGTGTATTTAAGTGTAACTTTGTTCCCTACAGTCATTGTATGTATTGTGTCAACCTTGTCCAATCACCCTTTGTGTTATGTTATTAATTATTTATAAGGACACGCACATTAATCAACAGAAATGGCCGCCAAACCAATAGTTTGAGTCCCTGGTTTAGTATCTGTTGCACAAAATAAATAGTAAATATGGGTGTACATTCCTGTCTTAAATAATACAAATTAAAAACTGCTTCCATAAAAAAAAGTTTTGTGTAAGTAAAAACTTCTTCACATAAAAACTGCTGTTTTATTGTACCAACTTGATGCTTTTGCATCAGCAAATCTCAAAAGCAAAGCTGAAAGCATGGGAAGATCTTTGTTGCTGGCTGATACAGTGTTGAATTATTTAACTGTGAATGCCATATGTCGAGGATTCCACTGGTAAGAATGAAAACTGTAATCTGCAGTCTAAGTCTACAGTATAAATTCTCATCTTGTAATTATTTATTTTTAATTTCACTTACTTAAGTGTTACTTAAATTACTAAAACAACCACTGTTTATGCAAAAATAACAGCTCTTATGAGTTCTAGAAGTGATGAACTGATAGTCAACCGTATCATTGCAGTGGTAGAACTGAATATTTTCTTTGCTGCTATCGATGTGTTCCTCTGTGTCTCGTGTAGGCACCCAGGCAGAGATGTGCCAGCTTCAAGTTGGAGATGAGGTGCTGACGGTGAACAGACAGCAGGTGGCAGAAATGAGCTACACAGACTGGAAGTCCTGCATGGAGGAGGCTCTGCAGGAGGGCAGTCTGGTCATGGATATACGTCGTCATGGCAAGAACAGTGAGTCATCTGAACACTGTGTGTGTGTGTGCGCGTGTGTGTTTGTTAGCGTGAGAGCGGGAGCTTGAATTGAACCACTTTAAGGGCTGCATTCCTTGACTGACAGTACTGCTTATGCTGCTTGTGTTGCTAAACAGTTTTGACACTTTAAATTGGTCCGTAAACTATTGTGAAATCATCCATGAATGATCTCATGACAGCTGGGGAAGGACCTGAAACTTTTTTTCTCATCTACCGAGGGACTACTGTTATTGTTTTGACCTAAGCGGTTTTTATTTCTTTCGTTCCTGTGTGTGTTTTGCTTGTCCTCTTTTTCCATGTTCCTGTATTTATCCTTTTATTTCTACTGGTTGTTTCTACTTTTTGCAGCCTCTTTAGTATCCCTCTCTGTATCCATGCGGTGTCTTCCTTGTGGAGAACTAACCCTGCTCAGGTCCAGCTCAGGTCCAGCTCAGGTCAATGGTCCTCTGAGTGCGCTGTTTTCACAGTGTTAGTATAACAGGTTCCAACTAAGTCAGTGTCACCTTACAAAAACAATAAACCACCCAGAGTATTAATTGAACTAACACACAGTACTTGTTGAAATAGTTTAGTCAAGCCCAGTGGTTGTGAGCCTGTTAGAAACATTGTGTGGGTTTATGAAAGCTTTAATAGGCTGCATGGCTGGGGAAGGTGGGTTCTCTGTCACCCCCTGCTGCTCTCTATAATAACACTATAACTACACTAAACTACAACCTTGTCCCCTGCTTTATAGTGGTCTCTATGCAAATAGACAATTCTGTGTCAAATGTTGGGTTTCACATACAGAACGACTACTACACACACAGACACAGAAAACATGTGGCTTCATGTGCAAACACACATCCTATTTTTTGCCATTGCATTGTCTGCATGCAGACTGGGACAGAGATCAACCTTCCCTGCCATTTAAAAGCCATAAGACCATCAATCTGACCAGTACGGATCATCCGATACTTCTAGGTTCCTCTGACACAAACACTGTCAACTCCAGCCTGGATTTCACCTCACCCATTTCCAGAGAAACGCCCCCGTCCATGTCAGAGGCCCCTGCCCAGCCAGCCATCGTAAGTGACCCAGAATCACTCAGTTTGACTCAGGTTTATTCCTGTATTGTTCCCAGCCGGGCGACTCTTTAATGAGCGTACACCCTGCCTTGTCTCCCTGCAGGATGTGGCTTCAAACGGAGTTAATGGAGGTTTCCGTGAGGAGTCGGTGACCATGAGGAACAAAGGTAAAGAGCAGAGCACACAATCAGAAAGGTTATGAAATTGATCCTGATGACTATTTTTGTACTGAATACAAAAGCACACAAGTAGGGGGTGTCATTGTGTTTACTTATGTTTGGGAGGAACATCTTTGCAAATACTGTATGGTTGTGGATAATATTTATTGTGTTATTTAACAAAATGATATAACAATGTTGAAACATATAACTATGATACATGTTAAGCAACATGTACTGTATGTGTAATTCATGTATTAGTTATTATCAGTAATATTAATAATATAAGGTGGTATATCCCCCTAGTGAAACATGTTTCTCTCTTCAGCTGTGCCTCACTATATCCTGTTTCCCATCTCTCATGTAGAGTCAGAAACCATATCTTTGAAAAACTTAAAACGGAGGTCAGAGTTTTTTGAAAAAGGTAAAAAAATAAATAAATAAAAGACACTGACCGTCTCTTAATAATGATAATGACATCTGTGTAATCTGGTGGCTGGGTTCTCTGTGCTCTTGTCTCACTGAATTACTTAGATTCCCAAGGAACTCTTGCATGTTTCTATCAGTCACTGCCTCACGTTCAATTGATAAACAACCTATTATCAATTGATTGTGAGCTGTCAGGATTAAAATTCCTTTTGGGCTTTTTTTTCCTTGTCTGGTGCCAGAGCTTAATCCTTGTGCTGTGCCCCTTCCCTCCTTCAGGTGGCTCAGGGTCCAGTGTCAGTGCGCTGGTCTACCTCTGTGGTAAACAGGGTTGAGTGTGCAGTGACCTCCTCACCTTCGCTTGGTACACCCTGGGATGCTGACATGCTTTTCAAACCAAGGGAGTCTAGTGATATTTTGGGGCAAATTAAGGAATTGTCTCTTCACAAATCAAACAAACTTTGTTCAGTTCACAACTTTTTGAAGAAACCCCATAGACCAAATAAAATAAAATAGACAACCAGTTTGTGTATAACAGTAACATATTCAGCTCCAGAGGTTGGACAGCATGTCAGACACTATGCCAGCGTACCAACCGCAAATACAAATCTTTGAATGTTGTGTTTGTGGTATTTTTTTGAGCGGTGTCCAGGTTTAACACATGGTTACACTTTTCGCTTTGCTGCGCATGAAGTTAAAAGCATTCCTGTTGCTCTTTTGGCATGCATTTATTGAACTGTACGTTAGCCTTTCAGACTGGCTGCGCTGTACTTGTGTGCATCCTATGCATGCTGCTAAAAAGTGCGTGTTTTGTTTGATCTTGTTGTCTTCACAATCAGTTTATTGATTTTCCTATTCAGGCCTGGCATCCAATGTAAATGTCAACAAGTGGGTCAACAAGTGGGATGAATTGAGAGAATCCTAGTGGGTGAAATTTGACCTTTGTTGCTCGAGGCTTGTTGAAAATATCAATTACTGTTGTGGTTTTAAATGTCATTTTCTATGATGAATTGGTACTTGGCTTAAAAATCATGTTGAAACTTTAATAAGCCTGTCAACTTTGTGTTGCTGCGGTATATGGCCTCGAGATTAACTTCTATTCTATTGCTCTGCCTGTGCATGCCAGAAGTATTGACTGGATGATTTTCTTTCTTTTCAAGGAGGATCAGAGTCTGCAATGCCAGATGTGAGTAGTATTATCATTGCATAAAAGGCACTATTTGTCTCTGTTGTGTTTGCTCTTGTAGCATGACAACATCTCTGAAAGCAGATACCATAGTTATTACAAAGCCCAGATCCATTATTAGAAATCGTACATGTTCTGCATTGCTAGTTTACGCCAGATGCTGGTTCACTCTGCTTCTTAAGCTTCTTCTTTAAGGTTGCCCAATTACTACATTATGTTTGAAGCAGTCATTTTGATATATCTTTGAACTGTAAAATACTCAAGAGCCCTGGAAGAAATTGTGTTCAAATTGTACAAATTGTACATCCCTCTGAGACAAAATTGTGATTTCAGGCTATAGTTTAAATTAACAGGACTTGTTTCAATATACCACAAAGTCAGCTGTGTGACATACAACAAACATACAAGCATGCTGCATGTCTTATCTTCTCCGTTTGCAGATACCTGTTCCTGCAATCACTCCATCTTCCAGCCGCTGGTCTTGGGACCCAGAGGAGGAACGCAGAAGACAAGAGAAATGGCAGAAGGAGCAGGAGCGCCTCCTACAGGTACATAAAGGCATGCTTGTGTAGCGCTGATGTTATGTTGTAATATACGCTGAGTTGCCAGTTTGTTTGGTACACTGAGCTAAAACTAATGCAAGGTAATCAATCAGCCCTTCACAAAGTGGTACTTGTGGTTTTTGTTTTAGAGAGGTCTTGATTCAGTATTTTGTGGTGCTGTTAAATTGGGTATTGGGTTATTCTAAGAAGTTTTAATATTACAACAATTCAGATAAATCACAAAACAATGAAATAAGGACACTCAAGGAGGTAGATAAGAAAACAAAATACTATTAAAAATAGAATATAAGAAGTCTGAGAATAGAATCTGTTTATGCTTTTGTTTTTGTGTTATCTATCTGTGTGATCCAGGTCAAAGTCAAATTTCCATTTCCTTGCATTTTAAAATAAAGATTTTCTAATTCTGATATAGACCAGGGCCATATTCTAATTTGTACTAATTACACACAATGTTCTAATAATTCCTCTGAACATATTGATACACACATGGTGGACAAAATATAAGAAACACCTCTCAGTATAACATATATTATGTATTATGTAAACTAAACATAAGTGTACCTAACAAACTGGCAACTGAGTGTATAGTACATTATTAAAACTGAACATACCAAATGAAGCAACCTCACTATGCATTTGATCTAAAATACCCTTCAGGATATGTGTTGTGTGCTCCATCTGACAATGAGACGAGGCACAGAGCCTGAAATGACAGACTAGGAAGACCTCACAGTCAACGCAGACTGCTCCTAATAGGCTCAAAACAGAAAACTTTACAGAGCACTCTGGCAGCTGAAAGTAAAAGCATCTGTCGAGGATCCAACTTAAATGTAGTAGAATCCTGTCAAAACATTTTTCTGTGGGTCTATTTCTGGATGGAGATCAAAGGTGTCCAAGCACAGCGCTGATGTAGCCGGGAAGGCTTGTTACTCCTCCAGTCTTAGTCCCTGTTGGATGCACGGCCTGATTTTATGATGTGCCAGGGAGACTTCCAGCCCCGGGCGAGCTTCTTTAGGTTTTTCAACTTTCAGGATGGTTAGATAACATGTAGGTGAGCTTGGAATTATGTGAAAACAATACAGCTATCATGATATCTATTTAGTCTTTGGGTGTATTTTCCTCTATTTAGTCTTTCTCATTTTCTTTATTACTTATCATTCCCACTGTACACTGTGGCCATATAATTTTCCATCACAAATGGATTTGTGGCACCTGGTTAGCTCAGTCGGTAGAGCTGGTGACCCATCTACGCAGCGGCCTGGGTTCAAGTCTGACCTGCGGCCCTTTGCTGCGTGTCGTCCCCTCTCTCTCTCTGTCCCCCTTTCCTGTCTCTCTCCAGCTATCTCTGTCAAATAAAGGCATAAAAGGCCCAAAAAATAATACTTAAAAAAAGCAAAACAAATGTATTCGCATAGATTTGTGTATGTTTTTTCTATTGTTTGGTTTGTTTTTAAATTTTGTGTGTGTGTGTGTGACTAAATAGGTTGACCTTTGACCTCTCTCCCTGCGTTTTTCATCCAGGAGAAATACAAGCGCGACCAGGAGAAACTGCAGGAGGAGTGGCTAAAGGCTCAGGAGGAGATTACCAAGACAGCAGACCCACAAGAGGTAACAACAAATGAATGTGTTTAAATTATGGAGAGCCATATAAGAACTTGGATAGTGTTGTTGATCGACATTGTTGTAGTTATGCAGTTACGTGGTCGGGCACTGGTATTGACGGCTTTTTAAAATGCAGGTCCATTGCACACAAAGAGCAGAAAAATGTCCAATCATGTGGATATTCACACAGGATATACAACACTTGTGGCTGGGCTTACTGTAATGGCACAAGTCTTTCCAGCTCATAGTTTTGCAACAAAAACTCCCTTTCAATTGTAATTTCAAAACACATGCTGGTTTGTCACCTCAGGGGATGACTTGAGTTCCTCCACCGTTGTTGCAGTTCCTCCTGGAGGTTAATAACGGTTTTAGCCATTATGTGTCAAACACTTCCTCTTTTCTGTCCTTCCTTCTGTTTGGCAGCCCGGGAGCCTGGAGGTGAACAGCCACAGCATCAGCCCACACTCGCCCCTCTCTCCCGTCAACCAGCCCGCCTCTCCTCCGTGGGAGGAGGAAGAGAGAAAGAGGAAGGAGGAGCAGGAGCGCCAAAGACAGGCGGAGGAGAGAAGGAGGAGGGAAGAGGAGGAGCGGGAGCTGCAGCGTCTCCAGGAGGAGAGGCAGAGGAAAGAAAGGCAGGAGGAGGAGGAGCGGAAGAGGAGGGAGGAGGAAGAGCTGAGATGGCAGAGGAGGAGAGAGGAGGAGAGGGAGGAGGAGAGGAGGCGGCAGGAAGCCTTCGAGCAGCAGCGCAGAGAGCGAGAGAGAGCCTTCGAGCAGCAGCAGCAGTGGTCAGTAAAGACACTGCCCCTTCAACTGTCCTGTACTGTCCTCACCCTTTACTCACACGCCTCCTCCATAACGTTCAGAATAACACATTTAAGTGTAAAACATGCTTTATTGTCTGTGCATTAACACAAGTGCAACTAATGTGTTTGCATGTGCTTTGTCCTCCACCTCTGTGTTGTAACCATCGCCCTACCTCTCTCCACACACTAACCTTCACCAAAGGACTGGGGGCTCCCATGGCTTTGCCAATGTCCAGCCTCCACTGTCCTTTACAGACAGGTTAGTATAGGAGTGATTTAGTATGCGTTTGTCCATCTGCAATCATACTGAGAGATAATGTTTCTTTCTATATAAATCTAAACCGCTATTGACACTTATAAAACCTCTTCTTACATCACATACTTTTTATGTGATACATGCTTTATACCCTATTTTGATGAGTAGTGATATGTAACAACAATGATTATAATTTATTATAGTATTTCACAATAGAATATGTTGTATTGGCAACACTTTTTTTAGGTCCTTCATGATTTAACAATTAATAAATGGTTTATAACACACTTTAATGTTGTTGGCAGCTTTAAGTGTTTATAATATTATTTAATAGTATTTGCCAACATCTGCAACTCCTCCTGTGGGCACCCATAAATTGAGGCTTGTGTATAAGCAGAGGATCAGCTATCTAGTGCAAACATTATAGTGTTTATAATAGTGGCTGCTAATTGGCAACACCCATCCTTAGAAGAGCTTTTATGAAAATAAGAACATCTGTCTTCATAGAAGTTATGATTACTGCCAAGTACTGCACTTAAATACACACTTAAAATGTCCTTACATCTGCTAACAACTACATTGTTGTGTGTTATAAACGATTAATTAAATGTTTGTATTGTATACTCCTTATAAATGCTAACTAGGGGACCTCTCTGTGTTTTCGGCTCCAAGTTCTCCTTTTTTGAGTTCTTTATACAATTCTCTGCACCAGGAGGTATCTTGGCAACACAATTTGTTCTTGCCTGAATTGTACCGAGACTGCCAAAACAGTGTCTCACAAGCATATAATCCTGCCAACACCAGTTTCTAACAAGCAAGAACAATTTGTGTCATTTTAACCTGAAAACATGTACACCAGGTAGCATTTCAGTAGATACATAATTCAACAACATGTCTGTCTTTGTTTCTCTTTTATTACATTTTCAACAAATGTCTCAGTACAAAACAAAACTGGCACATCTTTACTGCATAGCTGATGTGTCCAGGTGTTCACTGCATTGTTTCTTGCTGGCTCCATTTGAACCGAATTATTCAAACAATGTCTCTCTGTGTTGACGGCCATGAAATTGAAAGTCCTTCAGCAAGTGGGTTAGGTCTCCAGCTGAGATTGGAATTACCTGCGATTGGTCTGCAATCAGCAGTTTCCCATTATTCAAAAAATATGTTTTTTTCTGTATTTGACATATCAAAATGCTTTAAGTTTACCACTATAGTTGGAAGTTCTAAAAACACTTCTACAAAAAGAGCTACTGTAGACTGTTCACTTTCATTGTATTTTCTTTTGTTTGACAGGATTAAATCTAAATCATCTCCCCAGCTCGATGAGGAGGAAAAACCTCAGTGGAAAGGTTAGTTTTTTTTTTAAATTAACAGTATCCTCTATTAGTTAAGTTCTATTATAGTTTACCTTAAATGAAAATGGTAGTACTGGGTGACTGTTTTAAAATTGAGCCCATGTTTGAATGCTATTGCACATATATGTGGGCTGTACTCTACTGTAGGTGTGCAGCCGGGGGGCATGGCTCACTGGCTGCTGGAAGAGAAGTTGAGGAGTGCGCGTGACAGAGAGGCCCAGAGTCAGAGGGCCACATCTGAGCTGGAGATGGAGAGGAGAAACATCCTCAATGCCATGAGATACAGAGAGCCAGAAAGAGGTGGGCTCGGCCCCTGAACCACCGCCTCTCCGTTCAATCTGAAACCCAGTTAATCTGCTCTCATTATGACCTTTTGATCAGCTGATCAGTCAATTACGACATGCCTTCAAATCAAAACGTACAGATGTTTGATCATCAGCTAACCAATCGAATGGAAAATCAGCTATCCAGAAAATTACAACAAAAACAATGAGCTCATTGATTGATCGAACCGCACTGGGGAAACACCGTGTTTACATCATCACAATGTCACTTTTTTTTCCCAATTTCTTTGCCAGTCATGATCTATTTTTGACTTCCCAGAAACCTTTCATTTCCTTCAGCATCATTTTCATCATCTCTCCTCTCTGGGTGCAGTGACAGGCGGTGGAGTGGGTGAGAAGAAGGGTCAGCAGCCCGCGTCGCAGGCAGAGGCGGAGCGGCAGCAGATCTTGAACGAGATGAAGAAGAAGACTCCGCTGCTGACTGACGGCAGCTGGATCCGCCAGCGTGCCTCCAACCCCGTCAAGGAGAGCGAAGTGCCGCCCATGCGCAGGTACACATCTCTGTAGTATGATGTTGGTGGCTGGCTTTCACACTTACTAACATCTTGTTAACTTCTGTTGTGTGCTGAAATGAAAACATTTATTAGTCTGGCTGCCACGCTGACTTTGGCAAATTTGGTTGGAATATTTTAGGTTTAAAACAATTGCCAGAGGTACAGTTGGTAGCCAGACATTTTAAATGCTAAAAACTAACTTGCTAACGTGGGTGTGGCGTGGGTTGGCTTTGCAGAGGCGAGTCTCTTGACAACTTGGACGCCTCCAACTCCTGGCGCTCGTCGTGGACACCCAGGAGCAACTCTTATATCCAAAACTACACCCGGCCTCAGTCTGCCCTTTCTGGCAGCACTTCCTTTTATGGTGGTGGGTTGGGGGCCCAGCGGCCCGGCTCCTCCACTCTGCCTTCCTCCTACTCTATGGGCTCCCTCCGAGGTGGGGCAGGAACCCCCTCGTCACCTTGGTCCCGGCAGTCACCTTCCCCCTCACCCTCCTCTCCTTCACCCACCCCCTCTCCAGAGCCCACGTCTGAGGCAGGCGCCCCTCAGCAGCGGAACAGGTACAATCAACAATGCTGCTTCGCTTTAACAGCCCCAACAAGCTGACTCTAACCTCTCACTGGTATACTGGGTTGCATAACCATAGTGCTGGTGGTGTTGTTAAACTGTAACTTTGGATGGGCAGTTGTGGTAAAGGGCAACTGAATCTAACTTGTTTTCACTTCTACTTTTGAATGTAATATAAAATGCAGTTTCATATGATATCGTTTTATGTGACATTCTCCATCTGTTCACCCTCCATTTCACACCAAACAGGTTTACCCTATTCTGTGTAGTCAGTTTTTAGTTTTTATAGATGTTTAATTTCACTTGCACATACAGAATTGTTCTGAGTTGGTGTTTTTCTGTGTTCATGTGTGGGCACTGACATTTTAAGAGTTATTTATTTATTTATGGTGTATTTGATAGGGACAGATGCAGTATACATAGTGTTTATAATAGTGGCTGCTAATTGGCAACACCCATCCTTAGAAGAGCTTTTATGAAAATAAGATTAAAACAGTGAGGAAAAAGGGGGTAAACTGAATACAGTTAACTAACAGTACCCAATATTTTTTTCCAAATTGTTTCCATGGCAAAATTACAGTATGATAAAACACCATATTAAAGAAACTATTATGGCTGACTGAACAATAGAAATTGAAAAATTTAGTATTTTACAAAATGTTTTAGTGGAGCTCTGGTCATCGAGGAGCTTCTGTTTAATTTTAGCAGGCGACATGATTGGCCCTCATCCATAATTAATATTTAACAAAGGCCGATATTGGTCAGATTTGTTATTGCAGCAAAGAAATTTTCGGTCTAACCCTGTTGTATGCCAGTGTAAACATGTGTTTTGTGTGTGTGTTTGTGAGTGCGTGCGTGAGTCACACGTGTGCTCGACTCTCAAATCACAGCTGTACGTTCTGTAATCCAGGTCAGTGAGTGGCAAGAAAATCTGTACGTTCTGTGACGCCCCGCTGGGAAAGGGAGCAGCCATGATCATCGAGTCCCTTGGGCTCTGTTATCATTTGACCTGTTTTAAGGTGAGAGCTGGGCTCCTGTCGGCCCCGGAGCACGTCATCAGCACGCCCGACCGATCCTCAAAAACTAACGTGGTCACTCCACTCTTTTTTCTTTTATTACTAACCTGGTAAATCCTGGTGAATCTCAAGGTCCTGATCGATTTTCTGTGCCAAAAACTTTAAACTAATCAACTCCTCACTTTGTTTGTTTTTAACAATGTTTAACTCTGGTTGGTGATCCTTCCTGGAACTTTGGTCTTCACTTGAGTGTGATCTCTTGCATCTAAACTGTGATCCATCCTGCCAATCTTTGTCATTTGACTTTTTCCTTCATTTTTCTCTTTTTATACATACAATCAAGGGGCTTCTGTCTGTTCTCATCCCTCCACCTTTGGACATGGACACTGGTGTTGTTTAAACCAGTTGATTAGTCCTTTAACTCTTCCCTTTCCTAAACTTCCTCAGTGTATCGACTGCAAGTCTGACCTCGGAGGATCGGAAGCCGGGGCTGAAGTCAGAATACGAAACAAACAGCTCTACTGTAACTCCTGCTACATGCGATTCAAAAGTGAGTCTATGATCAATCTGATCAGCGTGATCACCTGTTGTGTTTTTGGTTTTCTTTAAGTGTAATATTGCTGTCTGTTTTCTTTTAGGTAGCCAGCCAACCGCTATGTGACATGACTGTACTCCAGCAGATTGATGAAGAAACTACTTGTGACAACAACCCATGAACATTAAACTGAACATTGAAGCCATTGCAAATAGATGGGACACTTGGTTTGGACATACTTTCATTTACGACTAATAAATTACTCTAAGTTGACTCACTGATGAGAATTGTATTTGTGTGTTTTCAGTGTGTGATTGAGAGGGTAAGCTTGCAAAGACGTTATCTACTTTCATGTGTTTATTTCATATTAAGTATTAACAGTTGTACAAAGTGTAAGGGTTCTGCATGCACCAGAGTTTTTAAATGTTTTAGTCATGAAACTAGTCAAAACGTTAAATCATCTATAAGATTATTGAGGCAAATCTTTGTAATGACCTTCACTGAGACAGATTTAAGAGATACTGAGAAAGTTTTAAAGGAACCCTACAGGATCATCTTCTCTTCATGCTTCTATTTCCGCTTGTGGTATTAACACGTTTTGTCGACCAAGCTGTTCTTATCATGTCTATGTGCCTTTTTTTGCCGTTTGTAACAGGGAGAAGTAATTAAGATTGTTAGAATTCTTTCAAAATATATTTAAAAATGTCTGCTTGGATAGCACTTGTCTGCAGTTTTCACTGATAGATGGAGGATTGTACACATTAGCAGGTTACCGTGTGAAGAATATATACTGAATGGCATTAAGGCGAACAGTAACATTTGTAAATAAAATGACTAAATGCTCAACTCGTGTTTTTGTGTGCTTTTTTCAACAGTGAAATTGCATAATTCCTCGTTATGATACACCACTGCATGATGCAAGGCTTTTCCTGCCTCTGTAATCAGAAATCATTATACTCCTCTTTCCCTGTCTGTCCCTCTTGCTCTCTGTTTCTCTGTTGCGCATAAAGGAATAAAATAATAAAAGGAATTTCAATGAGCTTTTGTGCAAAGGTTCAGAGGACCTGCCTGCTCTGTGTTCTCCAAAGCCAATTTGTCATGCATATTTCATTCAGTGCGCATGCATTACATTTGATTACACTTTGATAAGCTATTTTCTAAATGTATTCTGTCATTTTAGCTGCTTCATGAAATCATATCTGCATAAACATATATTGAATATTCATACAAGTAGGGACGCTCCTGATTGTTCAGTTCGCAGCTCGCAAATGCATTTCAACAGCAAGGTTAGAGACTGTCCTCATTTCTCATAAATAGGAATAAGCTCAATTGAAGCAATATATGGAAATAAGTTGGACTGAGTATAAATTGGCTCTGTATTCTTGAGGTGAAGCACAAACAGCCCCTGGAGGCAGACATCTCAAATTCTTAGATTCCTTTTTTAGATTTTTCCTTGGCGCTCTCGTGGGAGAGAGAGATTTTAATCCTTATGCTTAAAAAATAAGCACGGCCTGAATGGCGCCGAGTAGAGTCAAGTGGCTGAGAAATATAAAACCTTTCAGGATAAGTATCCCATCTTTTTCCTTCAAAGCCAAGGCCACAACCAGCCTTTATGGAAGGCTTTGACGTGGAGAATTGAATGGTATGTGTGTGTTGGAGCTTGCAGAGAAACATTATGCTTGGCTGCTCAGAAGAATAGGGTCTGTAAAGAGATGGAACACAGATGGAAGAGCTTAGATATGCCTGCTCTACCCTCCATCAAAAAGTCATTCCTAACTCTAACAGCTCACTGTAAGCTTCTTTTTAATGCGCTCACAATGGAAGGAAAGAATTGAAATTCTTTTTGGAGATTTCCAGTCAAGCCCATGTGAATGACTTTTTACCTTGCAAACACAAGAGTGAGTCAAATAATCATGCTTCATTTCCATGCCTCTGTGGTGTTTTGAAGATTAAGCTTAGGTGTTAAGCTTAGACTCACCAGAAGGGGGCAATGTGATCTAAGGCTTAAACCAAGAAGGACTGCAGCTGGATGATAACTGCTGTTGCTTGCACCACTAAGCATGATATTTAACAGTACATATTATAGGTGCTGTGTCCTTTAGCCACAGTAGGTTATAAACATAATGCTTGTGGACTATGACATAAGATTTTGTGCTTTCGTTTGTAAATTAATCCTAAGTGACACTGAATTTTGGCTCTGAGCACTCACAGTTTAGCTGTCAGACTGTGACAATCTGGGCTTTTTTAATTAAGTTTAATTTCTTTAGTGAAAACCATGTACTTTTGACCCACCTGTTTGATTTAAATATATCTGAGGCAAGCAGCACCTCCTGCGATTTGCCACTTAGAAGGAATGCCTTTCACACTTTACAGAAGCCATCAGGCACTAATTCACCTGCAGCTTGAACTGAGGCTATAATTAGTCATGTAATTGCAGACACTGTCTCACCAGACCTGTTGCTATGGCTTGCAGGCACCAAAGCGCTGTCATAAGGATCAATTAACTACAGGGATTAAAGAAAGTGGACTTTAAGTAAACCTGTAAATTCCCGGAGCATCAAGATGAATCTGTGAGACTGTTCTCCATTCATGGTAACATAGTGTTTATTTCTCAGTGGAGAATCTTTAACCGAAAAGACGCAGTAATGAAAATGTGAGCATAGAATGGTTTTATAGAGACATTTCACATGACAGTGAAAATACAACCTTTTCGGTAGCTGTAATGTATTCATGTTAGCAGTGATTACTTTTGACATTTACAGCTCTCAAGGCTAAATGATGACTGCACATGATTGATTTAATTACAGCTCATATACCCAGCTATTGGACATTTTGAAAATGTTAATAGGTGAAACTGATTATGGTGTGAATATACATTTTAGTACATTTTAATAAATGTCCAATATCTTGCAAGGCCATGTGGCTTTTAAGGAGTGCATGTATGTTTGCACAGCGGAATGTATTCCATATACTTACATTATCAGAATCAGAATCAGAATTATGTTTATTGCCAAGTAGGTTTTTACACCTACTGTCCTGGTGCAATTGGTGCATAAAATATACAAATACAAATATACAAATCGGCAGCAAAAATCACCCAGAAACATAAAGTACTTTCCAAAATATAAGATAGATACAAGATAAGCAAGATAAGAAAAAGAAAACCGCGCAGAAGAACTGGAGTGCGTTAAATGTAATGGCCATACTGTATCATACAGGTTGGGTATAAAGAGCAGAATGCACTTCTCACAGTTCAGGTCTTATGTGCCGTGTGCTACTCCCATCCTTCACAGTGTGATGCCAATTTTTCTCGCTTGATGGGGCCTACCTCGTGATTAGTAGTGATGATAGAAACCTGAACGCACCGGGAGGCCGATACACAAAAGAAGAATGGACTTCACAGTGAAGTTCAGGAGACATCTTGCAGGAAAACTTTAGAAAATTTCGCGTTAGATTGTGATTTTGGTGAGGTAAGATTTTGATGTGAAAAATTATACTTGCTGAAAAAACACCAGATACACACTATTGTTCCCAAGGAGATATTTGTATACTGTCTGGAAGGGGATTCTTTAAATAAAACTTGTTCCTTATTTGGAATAAGCTACACTGCCATTTAATGTTCTTATGTGTGGACAGCAGGGTGGACCTA